GGCTTCCTCATCATGTGCTCTCTGTCCATCATGTTGTTACAGTATTATCCTTCTGTTGGCATTACTTGACCTACTCATGTTGATCTCTCGTATGTATGCAATTGCTGTTACTGTTACTCCTCCAACTAACATATATATTCTGTACCAAGTTCTTCATTCAGTCTTGCTTGACACCGGTATGAGGATCTATACCGAAACGTCGCCATTACAGTAAATATAGAAGTTGTTATCCATAAACTGTCTCTACTTTGTCCAATTTGTTGTCAAGGAAAAAAACAACCAAATCCCAAATTCCTAAAAAGCAAAAAGCACAAGTTAATGTTCATGGCCAGACTAATCCCTGTGCAGGGTGTGATAAAAAACAAACAATGAAAGGGTCTCTGAATTATACTCCTGCGAAAGATACCGTCACTTGAACGTAAGTCAAACTTGTCATGGAGATTGCTAAATGCAATTTTCAGAACCCAATTTAAATTTTCAGACAATTGGCACAAATTTAGCTTAAGTCCGATAGTCATACACAGTTTGGTAATAAAAAATTAAATGATCTCTGGGTTATGCTCTTGAAACAGAACGTGACGTATGGCAGGTCGGACGGACGGTGAGCAAGGGTGATCAATACTGATCAGAACTCACCTGTACCAATAGTTACTGACGGACATAACTCGTGACAGAATGAGTAGCATATTCAGTTTGGTTTTGTACCAACATATCGCAAACTTCAAACCTCTTGGTGTGCATACTTTATAATAAACTGTGATCCTGAAATAACCACACGTTAATAAACAAAGAATCTCACCCGAGTGTCTTCCGAGATCAAATATATCATGACGGGTTTTTAAAAGTTACAATTATTCAAGGATATCCGATAATTATATTTGAGCTTGAAAGACACGAGGGTGAGATTCTATTTGTCAACAGTAATAACTAGTGTGTCGAGTGTATATAGCACAGCTTCAGTGGCAGAGAGTTTAGTGATGCCATTTTGATTGTGACGTTAAGGTAACCGATGACGTCACAATGGTCTGCACAGGACTGTGATGCAACCTATGAAGAATACTATACTCATTCTCGTTTGATACCATTTTTACGAAAAGAGTTGACTTTCTATGGTATCTGACCGAGCCAAAATGTGGTATTTTATTTATTTCCCACGTTAGATGTATATTTAAGTGTAAATACATACCTTTCGTTCCTTGACAGACCAAACTGAAACCGGTTGCAAAATCTGGTTGCGCATGAATATTGATATATGCCCAAATATGGGCATTGTTGACATTTCTATGCATACGCATTATCAACATGCGCCTGCAGTTGTGTTTGCAAACATGACAGAACCGACGCTCAAGATCATTTTGGAAGAATTTCTTCAACTTACACCTATAAGAACATTTGAAAAGCCACATTAGTGCCGCGCTCTGAATATCGGACCAACAGTTGGTCTCCTTGATGTATCAGCTGAATTTATATCATGTCCGTATCATTTTGGAAGAGGGAAATCACAGTGTTCGCCAAAGACGTTCCTGTTAACTGTACGACCCTATACTGAAGACGTGAAATCAACAAACTGAAGTCTGCTTGCATGTCAGTGACAGCTTCGAACGAAGGGCAAGGTCACCACCGGAATAAGAAAAGATAACCGTGATCTACTCACAGCGTTTTACGCAAGCGATAGGGAATGTTATTGTTCGCATTTGGGATATTTTGGGCCACATAATCAGAAGTCAGGCACACTTCTACGGAGTTTACAAAGGATTTGTATCGGAAATGTTCACTTTGAGTGATCTGGTCGTGCAGTCGTGAACAAACAACTCCCGAAACAGTGCCAAAAAAAATACGCTTCGAAGGGGACACTGATGGCACAATCTGATCATCCCAAGTAAGTCTAGATATCTGTCCAGATAGTTTAAACTGACTTCATTTCCCCGCGCTTATCAAATAAGTTAAATCAAATTGAAAGTTGCGAAAGTGGTCGGGTACGTCACGCTCATGGGGACCCTCGATCTATTGATCGGTAGTCTTACATTGTAAATGGATATAGCCTAGCTCGATTATATACTGTCTGTAGAAGCTTTATGCATAACTCATATAGAATGCAAACCGAATTTGATGCGTGTGACTATCTTGTTTGGGTTAATAAAGTGTTTGTAAATATATGTCGCTCTCATGAGATTGCTTCAGTTCTGCCTTGTAGTTGAAAAATGAATAACGTCTCGCGATTTTTTATGAATGAAAAAAGTAGTCCTGGTTTGACAGAGGTCACGGTTTTCAAATCAACACAAATAAAACGAGGTCAACCTTGTGCGACGGATTTACGGATTTAGTATCTTACCACCTGTATCTTCACCACGTGGGTAAAAAATATAATTTATTGCATGGCGCCAGGTGCCGTGCCTCATTTGTTATGGGTTTGAGAAGATTACATGGGGCATGAGCCTTGGGGATGAGTAATCGTTGGAAAGGTGTAACCAAACTTTTAAAAGAAACATTCCTAACTGTAAATTATTACACCAAACATGTTTATGGTATTCGGCAACAATCATAACAGGGAGTCACGTCCTGTCCTGGACTGGTTTACCTGCCCTAGAGCGCTTGCGCTCATGGCATGCATCCACAAGGAGGCAAAGGGCAGGGTACCAGTCTAACTCTATCCGACCTATTTCTCCATACAGCATTTCGCTGCGGTTTAACGTTGACCCATTTCCGTGAAGCGGGTCTGTCTAGAGAGGGGGACGGAGACAGGTCTACAACATATAGCCATGCGGGAAACGTTGACCAATTTCTGTGAAGCGGGTCTGTCTAGAGAGGGGGACGGAGACAGGTCTACAACATATAGCCATGCGGGAAACGTTGACCAATTTCCGTGTAGCGACGTCTGCCTGTCGATAGGGTCGGGAACATGCCTTTAGCATATCGCTATGCGGGAAAAATTGACCCAATTTCTGTGTAGTGAGATATGAGCACTTTTGGACAGTGTGAAGAATTGACGTGTCAGACTACACGAGTAAACATATTCCCTTTAGTGAGATGACTCTGATAGAGAAGGATAGTTAATGGTTAAAAATAACAAACGCACTCACAGAGCTGTGGGTTTCAATTTTAACATCAATATCTGTATGTCTCCATGTGCAGATTTACTTCCGCAAGGAACTCTGGGTAGGAGAGTGGCTTAGTATATGAGGTTCAGGATACAAGACTGTAACAGAATACTTTTCACAAATGAGACCAGTTATAATGTGGACAGCTCTGACATTGGTGTAAGAGTCTACATGCGTCTAGGAGAACGTTTTGGCGACGCTTGTGTTACTCCACGTCGTAAGTTAGGGCATGGAAGTGTAATGGTATCGGTTAGCATCACAACTCATGGGAGAACACAAATCATCATTGTTAACGGCAATACGAATAGCGTACGCTACCGGGACGACATCGTTCGAGATCATATGTTCTTCCCTTTGTACAAATGTGACGTTGCAGCCCTCTTTCCGATGTGAGGGAGCTTACGGATGACAAAACTCCTGTTTCCGGCTGGAATTAGACTGGTTTGCCTGCCTTAGACAGAGCTCCAGATAAGCTTTTGGTGTTGTGGGTATTTTACCCATGCATTTTAAAATCATTGGGTATCAGTAATTCTATCTGCGTATTCAAATTTCTGTTACCCACTAGTTTTTACACATGTGGGTATTTAAGTTAAATATTTCAAAACACTATTCCTCTAGTCCCTGCAAACTAGTGTCGTGTGGGTTTGAGAGCTTTATAGGACTCGATACCACGATACTTCCACACGAAAGTGTGATGGCAAATGATCATGATGTTACTGTCATCGTGGAGTTTGGCAAGGTTGACGGAATGCCCGTTTATAATTTCAAAATAAGTTGCTGATTTGCTAATCGAATACGCAGGGTTACTTCACAATATTTTGATGATACGCACAAATTTTATTTTTGTAGCGTATCTGTAATGTTCGTTGCGTATTTGATACGCTTGGATTATATTTTACTGCGTATTTCTGCATTTCTGATGCGTATTTCACGCAGATACACAGCTTATCTGGAGCTCTGCTTAGAGCGATTGCGCTTATCGCCGCACTCCAAGACGGTACACATGTTTTGCAAATCCTGCAATCGACCGAAATCTGCAAGGTATTTGCCGTCTTGTTTACGAACTGGATGTCGATTTCGTTTCGCGATTTTGTTTAGACTATGCATATAGTCGTTAGTAAAGTCAAAATTTACATCCGAAATTCCAACCTAGTTCTGCTTCCTTACCTCGGGAAGATGCGTTGCAGCAGGATAATGCCCGCCCACATGTTGCACGTGTTGTGACGGGTTTTCTCTTTTTTATTGTACTGCCATGGTCGGTTGTTTCCCCAGAATCCTCACTTAAGAGCATGTCTGGGATGAGACACCTACGACAGGACCAGACTTAGCCGGTAGTTCAGTTGGGACAATCTTTGGTTGACATTTGGAACAGCATCACCCACGCTACTTTCAACCATCTAGTGTTTTCAATGCGCAGCCGTTGCCAGTCAGTATAATTATGTAAAGATAGGACCCAGTAAGAGATTAACTTCTGTTCAATCCTTTTGAAAATTGTTCATCAAAAATGTTTAAATCAATTTCATTTTATAAACAGTCTCAAGTTATAATGCGAGAAACAATTTTAATACGGAGTGAAAATATTTAGTCAGTGGGCCCTTTCGCCAGTGGATTTGGATATAATTCCCGTGATTAGAGATAAAACAAGCAAGAAACGGAAAAAAAACCAACATCTTTTCGTTTCAATGATTACAAAACCTGTATACATCCATTTTATTCAGTAGTCCTAAATCAGGAAGATAAAGTTTGATCTTTTCAAAAAGTTTTTAACCGTTCCCCGTTTCAATTTGTTCACAAATGCTTGTGTACTAGCCAAAACTCACCCGACAAGACCCGTTCGTTCGTGTCATGTGACTTTTTTCACTCGGTCAAAATGGTGGATCAGATCAGTATCGTCCCTGCTAGCAAGGTTTTGGAAGTTTTAAAATATGAAGACCTCATCGACACGATTGAATCTGCATTCAGAAAGTTTTCTTCACGTCCTGAGTCAGGAGTCTGCCAACCAGCGAGGAGTGTCATATTAGTTCCACCCAAAAATGGGTTCGTTGTGGTCACTTTCATTTTCCGAGCCGCATGGTGTGGGGGAGGGGCGTGGGCGAAAGGGGTTGGTCGGTCCTTTTGTAGGGCATTTCCAGTGGATTGCAATGAGGTGCTTAAAAGGAAACCAATGATTGTGTAGCAGGACGTGGAGTCATCCCACAGATGACATCCTTACCTTGTCAGAATGTTGATGGGGGTTAAGCTCTTCGGTCATATGGACAAAGTGTCCGACTGCTGACTAGATGGTCCGTGGTTCGAATCCCATCACGGGACATGAAACTTTTATGGCTGCTACAATTGCAAAAACTGAAAACCATTTTTTACAAAGATTTAACTGCACCAAGTAAATGTTAATCAGGCGCAGCCCCAAATAAAATACTCTGGAAATCTAAAATGGGCTCCCGGAATGACAATGTATTTTTTAATATGTCTGCCATGGCAGCCATATAATGAAAATTGCATTTTTTCCAATAACATAGGCATTTCTGCATTTTGAAATGTAATAGCCTATACATTTAATTAGTATGGTGTATGTGGGTATTTGAGTTTTTGCCAAGTTTCAATGTTTGATTTGACGATATTTTGTTTAAAACTGTTTTACTGCATTTAAAATATGTTCTCTAAAACTTTAGACTGACCATCTGTTTATACAGGTCTGTTGCCTGGAGTCCCTGTATGATTTTGATAATGTCACACTAGTATCATGCCAAGGTTACAAAATATAAAAAACTTGGAATTGGTGCTTCTTTCCATAAATAATTTGATGAAAAGGCATCAATTTGCATGAGAAGCAATTGCATTTCATATAGAGTAACATTCTGTTTACTTCCATTGATACAACATGTCACACCCTTTGCAAAGAAAAACAAACTTGCAAAATGTTGCAAGTATTTGATCTATAGATGCTGTAGCAGAATGTAGTAGCTTGAGAACCAGATAACTTCACTTTGAATTTTTATAACTTTCTTAGTTTAATCAACGAGAGGGACCTCACAGTTTGAAACAGTGTAAAATGCTTGATAACCAACCTTACCTACCTCGAGCACAATCACAGATGAACTTGCCACGGTAACCATAGCACATAGCACATATTTGTTAAGTTCAGTTTTATTTCAATAATAAATAAATCTGTGTACATTAACATAGTTGGGAGCAATGAAATCTTGAGGTAACAGTTCTACATTAAAAGTAGTAAGTTATCGCTAAAATATCTTACGCCTGAGTATCTTAATATTCATGTGTTGACATTCATTGATAATAGAGTTTGATCCACCAAATGTTGCTACTTAAGTTTTCTGTTTAAATCATTGTTGACAAATTTATGTCAAAGTGGGTTAAATTCACTGTTTTTTACAACAGATATTTTGGAGTTATGCCAGGCTACAGTCAGCAGGATGAAGCAATAGCTACCAAGCTGATCACATACTTTCCATTGAATAAAGATGTGCGGACCTTCCATGCTGTTATCCTGGTGTTTGATGCCAACACTGGACTACCTAAAACTGTAGGTTGGATCATTATGGCTCTTCTTGTTCGACCTCCTCTATCTCCCAGACCCTAGACAAACAAAACATTAAAAAAGGAGCCAAGTCAACTCTAGAATGACTCAGCTCTGAAATTAAGGATTGTTCTGGGCTCCATTTGGATTTTATTTTTTGAATTTTGTACATATATTTTTGAATAAGATAACTTTATTTCTGGGACTAAATGTCAGCCTATGTATGACCCAGCTATCTGAGGCTCTGCAATTTGCTGTTCAGAGTTAGGTCAGAATTTTTTCTAAACTTGATTTTCGAAGCCCCGACTCCCCAAAAAAAGGAAATGTAATGTAATAAAAGACTAAAATTGAAGTCTATGTATGGGAGTTACACAATCACCTTGGCACATAGATAGCCTTGTGGAAGGTACCCCTGATTTCCAAAGATAGGCCATGGTATGGTATTAAATTAATTTGTGTAGAATTTCGGTGTGCTTTAAGTAGTATTCTGTTAAACTCATTTGGATTATTCTGTGGATCGTGTAGATGTCTGTCTATTTACACACAAGAGTTAAATTTAAAAAATATAGTTAAAAATGGCAGATAATTAATAAAATACTAAACTTGCTCCCATGTAATACAAATTTTATGAAACTTGGGAATTGTTCTGGTTGCTGATTCGCTTTCACTCGTAAGATACCAGAACCATTTACTCGTTTTCATAAAATTGGTATTACATGGGAGCTTGTGTAGTATTCTATATGTATTTGATATTGAACGTCTAATTCACTCAGAATGTCATACACTAAACATGTATTATGTTCATGATAACTCAAGAAGTGATTAATGAAGAAGGATAAAAATTGGTGTCGTTACAGACTGGTACTTTACTGCTTATGTTTGCAGATAATGGACGGAGAGTTAATCACAACGATGAGGACGGCAGCAGCATCGGCGGTGGCTACCAAGGTATGTAGGTGTGACTACTCACTGAGGGTTTGCCACACTGTGATCCTTTTCGTCACAGTACAAGCATCATCGTCATGTATCAATACATAACAATACAAGTGTATACAAGAAGGGCATATGTAATACAGTAAACTACCTTTATAATGAACATGCATATAACGAACTGACGGATATAACATACTGTTTTTTGGTCCCAGGCATTTGCTGAAAGTATGCTGTGTATATGCTTATAACGACCTACGGTTATAAAGAACTAAAATTAGTGGTTCCTTTGAGTTTGTTATAACTGTAGCTTACTGTATTCTTATAATGACAATGTGTATAAAATGTACAATGGTTCTAAAACATCTAAAATTTACTAAATGTATTTTGATAAAGCCTCTTTTCATTCTGTTTGATATATCTCCTGCACTTGTCAACAGTTACCTCACCTGATTGAAAGTCAAGTGAGCTTATATCGTGGCCTGTGTGTCCGGTGTCCGGTGTCCCGTGTGTCGTAAAAATCTTTGCAGAAAGCACTGGACCAGGGGTCCGGAAAATTTAAAATCCGAATCGGACATTTGCATTTAGGCCACGCCCCCTTCAAATATCATATTTTTGTACGACTTTTCACACACATTACAAGTTGTTACGTACAGTGTTCCCTCGTTATTGCACGCTTGGTTATAGCGCGCGGTAAAGCATAGCTCCCAAAATTTACTAACATCCAGTGACTGGACCATTGAAGCAGAAACTTCTTATTCTTGTTCTCATCAATGATGACGCTCCAATTTGTTCAAGAGGTTTGATCCACTTTTCAAAATGGACATTAATCAGCCATTTTTGTCCACAGTGGAATGAAATTGGGAACAATGGTAGTTAGTAGTGGGGCTCCAAGTATATATTCTGTTTTTGGGATGTTTTAAATTCTGACCTTGATTTGACCTTTGCACTTCGACCTCACTGAAAGGTGAAAGTGGTCATTACTCAATTAGTGTTCAAAATGAAATAAAATTTGGTGTATGTGCAGTTTAGTGGAGCTCAACACATATGTCAAACCATCACATTTTTAGTGTTCAATAGCTTTTTGTCCTCAGTATTGGTGGAGAAAGTATTTGAATATCATTGGCAACAGTAACTTTTTTTAAGTCCCGTCTGTCTTTGCTGACAGTTTATACTGTTACATGTAGCTACATATCCAGATGAGCTACAGTGCCCGCGGCACACAGTGGTGAATGATAGCATGTCCTCTATGGCCACCTTACCAAGATGTGTAGCATATGGTCAACACTGTGTAACCTTGGGGGTTTCACCAAAGTGGTGACATCTATGATCTGGGTCACTTTAATACTGCTTTCCTGCTCTGACATGCAGTGATAATACTGAAGGTTGTGTGTGTTTCAGTACCTGTCCGCCCCGAACTCCACGACTCTTGCCATCCTCGGTGCCGGCACCCAGGCCAGATCCCACTTCCACGCCCTGGCTAGCGTCAGAACCTTCCACAATGTAAGGTGCTCACATTTCATTTCATTTTAGTCATTTTATTTATTGCAGGATAATTCAGGATAAGCATAAAAATGGAATGGAAGCCTAAAAAATGCTGTATGAGCTCCGTAAGGAATAAAAAAAGTATGGCTGTATACACCATTAAAACACATTCATTTGTTGCATGCACTGTAATTCAAGTGAGCCAAGCAAGCACATGACAGTGTTGGAATTTGGTGGCTCTGAGGGAGCTACAGTGAAAAACATGGTATCAACATCGGCCTTTTAATACTGGAAGATATGTGGACATGTGACATTGTTTTCTACATTGATTCAACTGTTGTACCTGCTTGGCTGGTTCCTCTGATCACAAATACATCCTTCAGACCGTTCATGTCTGAGGAAGAGAATTTTATGGATGTCAACTTCTTTATTATGAGGAACACAATGTTTCGGAGTATAATGTATTTGATGTAATAAGCGCCCAGGGCGCTCTCAAAATTAGAAATAGGGGCTCTTATTAGAATATTTTGGTGAAAAAAAAACAGAATTGAAAGATAAATTTTGTGGTTTATTCTGACTGCCTGACAGCTTTATGTACGACGGATATATTTTTCCGGAATTTAATTGCCCATAATTAAGGGTCCATATAACACACTAGTTCATATCATACGCAAATAAATAAGTCTTGTGTACATTGATTAATCGGAAGGGTAGCTAATTGGGATTGTTAAATAGCCAATATATTAGAAAATATCGCCGTGGGCGCTTATTAGTGCGGGGCGCTTATTACGTCGAATACAGTATGCTTATTCCTTTATCAGGGGAAGGAGTAAGCATATACTCTGAAATGTTGTGTTCCTCATAATAAAGAAGTTGACATCTATAAGTTCTCTTCCTTACGCGTATCACTTCTAAATGCCCTTCAAAGACATGTCTGATTGTGTTCCCTTACTCACTTTGTCTGGTTTCAACCAAGGAGACTGTCTCCGTGGTCTAGTGGTAGAGCGTCCGCCCGGAGAGCGGGAGGTCCGGGGTCCTATACCCAGCCGTCTCATACCAAAAGACGTTAAAAGATGGTACATGTTGTTACCCTGTCTGGCACTCGACATTAAGGGGCTAAAACAAGGACTGCTCGGCTCGGGGTCAGTACACTGTGTCTTAGTGGGGTATTCATGTTAAACTCAGCATGGTATCTCAGTGTGCTAGCACTGTAAATCGTCATCAGTCCGGACTAATACAAGCAGCCACACGCACACACGCACAAAATAATCTTGGACGCGACGTTAAACCCCATTTTACGTCACCTTCAACCAAGGACGTCCCCATCTGTACTTTGGCATCATTCAATTGTAGAAGTCAAGTGCAGTGTGCCACAGGTGGCCAACTTGTCAGAATGATTACTCTTGGATCCCCAGTTTGAGAGTTGTCTGCATTCACAAATAGATAGCCCCAATGCCCACTGACACACTAGTGTCACTTCTTAAACAGATGTAGGTGAGGAACACATTTCAGATGACTGGTCTCAAACATGTGTGAACTCGAATTCCAGGTCTGTGATTGGCTACTTCATGGTGATGACCTAAGGTCTACTTTCCTGATCGTTATTCATTGATAATTTTTTCATGCTTCAATAAAATTCACCTGTGTTGAAACATTATGGTGTCAGAGTGTTTAATAAACATTCTTTGATCTCATCTAGGTTGCATTATCATCATCACATGGGCAATCAACAGTAGGTATGAATTGTAAACAGTAAGCCGCTTTACATCCTTTATGACTGTTGTTATGTATTAATGCACCACAGCGATCATTAGAATTGACAAAATTCTAAAATCGGCTTTAGAATGTTTAAGAAACAGAATACTGTACTTTGCATATACCATTCCCTGCTCCATATCTGATAACACTTCTCTATAGCTTAAAACTCACTCACTCACTCACTCACTCACTCACTCACTCACTCACTAGGTGAGACTGTGGAACTGGAGGAGGGAACGTGCTGACATTCTTGCAGCTGAGATCGGGGCCACAGTTTGTACAACTGTAGAAGAGGCCGTCTGTGATGCTGATGTCATCGTCACGGTAACATCCTCACCGACGCCAGTCCTGAAGAAAGATTGGGTTAAACCTGGGGCCCACATCAATGGTAAGAGAACTGTGTTGTTGATCAAGCATATAACTAAATACAATTTTTCACTTTCTTTCAATTTCACAGTTATTTCAATATGATTATACTATTTCCTGTGCAGAGTTGCGTCCCTTGGTCACGCCATAAACTGATGATCATGGGTTCAAATCCCAGATTCACACTGATAATGTTTCTAGGTTTGTCAATTTGTTGTTACCCTGTCTGGCGCTCGGCATTAAGGGGCTAAAACAAGGACTGCTCGGCTCGGAGTCAGTATACTGTGTCCGAGTGGGGTATTCATGTTAAACTGTGTATGGTATCTCAGTGGGCTAGCACTATTAAATCGGCAGCAGTCCACACTAATACAAGCAGCCACACACACACGTGCATGCATGTCGCTATATAAGTGCAATAATCTGTACGCTACGTTAAATCCCATTTCACCTCTAGGTTTGTCAGCACAATCCTGTGCTTGTAAGTTTTTCCAAAGTGGTAAATAACTTGAGACCTGCATCACTTCGGGCTTAGCCCAACATTAAGCTGATGTAAAGAGGTGTAAGCTGTTCAAACAGTGTCAAACCACACTCACTGCTGATGCTGCTGATGCTGCTAATGCTGTGGTTGATGGGGTTGATGGGGTTGCAGCAGTGGGTGCCTGCCGAGCGGATCGCCAGGAGTTAGAGCCAGACCTAATGCTTCACAGCGTGGTGTACGCTGACAGCTATGAGGGAGGGTACAAAGAAAGTGGTGACATTATCTTGTCGAAGGTAATTATTCTGGTTATGTTGGGGGGGCATTTCCTGTTGGAGGGTATATTGTCATTACAAGGTACAAGATCAGAGTGTTTACTTAAGAAATAAACGACGAGTGGGAGTTGTTTAAGGGACGATAAAACACTGCAGGGAGAATAAACCATGAGGTGCGAGGCGACGGGTGGTTTATTCTCCCTGCAGTGTTTTATTGCAACATACACACCAACCACAAGTCATTTATTTCTTATATGAGATATCAACATCATATACAGCCTCTTTAAGGGTGTTGATAAAATGTACAAGCTGTATAAATATTTTCCCAAATTTTAATAATGACTACTCCCTGAATAGTGAGTGAGTGAGTAAGTGAGTATGGTTTTATGCCGCTTTTAGCAATAATCCAGCAATATCACGGAGGGAACACCATAAGTGGGCTTCACACATTGTACCCATGTGGCCCTGAATAATCCTCACATCAATCATCTGTACCTTTTCCCTAATACTGATTGTCATCCGATCATTCGGCCACTGCGTTTATCTGTGTAGCCCAGCTGCATCCATGGGGAACAACTTACTAGACACTTACCTTTCAAAAATAACGTTGTCCAATACATGACGTCATCAAGTTGCATGTTTGAATCTAGAGAAATGTCATGATACATGTAGAACATTGTTATATCGTGAAATAATTCACGTTTCGTTCTTCATTGTTATTTGCGATTTACCACGTATATTATAGTTTATGATGCATGCCTCTCATGTGTAATGTCCATCACCGATTGTTGCTTGTTCACAGGCAGAGATATATGCAGAACTAGGGGAGGTAATTCTCCGGAAGAAGGAAGCTCACGTGGACAAAACAACTGTCTTTAAATCTCTTGGTAAGTTGACATTATTCTGGACACTACATAAATACCCCATGTATTCCCTTTCTCAAGTTACCAGCTGTAATGGTGTATGAAATGACAATGAATTTACATCTGAAGATATCTATTAAAGTTACCTACCGGTAATAGACTGTTCGAGGAGTTTGGAAGTTTATTTCCCCCTCCTGTCACGAACCTTTGTGGATGTCAACGTCTTTATAGTTATCTGCTGATGACAGGAAGGAGGAAACAGTTCACCAAAGATGTGGTTGAGAATAAAAAACAGTATGTCATGCAAAACTTCTCATCTATCCAACAATAAGCAATTCTAACCTGGGTCCTCACGGGGCCAGTCAGATAGTAAAATACTTTCATATTCTCTCATTTTGGTCTAGTCTTGTTTCCATGGAACCAAGAGGAGATATTAGCCTTTCAGTCACTGGTTTCGGTGGTACAGACTCATCCATTTATAGGCCACTGGGATAAGCTGGAAGATTGCTTCAAAGATAATTGTGAAATTGGGATAATTATAAATGTGAAGATTTGAATTTAGTTATTACTGAAAAACATGCATGTAACAAATGTTATATTTGGGATAACACTTTCTTAGTAAAGTACAGATTCTAGTGCCTTTTGGGGGTTGAGTCCCATCCGGGATTCGAACCCAGACTTGCCAGAGTGAGGCACCTAATCGCCAGCACACAAAGTCAGCGATCTAACCCACTCAGCCACCGAGGCTTCCACAAAAATGAAAGTCTGACAACTGGTAGTCTAGATCACATACTTTGTGTACCCCTCTGACAAATGTAAATTGGCACCTTCTCCCATGGCCATAAGCTGTGAACACACAATGCCATTTAGAAAAAGCATTCAGTCTGCAAATCCATAAACAACATATTTCAAATCGACATTTAAACATTCTCTGCACACTGTCACCATGGCGGTCGCAGTACAATACTTGCCCTTGTATTTCAGGTCTTGGCATTCAGGATGTTGTGTCGGCCAAACTGGTGATGGACAAAATAGAGGAGCAGACGGCTTGAGCCTGGAGGCAGCTAGGGGATGCAATCCACACAGTGGTCTGAGGGGTACACCTGTCTCACCTCCTATACACTGATGAGCATATACTAATGCCTTATCAATATCAGACCAATTTCAGAGAGTATTTTGACAGGTAGTTTTACAGATCAAATGACATCTTCCTGAGGCAAGGGTTTTAACTGACTATAAAAGTCCAGTTTCCACCCTTATTTGGAATTTCTGGCTTTCATTTTGGCTGAACTAAAAAGTCTAAGCATAGTATTCAAAATTGCATAATGAAATCAATATCTGGTTTGTAAACAACATGGCAACTGCTGTGCAGTTATCAGTCGATTGCAGAATTTGCAAAGCATGTTTGTCGTTAAATGGGCGTCGACAGATATTTTGCAGAATCTATTCATATTTTTAATCCAGGTGCTCAAGATCTGATGCACTTTGCCAGGTAAGACCACTTTTAATGCAATCTTGATTATTCAAGTGACATGACAGGTGGAAACTGATTGGTTGATAGGAGGGACATAAAAGTGCCATAACTTAAAATAGCCATTGGTGGCACTATGACGGAGCCACGAAATTCTGGCCTTGTTTGGCAAGCAAATTGTTTGCATAAATTCAACTAAATCAAGATGCAATTTGTGATTTTTCAATATTTGTGATGTTTGAATGCAGGCAGGTAACTCTGAAGATGGGCAGGCAACACTTATGGGTCACCTACCCTACTGTCTTGTTGTGGTTTACAATTATTTCAAACACTGGGCTATTTATTGTTTTTGAACAATACATGTACTGGTAATTACATTTATATATTTATTTTATGTTGTAAAAACATTTTTTGTCAAGTATTGACGAATTCAATCTCATTAAAATCTGATCTTAGTTCTCGCTATCGCTAAACAAAGATCTGAGGACATCCCATTACAGGTCACGTCAGAACGACCTTTCTTCCGACCAATCAAAGCGTCGCTTACCAGATTATGAAAGTGACAGTCAGAATGTGTTTTCTAATCATGCAACCTCGAAAACGTTACCACAGGGTATTCCGAACAACAGTTACGGCCCGTACGACTGATTCCATCAAAATTATCGTCTATCTCTCGTTTGCGTGGGATAAACATTTGAACGGAGGAGGTGTTGCACAGTATGTGGGAAGCATTGCCATACAATCGCAACAATATATAAGACATTCCGGAATGTTCGTTTGTTCAGTTTTCAAAATTTTAATCGAGAACTGTGTCAACATAATTTTCAAGTGTAGTCTGAAATGTAAGTCCCCAGGTTGAAACCAGTGCCGTAAAGCTCGAGAAAGCTGCTTTCTAATTGGCTGATGTCGACTTCTTGTCAGTCATTTCAGTGGGAGGCCAAGGTTCACGAAAGGTTGTTCTGACGTGACCGGTAATGGGATGTCCTTAGATCTTTGTTTAGCGGCAGTGAGTACTGAGATCTGATTTAAGTGAGATTGTGACAAATTTGTTGTATGATGAGATCTGTCAATACTCTGGGTGCATCATCATTAATCCTGCTATTGAGTATGTAGGATTTTCTTTTGGTTTGGTTTGGCGTTAAACAACAAACCAAACCAATAAAACCCCTACATACTCAATTGCAGGATTAAAACAAGAGTCATCAGAAAGATGACATATCCCCCAGGCAGCTGTCTGTAAAGTAACCACAAGTAAATGTGCAATTCTGTATGTAATGAGTCAAGAGTTGAATGTTCTTTAAGAAGCATACATTGTTTACCCACAAAAGATCCACCATGGTCGCATCCATATGAAATGGAAAGTAAAACGTGTGTTTCTGTGGGTTTTTTTTATGCAAACAAATAACAAATTACAAGAAACAATAACTAAACAAGCGTATTGTCAACGAAGTCATCTATATCCCCCGCCCATTTTAACACGTTATGGTCCCAAACCAGGTAACTGACCCAACATTTCTCTTAGCCCATGTCAAAATAGCTGCAATGGAAATTCTAAAATAAACATTTCTAAAACTCCTAATTATCAAATGGCACCAGTTCAGTATGTTCTTTATATATAGACATGCAATGTTTGGCAAGGAAATATTTAACAGATTATTTGTTATACTTAATAAGTGAACCCACCCTATATGTAAACTTAAATCCAACTTGTTGCCATGGAAACGTAAAAAATAAAAATTTATAAAATTCCTAAATAGCAAAAGGCACCAGTTCAGTGTGAGTCTGATAGGCATGCAAAGTTTTGTTAGAAAGTTTTAAATGGGTTTTGAGTTATGCTCCGGAAACGAACTCTACCCTATAGAACCTAAGTCCAACTGGTTGCCATGGAAATGTAAAAAATAAAAAAAATAAAAATTCCTAAATAGCAAAAGGCACCAGTTCAGTATGTGCCTGGTAGACAATCAAAGTTTTGTAAGAAAGTATTTAACGGTTTTATGAGTTACACTCCAGAAACGAACACCACCCTTTTAGAACCTAAGTCCAACTGGTTGCCATGGAAATGTAAAAAAAATAATTTTTTTCTAAAATTCCTAAATAGCAAAAGGCACAACTTCAGTATATGACTGATAGATATGCCAAGTTTCGATCAAATCCACTGAATTGTTTTCGAGTTCTGCCCCGGAAAAGGAAATGATTACAGACGAACAGACGGACAGACAGACTGGCTGATCGCTATACCCCCCGCATTATATGCCGGTGGGATAAAAAGGATGAATGAACATTTGTATATTTCCCCAGATACATGTTTCAGTATGGGTATTATATATACTGAACCAAACAGTAAGAGATCAGGAATATTATTGGGCATTGATAAACTAGGCACACAATTTCATAAAAAAATATTTTTGTTTAGTACATTTCAGTATGTGCCACTGTCAGTACGACTGTCAGGTCCTGCCTGGTGTATTTCTAACATGTCAGTAGGTTGTCAATGTTAGTATATATGTAAGAGATATATCAAACTTTGCTTATACAGCTGAATGTTATTGCATTATATTTTTAATGCATTTTGCAATTTTTAATTTTTTCTCCGAGGAGTGGTGTTTATGTATGTTAAACTGTATCAGTCAAATGTAGACAATAAATTTACATGAATTACATTCAGATGAATGTGTTATTTGTATTTGATGTGGGGTGTAGTGAGCAGGGTTATTATCAGACAGCTTCACTTGGCCTGGTGGACATGCTGTGTTGGACCAACCTGCAGCTACGTGAGCATCTTCCCGAGGCAAGAGCGTTAACTGACTGTAAAAGTCCAGTTTTCACCCTTGCCCAAATAGGCTGGTATTAGGGAGTTACATTTTGGCTTGATTAATGAGTCTTTACATAGTCCAATCAAAATCGCGCAATGAAATTGAAATCTGGTACGTAAACTGTCATGCAGATTGCAGGATTTGCAAAGCATGTGCAGCGCCAACTCATTGTAAACAGATATTTTCCATAATGTTTTCTATTTTTAATCAAGGTGCTCACGTGCGCTTCGCGAAGTAAGACGCGTTTTATCACAATATAGATCTTGATTATCGATCAGATGTTCATGAATAATAGTTTCAGTGGATCCATGGCTTAGACCTGGGTCTTCCTCAAATTCAGCAATGGTTATACGTCTATCTGACAGTATCAGTTTTTCTATCTCCTTGATTGAATCTTCATTTATGGAAGTTGAGGGACGTCCAGACCTAGGGTCAGCATCAAGGCTTGTTCTCCCAGCCTTAAACATAGCTGCCCAACGTTTATCAGTGGAAAAGCTAGGGCACTTATCTCCATACACTTGTGACATGCGGTCAAGAATTTTGGGGGGAGTACTTTCTCTAAAGTTAAAAACTTGATGACTGCTCGGTCGTTTTTTTCCATTACTGTGTCCATTTGGACCCCTATCACGTTCAACTGGCTGTCAGCCATATACAAACGGCCTCAACAGACCAAATACACTTGCAATGGACTATTCAAACAATGTACTACATTGACTAGTTCACTTTGTGATGGCCCATAGTTGAAAGTGGGATATTTTCTTTCCCAAAATACCAGGTGATAAAAGGTAAGACAAAAATCAGTAGGTCCCCCAGACAGAAACAAAAGGTAGGTCATCCAGACATTTCAATCTCACATGACCTAAAGAACAACAAATCTAGGTCTATCAAAGACACATTTTATTCATGTTGGTAAACAGATTATGTTTTTTGTTAGTAACAATACAAAGGTATAACATTGCTCCATGTGCAGCTTCCTTACTTGACAATTTGGATAAACATTTATTGATGCTGCAGCCATTCAGATGAATGTAACGACACTACATATGATATACAAAGAAGGCTGTTATAGACCCATACACACCATGATTGAAACAATGCTCAACAATGTTCAGTGGAACTTCAATGCTATTTACTTGAACGTGACCAAGTTGTACAAACAGGTTTCAATTTAACACAAGTACATCGTCCTTGACTTGAATCTGGTGAATGCCCTTAACATTACAAGGTATGGTGCTCTCCCGAGTGTATAGGATACATAGTGTATGACCTTATATCTGTTTTCCAGAGAGTTAGCTTATATAGAAATGAGTACAGGAAGTGAGGACAGTCCAGCAATCAGTGGTTGAGTGCATCTTGAAGAGAGAGACTTCTGTCTGGAGTGTACAGTTGGACACTACCAGCCTAGGCAATCTTCAGTCCAGCAATTCCACGCTCCAGTGACTGTAAAGGAAGTAGATGTATACTGTATTAATACCCTACACACACTAACACAACACAGAGTCCTGATGTCACAGATGTCCACACCAAATTTTCCAAACTCCACCAAATGATATTTCATTCCCTGTGGTGAATCAGTGAACGTCGTTCTAAGCCACAGTCAGCAATATTCCGTGCTTGTTGTCTCTTACGAAAAGCAGGAGACTGGGGGCATAATCCTCAGTGCTCAATTTGAGGCACCAAACCCAGGGCTTTAGTGTTATAAGCTAGTGCATTATCAACCAGTCTACCCCACCGCCATTACCTCCATATGTGGTAACATAATCTGTTGTCCATCATGTATATCAGCCCTTGACTTGGTCTGTGGCTCCTTGACAACAACAGCATTATGGCACAGGGCACATAGCACACTTGTTCTACTTGCAGTCTTTTCACATGAATACCTATCTAACTGTTTGGATTTCCTTTTGTTTGACATCCAAAATAATTGCAGGTAAAAAAGTTCTCGACACTGATCCTGCATGAGTGGTCAGTAGTAGTCATCACTCACAGTCAGAGGTCATCACTCACAGTAAGAGGTCATCACTCACAGTAAGAGGTCATCACTCACAGTATAGGATATGGAAGTTTACATATTCAGATAAATGAGTGCTTTCCCATTGTCATACAACAAAATACAACATACAACACAACATTTTCTATTATAGGTTCGTTTATGAAATTCTTGAGCTTGCTGGTGCCACTATGTGATGACAGGAACTGGTCACATACCTTAAGGTCCCAGATGATGATGTTGCCATCCACACCTGACGTGGAGATCTTGGTACAGTCGGACTTGGTTCCAGCAAAGATGCTCACCTGACTGAAACACAACAGGGAATACGGCGCCATATACAACAGGGAATATATCTACTTATTATGCCTCAGAGATTGACCAATCACAGAGCAGATCTACTGACCCCACATGAGCCCGTATACCGTAAGTAAAAATCCAAGATGGTTGCCACTGACCTAATATGAGACCGTATACCATCAGTAACAGCCATTTTGGATTTTCCAACACCCACTTCACATATTTCACATGGAAATTCTGGTACAGAAATTCGTTAATCGACACTGTTTTGTGTTTTAATATCATTATTTTTGATTTGCAAGGACGTTAATGGTTTTTCTGATCACGTTCATGACTTTAATAAAGATCATATAAAGTTAAAATTATCAACAAGGTTTAGCCTCTGAGGTTTGAAGAGTAGTCTCCCTTTGACCCTTAACGTCCTAGGTTGTAGGTGTTAAGCTTTGAGTTTTAAGGTTTGACATGACATGTTTGACAAACATACCAAAAAGTGTACACCTTTTGGCATAATAAATTAGTTATGGTGTTTTTAGCTGCCGTATATGGTGTCATATTAGGTTTGCAGAAAAATATTGGGCGAGGCGTCACTGGATGTATGGCAACTAAAGACACCATAACTAATAGTTCACCGTCAGTAACAGCCATCTTGGAACTTTTTTAAACACCCACTTCACATATTTCACATGAAAATTCTGATATTGAAATTTGTTATTCAATACTGTTTTGTGTTTCTATATCATTAATATTAATGTGCAAGGACATTAAACTTGTTTTTAGATAATGTTTGTGATTTTATTAGAATATGGAATTCGCCTTTAAATACATGACCCGAGAATATGCCTCTGTACACTATACAGAAATATGGCTTCATTTACAACAGGGAATATATCTATATATACTACAAAGGCTGTATATGTTTACACTAACTCCAACAGGGAATATATGTACATACTTCAACAGGAAACAGGTCTTCATCTACTAGTTATCATAACCAGGGACTGTAAGCTCCTTGTACTTATTTCTCTGTATGCTGCAGACCCAATTGTTAACATTCTCAATACCTATATCTATATATATCTTATGATTTTATTCAAGAGCCCATTTCATACAATATCCTGGATGGCATTTTTTAATAATATATAAAATCCAAGCTGTTTGTTTTCTAAATACTATAATAAAGTATAATTGTATACTACTGCCGGGTACCCAGCAGATGCGAGTGTGACCGACTCACGTGATGGTGTTCTGGTGCTGAGTCTTCAAGTCGCTAGAGAAGTCATCAGTTGTAGCCTTCTTCTCTAAATTCTTGAAGCGATTCATAGCACTGAAACAATAATATATAATAAAAGGCTTGGCACACAATGATGAGGTCCACTGAAAAAATGTGAACACTGTATTCTCTATAATAATTGCCCTGTTCCAATAAGCACCCTCTCCTAAGACTGAACATTTATGTGACAGTCCGTATATCCGTGCATAATGCACATGATTTACAGAAAACAGACGCATCGAAGGCGAACATAATTCCCGGCAAACTTTTTTTTAACACATTTAGTTTCATCAATGTTGAACTATTTGAACTGACAACAACTATGCCAGCTTGTGGATGATTGTACTAAGCGCCCCCTCCTTTGTCTATTTTCAAATCCTCTTGGGACTTATTACGGCGAATACAGTACTGCAATACAAGACGGATGAAACAGGGTTGCAGGTTTTGATTGATTGTTGGTTTGTTGTTTAACGCCTCACTCAGCAATATTCCATCTATATGGCGGCGATCTGTAAATAATCGAGTCTGGACCATACAATCCAGTGATTGATATCATGAGCATGACATGCATCAACCAAGTCAGGGAGCCTGACCACTCTATCCCGTTAGTTGCCTCTCAAGACAAGCAGGGATGAAGACCTTTTCTCCCTCGGATCTTCACGGGTTGCATGTAAAGACACATGATAGAAGTCCTACTTATCTTAATGCAGTAATGTCAAAACAATCGTTTAACACAATGACAACAGTTAACTCAGATGTAATTGTGTTCTGGAGCAGCCTTTCTGTTTCTGCTGTATCACTACATCTGCTATACAAGATGTAGCAGCGGCATACAGTCCCTCAGTGTTGGTGTATATAGTCATGTATATTTAGTAAATCATAGCATTGCCTCTGTGTAGATGACATTAATAACTGCCTTATGCCTGGCGTAGTCATGTTACAACCTGCATCTATGGAGGTAGTTGTCATGTTGATACAACAGTATTTCAGAATAAGGACAGGACGTGTGCCACACTGGGTATGCAAAACTGTTGTTTTTGTTCATACCATTGCGTATCTACTGTATTGTGTATCTACTGTATCATGTATCTACTGTATAGTGTATTTCTTATGTTATCATTATATACATATTTCTTCAACTGAGCAGTTTTGCATACCTCTATTTGTCATGAGTTATAAACCCTAGCCACTGTGCCCTAATGACAGCAGCCCTTGTATTGTATCCCATCATGCTGTGAATACGGTCGATGGTGTTCAATGTAACTTCAGTGTGTGTTCATTTCATATAAAAACACAAACATGTCATGCTCTCACTTAAACATATTTAGTAGTAAAATGCCACATGCAAAGCTGCCTTTCTGTCTGTCTGGCTGTTGACCGGTATATCTGTCCACATCTGTCTGTCTGTTTGTCCACACAAATATATGTCCTTGTCTGTCCACATGTCTACACGAATATATGTCCTTGTCTGTCTGTCTTCAATCTGTCTACACGAATATATGTCCATGTCTGTCTGTCATCAGTCTGTCTGTCTACACGAATAGGGGGCACAGGGGGCACGGGTGGCCCAGTCCTCTAAGGCGCCGCGATTCGCTGTGCAGAGTTGCGTCCCTTGGGCACGCCAGAAACCTATGATTGTGGGTTCGAATCCCACTTCGCCCCGATTATGTTTCTAGGTTTGTCAGCACCATACCTGTGCTCGTGGGTTTCACCGAGACCTGCATCACTTCGGGCTTTCCTCCCACATTAAACTGACACGCCGTGATATAACTGGAATACTGTTAAAAGCGGCGTTAAACCCAACTCACTCACTCACTCTACACGAATATATGTCCATGTCTGTCTGTCCATCAGTCTGTCTGTTCACACAATATATATCCTTGTCTGTCTGTCCTCAGTCAGTTCACACAATATATATATCCACGTCTGTCTGTTCACACAATATATATCCACGTCTGTCTGTCCTCAGTCTGTCTGTCCACACAAATATATGTCCATGTCTGTCTGTCGTCAGTCTGTCTACATGAATATATGTCCTTGTCTGTCTGTCCTCAGTCTGTCTGTTCATACAACATATATCCACGTCTGTCTGTTCACACAATATATATCCACGTCTGTCTGTCCACACAAATATATGTCCACGTCTGTCTGTCGTCAGTCTGTGTGTCCACATGTAAATCTACAGTGGTTAACTAGACATGCCGATGTCGACATCCAAACTAAGACAGCAATAACGCTATCCTTTTCATGAATATTACTCAACACAATACAAAGTTAAATTCATGCCATGTTAACCAATCTATGCCAGTTTAACAACCCAGATAGATACATATATATCAATGTTTGACATATTTACCCATCTTGTTTCATGTCATGGTTACAACTCTACATCTTGCTGACGCATGAACGCCATGTCATAATGATCTGTCCTGTGATTCTGGGGCCATTGCCCTTGCATCAATTCCTTTAAGTTTCAGCTTTGCAACCATGCATGACTACACACATACTGGTACCCATAACAGGTCCCTCAGTTTGTCCTAGCATCACCCTCCCCTGACTTCACTCATGCATGACTACATACATACTGGTACCCATAACAGGTCCCTCAGTTTGTCCTAGCATCACCCTCCCCTGACTTCACTCATGCATGACTACATACATACTGGTACCCATAACAGGTCCCTCAGTTTGTCCTAGCATTACCCTCTCCTGACTTCACTCATGCATGGCTACATACATACTGGTACCCATAACAGGTCCCTCAGTTTGTCCTAGCATCACCCTCCCCTGACTTCATCATGCATCTCATGGGTGGGTGCCGCTCACAAACATCTAAAGTGCAATACATGCAAGTGCCATGGAGTCTAGATAGTCATGAAACAAAGATTTATACATCTGATGCATCAATTAAACCCTGTGATTAATCCTTGGTGTCCTTCTATAAGTAATATCAAGTTAGTCTGCATCTATGTGATTAGTAACATCTCAGAACAAAGTGACCGTCACATTTGGTCAACATTCCTGGACATATGGTGCCCTTCAACATGGCCGCTAGTAGCAGACGACACACATGGTTAATTCTTGAACCTGTCATATCAAAGTTAGACTGCAGCTATGTAATTAGTAACATCTATGAACAACGTGACCGGCACAATTGGTCAGCGTTCTTTGATATATGATGCCATTCAACATGGCCGCCAATAGCAGACGGCACACACGCCATGCAAGATGGCCTACTTGATGATTGACACAGGTGTCTCATCTTCCTCCTCCTGATCAGATCCTGCCTCCGTCTCGCTAGGCTCAGGAACATCCACACTGTGAGAACAGCTAACATATTCATTCACTGAGTCCCTCTACCCGTCCGTAGCAGTCAACAGGTACTCTTCACTATCATCATCTCAACGTCAGTGGTACTTAATGACTTGTAGCAGGACCACTTGTGGTACTAGGGGTCCTATGTGTCCAGCGTTAGGGTTTATACAAGACGGAGGCAAGCGGCAGAAAACCTAACAAGGGACGCATAAAATCCCATGTACCCCGAGTGATCCTGCTACAACGAATTTATCTTACCGACATTTTTTATTATGACATTGTAATAGAATTCAAACAAATTCAAAATTGATAGAAAACAGCTGTTCGATTGAGCTGAGGTTAGCTTGCACAATGTCACGTGACTTCCATTTACTCAGAAAAAGTGTGCAGCTTTTTGCTTTGAAGGAGGATATCAAGGATTTATTCTCAGAAATCCAGCTTTATGATGGCTGCCTGTAAATAAACAAGTCTAGACCAGACAATCAAGTGATTGATATTATGAGTAATGATACATTCCATCAGGGTACAATGACATAATTTCAACCAAGTCATTGAGACTGACCAGTCGATCCATTCGGTCGCCTCTTTCGACCAGCCGAGGTTGCTGGGGACCTATTCTAACCCCGAATCCACACAGGGTTCAATGGCACAAGTACAATAGGGTAATTGTGTTAGTTATTTTACTAATAACTAATTTTCACTATTTATTACCCCAGTAATGAAATCATCTGTATGTTAGTAATAATTATGATTTTAAAAGATTAAAATATTATAATTACATTATCTAAAAAAAACAACATTGAGGGTGAAACTTCATTATTCTGAGGCAGAAGCTCGATCACTGTCTCAGACATATACAGAGACATCCAAAGGCGATCATGGCGTAAAGATGTTGAGAATACCAGTACTCTGAGATACCCAGGACTGGGATACAGTCTACAAATCACATGATCTCTAGTGAGTGAGTGAGAGTATGGTTTTACGCCGCTTTTAGCAATATTCCAGCAATATCATGGCGGGGGACACCAGAAATGGGCTTCACACATTGTACCCATGTCGGGAATCGAACCCGGGTCTTCGGCGTGACAAGCGAATGCTTTAACCACTAGGCTACCTGACCGCCCAACATGATCTCTAGAATCAAGAATGATTCATCGTCTGACGTACACATACTCCACACCAACTTTGGGGCGACCTGGACTGTAATCACTCTCCTGTTGTGGAGGCAGATAATACCTGTAACCATGGTAACCTACTATTTACTATCACAATAGTTACTTAAAACCAATTCTCAACCAATCTGATTTTTCTGACCATATTATTTCAGTTCTAGTTGGACCTCATTTGGACAGAGGTCACCATAAGTTACGCAGTACAAAATGCTTCAATCAAATCCACGTGTATCATCAAAATGTCTCCATACATAGATTTTTGTTTCTTGTTATAAGCCGCACAATGCAATATTTCAGCTGTATGAGGGTGGCTTGTAAACAATCAAATTCAATGACTGATATTGTGAGCAACGATCCATGCTGTCCGGGTACGATGCACACAGTTAAACAAGTCATCGTGTATTACGACCCACGCATGTTTCTGGGGAGCAACTCTAACCCAGATCCCAGGGGCCATGTCTGGAACAGTGTCAGCCTGGCAGCTACCTGATTTGGCCGGACTCCTTCTCCTGAGGGATATCCAGTTTGCTGACGGACGTGAGTTTGCCGCTGTCGGTGTAGGTGAACAGCATCGGGTTGCAGTCGTACCCCTAGGGACACAAAATGAAACGACATGTACCATCCGTTGTTCCGATGCAATGGATCTATAAGGCTGAAAACATTAAGTCTTGGTGCTCAGGCACCGCCGCATTGTTATCAAGTCTGCACTGCTCTACTGCACATCTCGTGTTATGGTCATGGCGCCAATAGGAGTTTGTATGCTTGTTTATGTAGGGAGGCCCTTTCCCAGGCTGATGGTACACAACTGTTTGTTTGGTTACATACCAGTTTGAACAAGCAAAAAAAAACCCAAAAACCCGCACTATATTTTCAAAAGCTATTTCCTGAAAACAAGGCAATGGCTTTTCTTTTTTTAAGCCTGCAAGTCTTACAAACTCGTAAACTATCACCCATTCATCTTTTAATATCTTGATCAAGAACGAATATAATCTGCTTGATCCTTTAAGATTTATTTTTTTCTGAATTCACTGAAAATGAAAAGTGGACAAATCTGAAAAGCAGAGTTTGCAGTTAACTTGAATCCATGGATCTATCAATGTATTCAAAGATCAAATCAGTTTTTTAACCTTCAGCCATGGGTCTATCAAGAAACAAACGAGTAGTTATTGAAGATGGAATTTCTCTCCCAGATGAGTTGTTGCCACGGTTACCCTACTCCAGTAAACACCCCCAACACAGGACAAATACGTACAGCGCAAACAATGCTGCTCTCAGTCACCCAGGTGATGCTCATGAAGGGCAGGAAGTTCTCCTTGATACACACCAGTCTGGAATACACGTACGGTACCATCAACAACAACATCAAAGTCAACCTCAACATAAACATCCACCGGTACAAAATCAAAATATGTCAAGTATCAGGCTAAAACCTAACAGTCTTGGTTCTCAGGCACCGCCCACATCAACATAAAGTCCACTGAATGTGTCATTTTTATTTCCATTATCCCCCCCCCCCCCCCCCCCCCCATAAAATCTTTAAATATTCCGCATCTTGAACGGCCCTGGCAGTGAAATGCTACAATATTTAAGGACAAAATTTAATTACATACTAGCTTGAACCAACAAAACACTGCTCGCCCGCACTATATTTTCAAAAGCCATTGCCTGAGAACCAATTCTTTTATTTTTTAAGCCTTAAACAAGTCAAAAAGTATTTATGGGATGTAAAACCAAAAACTGTAGGGTTTAAAGCTAAAAACAACAACAAGGGGATTGTTTTATGTAACTTATAAACCAAACAATATATATCAACAATTATCTGCTTCAGACATACTTTCCAGGAACCTTAGGAAACAGGCGCAAAAATCTCTTGCGCTTATAAATCACAATGCTTTTAAGAATTTCTTTTTCAAGTACATGTCCAACAGCAAGAGTGCTTGGGTCCGTTTCACAAACCTGTCTGATCACAACAATAATTGCAAGTCTATAGTAAAGAATGTTACAACAGTCGACGCCTCACAATCACTTTTGGGGATGAGACCCTGTCTTAGAGTCTAGTGTTCGAACAGAAATGAGATTAATGTACAGAACTGGTAAAATCCTAGATCTATTTTATATTTGTATTACGGAGTAATGCTGGATAAGTACAAAATTATGAGATTAATGTACAAATTTGTTGTCAGGTAGTGATACTTACTCTGATCCCTTGTTAGAATCCACGACAGAGATGCTGGAGTCGTGGCCGACCCAAGCGAGGCGATCACCACTCGGGGAGAAGGAGACGGAGTGCACCCAGCCACCTGTAAGACAGGGACACTGTTACCATGGTTACAACACAAGGGTTATTACAGCTCCACAACAACCCCATGTTAGACCGACAAAGCAACAAAATCACCATGTTAGACAAAACATAATTAAAAAGTACTGATTGTGTGTTTTGTAAAGGTTTGTAATATTTCTTCCAATTATGTATAATGTTAAAAGGAGAGACTAGACTAAAAATATTGAGTGACATCGATACTTGTTGACTGTAGACAGGCGTGCATGCATTGTTGACGGCATTGGTAAATATTTTTAGGCCTTGGATTTTGATCCTAAAAACTTGGCCCACACACAGTAATATATGGCCGCCATAACAAGGTGTGTTTCCTACAGTGAGTGCAGATATTATTGATGACATCTTCTCACGCTTCCGAAATACTGATATGGTGGCAGCTTTTACTTAACCATGTTCACAGAGCGAGGGTGTTTTTATGCCGCCTTTAGCAGTATTCCAGCAATATCATGATGGGAATCCAGAGAATTGGCTCCACACACTGTGGGGAATTGACAACTGAAAGATTTACCACAAGGCTACCCCACTGGCCCTTTCTATACAGACAAAAATGTCAGTTACAGAGTCCAAATTTCCATACTCTGTCTGAATATAAAATGATATGCTTCCATGGTGCTTTTGCTGACCCTCAAGGAATGATTCTTGCTATGTATCAATGGCGGCTATCTTCACACTAACTGTGGGCTTGTTGGGAGTGTAACAACCCAAGTGTTGATGACAAGTCTCAAACAACACCCCCTACTGTCTTCATTTGGAAATCCAAGACTACCTATAGTTTATTATCACTACAGTTACATTACCACGACTAAACCTTTAAAAATAGAAAAAATAAAAAGTCGTTCTCAAACTATCTCTGAGTTATCTGACCATATTTCAAGAAACATAAACATTTCCTAAGAAAATAATTGATGTTAAAAAAAATATTGCCAATTAAGTCTTTTTCAGTGTGACTTTAGCTGTGATACCTGAAGATATAACATCTGATAACACACTGATAATTCTTTTAGTCGTTTCTTGTTTAACACAAGTGAGTTTGGTTTAACTCCTTTGAACAATATTCCAGTTCTGTCACGTCGTGTCAGCTTGATGTGGGAGGAAAGCCCTAAGTGACCGCTTTGTTGAAACCAACAGGCACGGGTATGGTGCTGACAAGCCTACAAACATAATCAGGGGGGAACCGAGATTCCACTATCGTAGGTTCCTGGCGTGCCCAAGGGATGCAACTCTGCACAGGTTTAACATGAAGCAGTTAAGAGGAGGGAGACGTTTGGCAGTATTTGTTTCAATTAAAGGCATTGACCTCCACATGGATCGTCTTAAAAAGAAGACAATTATTTTGCGTGGATACATGCTGTTAGCTCATGCAGTGGTTGAATTAAAAAAGTGCACCAGTAAATGTTTATGCAGAGAGATCAGCATTGTACACTTTTTGATTTATGTAATACTGAGGTGTGATTTCACAAACAGAAGCAGCAAGAATGGTGTCAGTTCTTATGATATTGAGAGTGTCATTGTGACTATCATTCCCTGTAGTTCGAGTATATGCAGTTTGTCAAACAGTTTTCGGCTAGATCAAAAGAAAGGAGAGAGCATTATGCAATTATATAAAATAGTGATTGTAATAAAATAGCCCAACTTACTACCAGTCTCTGCAAAGAATATCCCAAAAATAAATTTAAACGTGAAAAAAAGTTTAAACAAAACAAAAAACACACATCAAATTCACATGCATGAAATTATTATTTGTCTTCACACAATAAAAATCCTCAATATAGACACAAAAAGGAGTTCTTGTTTCTCTTGGTTATCACTGATCAATAATGTTCTTGCTAACTCTAAATTTCATACTTATTGTTTGAAAGCATTTCCATAAGGAGAGTGAGTGAGTGAGTATGGTTTTACGCCGCTTTTAGCAATATTCCAGCAATATCACGGCGGGGGACACCAGAAATGGGCTTCACACATTTTACCCATGTCGGGAATCGAACCCGGGTCTTCGGCGTGACGAGCGAACGCTTTAACCACGAGGCTACCCGACCGCCCCTCCATAAGGAGAAGCATTTCATTAGGAACAGTTTAATTAATATGGAGGAGGGGTGGGAGGAGGCGAAATTGGTCTAAGGACTGTATCACATTTTGCTGACACCCCCCCATTTTATGTATCAATATTCCAGCTATCTGACAGCGGCCTGTAAATAATTGGGTCTCGAAAGTGATTGATATTATGAGCAATGATCCACATCATGGGGGTACGATGACACACAATCAACAAAGTCACCGAGTCTGACCAACTGATTCAGTAAGGTGCTTCTAACGACCAGCCCAGGTACCTGGGGACAGATTCTAGCGACCAGCATGGGTACCTGGGGACCGATTCTAGCGACCAGCACAGGTACCTGGGGACAGATTCTAATGACCAGCACAGGTACCTGGGGACAGATTCTAGCGACTAGCATAGGTTGCTGGGGACCGATTCTAACGACCAGCACAGGTACCTGGGGACCGATTCTAATGACCAGCATAGTTTGCTGGGGACTGATTCTAACGACCAGCACAGGTACCTTGGGGCAGATTCTAAAGACTGGCATAGGTTGCTGGGGACTGATTCTAACGACCGGCATAGGTTGCTGGGGACCGATTCTAACGACCTGCACAGCTATCTGGGGACCGATTCTAATGACCAGCACAGGTACCTGGGGACCGATTCTAACGACCAGCCCAGGTACCTGGGGACAGATTCTAACGACCAGCACAGGTTGCTGGGGACAGATTCTAACGACCAGCACAGGTACCTGGGGACCGATTCTAACGACCAGCCCAGGTACCTGGGGACAGATTCTAACGACCAGCACAGGTTGCTGGGGACCGATTCTAACGACCAGCACAGGTACCTGGGGACAGATTCTAACGACCAGCACAGGTACCTGGGGACAGATTCTAATGACCAGCACAGGTACCTGGGGACAGATTCTAGCGACCAGCATAGGTTGCTGGGGACCGATTCTAACGACCAGCACAGGTACCTGGGGACAGATTCTAACGACCGGCATAGGTTGCTGGGGACCGATTCTAATGACCAGCATAGTTTGCTGGGGACTGATTCTAACGACCAGCACAGGTACCTTGGGACAGATCCTAACGACTGGCATAGGTTGCTGGGGACCGATTCTAACGACCAGCACAGGTACCTGGGGACAGATTCTAATTACCGGCATAGGTTGCTGGGGACCGATTCTAATGACCAGCATAGGTTGCTTGGGACCGATTCTAACGACCAGCACAGGTACCTGGGGACAGATTCTAACGACCAGCACAGGTACCTGGGGACCGATTCTAACGACCAGCACAGGTTGCTGGGGACAGATTCTAACGACCAGCACAGGTACCTGGGGACCGATTCTAACGACCAGCACAGGTACCTGGGGACCGATTCTAACGACCAGCACAGGTACACAGGCTTCAAACAAGTGAGTACGAGTACACAATATTTCAGCAATATCACAGCAGGAGACACCAGAAATGGGCTTCACACATTGTACCCATGTGGAAAATCAAACCCTTGGTCTTTGGTGTATCAAGTGAACGCTTTAACCACTAAGCTACAGGGACGTATCATGGAATGATAGGAACATTCTAACATACGTGGGATTCTTGTCAAGAACCAAGAGAACCAAGCATATTTAGATCCTGAGTATGTTTATAGCTGTAGAGATGATATTCTACACATGTACCGTAGACCCAAGTCTACCGTGTAACCGATCACCACACACATGCTGAGACACACTAAGGAATGCATGTTGTAGACAGACCTACCTCCTCCATTAGAGAACTCGGCCAGGTTGGCCCCCCAGGGCATCTTTGTCCCCCAGGAGCACGGCCCCGGCTTCTTGTCCACCTCCTTGATGTAGCCAGAGAAGACTCTGTGGAGCAATTGTCACGTGTAAACTCGTGAGATTCCAGCCGACCATCAACAGAGACAAACATTCCTTCATGCCCTCCTTCACCTCATCAACCAGCATCACACACTGCACTGCAGGCTGCACTCAACAACCTTGTCTCAGACGTCATCGTCACTCGTCCGGCATCATCGCTTTCATCACTTTATCATCTTAGTTTGAATACCGAACATTTGAGATCGGGATCATGAATATTTTGGGGGATATTTTTATGAAACTGTGTGCTCAGTCTTCACTACAAAACAAAAGCCCCCAAACTATTTATGATCCCTAACTTTCTTTGTACATTATATACAATCACTTCCTACCCAGTACCCTGACAAAGATACTAACGTATGTTGCATTGAAACAAGAAAGAATCTGAAATCCAAGTCATCCCTGTCCTCATGAAACTGGTCTCAGCCATTCCACAAACATGAAACTGGTCTCAGCCATTCCACAAACATGAAACTGGTCTCAGCCATTCCACAAACATTAAACTGGTCTCAGCCATTCCACAAACATGAAACTGGTCTCAGCCATTCCACAAACATGAAACTGGTCTCAGCCATTCCACAAACATGAAACTGGTCTCAGCCATTCCACAAACATGAAACTAGTCTCAGCCATTCCACAAACATTAAACTGGTCTCAGTCATGGGGTATAACGTCGCGTCCAAGATTATTGCCCTAATATAGCGACGTGCATGCACATGTGTGGCTGCTTGTACTAGTCCAGACTCATTTCGATTTATAGCACTAGCCCACTTAGATACCATGCCGCAGTTTAACATGAATACCCCACTCAGACACAGTATACTGACTGAGCTGACCAGTCCTTGTCTTAGCCCCTTAATGCCGAGTGCCAGACAGGGTAACAACAAGTACCATCTTTTAACGTCTTTTGGTATGACGCAGCCAGGATCGAACCCCAGGCCCTCAGCTCCACCACCAGACCAGGTGGCATGAGGGGCCCTAGTTTAGATACTTGAAGGTGCCAAGTATTATTTACTAGTATTGATTACACAATTACTCATGACAGCACACAAAAGCATGTCCAGCTAAACACTGGTAAAGGTTCAATAGTGCATTCGGTTGAATAAAATCTAGTGATCTGCTGGGCCAGTTTCCATCTTGTAATCCCATGTACAGTCAAGTCTCGTTAATCCGACAATTAGCTTTATCCGACACTAAAGATGAGAACCGATTAAATCAGTGCTATTTAGACTCGTTAATTCGACAGTCTCGCACTCAACAAATTACTGAAATCACTCATTAATCAGTCTTGTTAATCCGACACAGTGATCAGCTTACTCCGTGGTCATCTGCCCGCATGTATACAGCCCATGTTTTGATACGAGAAGTGTTGGCTAGTAGCGCATTTTACAAGATAAACTTACTTAACAACAAACAATTAATGCTTTAAATAAACAAAACAGGACTAATGACATGCTTAGACTATCTCAATGTCATTAAAATCAGATACAAGTTCTCGCGACCGCTAAGGACATCCCATTTCGGGTCAAGTCAAAATGACCTTTCGCAAACTTTGACCGACCAATGAAATGACTAACAGGAAGTCGACATTAGCCAATAAGAAAGCAGCTTTCTTAAGCATTGCAGCGCTAGTTTCAAACTGGCGACTTCCATTCCAGACTATGCTTTTAAAAGTATTTTGAATCAGTCATACAGCCAGTCGGTTTGTGTTTCTTCATTACGTGTTTGTATCATTATCTATCGTGTAGCTGTCCGACTTTCAATCACGAACATTGATGCTACTCAACTTCGTTTATCCGACATACTCGTTAATCCGATATAATCATATGCAACCAACCATGTCGGATTAACGGGACTTGACTGTAGCTGAGTAACAGCCACCTCTCTATACACTGATGTCCTCTATAGTACTCACACCTCAAGTCCTGACACTGATGTCCTCTATAGTACTCACACCTCAAGTCCTGACACTGATGTCCTCTATAGTACTCACACCTCAAGTCCTGACACTGATGTCCTCTATAGTACTCACACCTCAAGTCCTGACACTGATGTCCTCTATAGTACTCACACCTCAAGTCCTGACACTGATGTCCTCTATAGTACTCACACCTCAAGTCCTGACACTGATGTCCTCTATAGTACTCACACCTCAAGTCCTGACACGCGGAATCTACAACAACATGTCACTTGTGTTATCCATCACACCCCGACACTGATGTCCTCTATAGTACTCACACCTCAAGTCCTGACACGCGGAATCTACAACAACATGTCACTTGTGTTATCCATCACACCCCGACACTGATGTCCTCTATAGTACTCACACCTCAAGTCCTGACACGCGGAATCTACAACAACATGTCACTTGTGTTATCCATCACGCCCCGACACTGATGTCCTCTATAGTACTCACACCTCAAGTCCTGACACGCGGAATCTACAACAACATGTCACTTGTGTTATCCATCACACCCCGACACTGATGTCCTCTATAGTACTCACACCTCAAGTCCTGACACGCGGAATCTACAACAACATGTCACTTGTGTTATCCATCACGCCCCGACACTGATGTCCTCTATAGTACTCACACCTCAAGTCCTGACACACAGAATCTACAACAACATGTCACTTGTGTAATCCATCACACCCCGACACTGATGTCCTCTATAGTACTCACACCTCAAGTCCTGACACGCGGAATCTACAACAACATGTCACTTGTGTTATCCATCACACCCCGACACTGATGTCCTCTATAGTACTCACACCTCAAGTCCTGACACGCGGAATCTACAACACCATGTCACTTGTGTTATCCATCACACCCCGACACTGATGTCCTCTATAGTACTCACACCTCAAGTCCTGACACACAGAATCTACAACACCATGTCACTTGTGTTATCCATCACACCCCGACACTGATGTCCTCTATAGTACTCACACCTCAAGTCCTGACACGCGGAATCTACAACAACATGTCACTTGTGTTATCCATCACACCCCGACACTGATGTCCTCTATAGTACTCACACCTCAAGTCCTGACACGCGGAATCTACAACAACATGTCACTTGTGTTATCCATCACACCCCGACACTGATGTCCTCTATAGTACTCACACCTCAAGTCCTGACACGCGGAATCTACAACAACATGTCACTTGTGTTATCCATCACACCCCGACACTGATGTCCTCTATAGTACTCACACCTCAAGTCCTGACACGCGGAATCTACAACACCATGTCACTTGTGTTATCCATCACACCCCGACACTGATGTCCTCTATAGTACTCACACCTCAAGTCCTGACACGCGGAATCTACAACACCATGTCACTTGTGTTATCCATCACACCCCGACACTGATGTCCTCTATAGTACTCACACCTCAAGTCCTGACACGCGGAATCTACAACATGTCACTTGTGTTATCCATCACACCCCGACACTGATGTCCTCTATAGTACTCACACCTCAAGTCCTGACACGCGGAATCTACAACACCATGTCACTTGTGTTATCCATCACACCCCGACACTGATGTCCTCTATAGTACTCACACCTCAAGTCCTGACACGCGGAATCTACAACACCATGTCACTTGTGTTATCCATCACACCCCGACACTGATGTCCTCTATAGTACTCACACCTCAAGTCCTGACACACAGAATCTACAACACCATGTCACTTGTGTTATCCATCACACCCCGACACTGATGTCCTCTATAGTACTCACACCTCAAGTCCTGACACGCGGAATCTACAACAACATGTCACTTGTGTTATCCATCACACCCCGACACTGATGTCCTCTATAGTACTCACACCTCAAGTCCTGACACACAGAATCTACAACACCATGTCACTTGTGTTATCCATCACACCCCGACACTGATGTCCTCTATAGTACTCACACCTCAAGTCCTGACACACAGAATCTACAACACCATGTCACTTGTGTTATCCATCACACCCCGACACTGATGTCCTCTATAGTACTCACACCTCAAGTCCTGACACGCGGAATCTACAACAACATGTCACTTGTGTTATCCATCACACCCCGACACTGATGTCCTCTATAGTACTCACACCTCAAGTCCTGACACACAGAATCTACAACACCATGTCACTTGTGTTATCCATCACACCCCGACACTGATGTCCTCTATAGTACTCACACCTCAAGTCCTGACACGCGGAATCTACAACAACATGTCACTTGTGTTATCCATCACACCCCGACACTGATGTCCTCTATAGTACTCACACCTCAAGTCCTGACACACAGAATCTACAACACCATGTCACTTGTGTTATCCATCACACCCCGACACTGATGTCCTCTATAGTACTCACACCTCAAGTCCTGACACACAGAATCTACAACACCATGTCACTTGTGTTATCCATCACACCCCGACACTGATGTCCTCTATAGTACTCTCACCTCAAGTCCTGACACGCGGAATCTACAACACCATGTCACTTGTGTTATCCATCACACCCCGACACTGATGTCCTCTATAGTACTCACACCTCAAGTCCTGACACGCGGAATCTACAACAACATGTCACTTGTGTTATCCATCACACCCCGACACTGATGTCCTCTATAGTACTCACACCTCAAGTCCGAACACACAGAATCTACAACAACATGTCACTTGTGTTATCCATCACACCCCGACACTGATGTCCTCTATAGTACTCTCACCTCAAGTCCTGACACGCGGAATCTACAACACCATGTCACTTGTGTTATCCATCACACCCCGACACTGATGTCCTCTATAGTACTCACACCTCAAGTCCTGACACGCGGAATCTACAACAACATGTCACTTGTGTTATCCATCACACCCCGACACTGATGTCCTCTATAGTACTCACACCTCAAGTCCGAACACACAGAATCTACAACAACATGTCACTTGTGTTATCCATCACACCCCGACACTGATGTCCTCTATAGTACTCACACCTCAAGTCCTGACACGCGGAATCTACAACACCATGTCACTTGTGTTATCCATCACACCCCGACACTGATGTCCTCTATAGTACTCACACCTCAAGTCCGAACACACAGAATCTACAACAACATGTCACTTGTGTTATCCATCACACCCCGACACTGATGTCCTCTATAGTACTCACACCTCAAGTCCGAACACACAGAATCTACAACAACATGTCACTTGTGTTATCCATCACACCCCGACACTGATGTCCTCTATAGTACTCACACCTCAAGTCCGAACACACAGAATCTACAACAACATGTCACTTGTGTTATCCATCACACCCCGACACTGATGTCCTCTATAGTACTCACACCTCAAGTCCGAACACACAGAATCTACAACAACATGTCACTTGTGTTATCCATCACACCCCGACACTGATGTCCTCTATAGTACTCACACCTCAAGTCCGAACACACAGAATCTACAACAACATGTCACTTGTGTTATCCATCACACCCCGACACTGATGTCCTCTATAGTACTCACACCTCAAGTCCTGACACGCGGAATCTACAACAACATGTCACTTGTGTTATCCATCACACCCCGACACTGATGTCCTCTATAGTACTCACACCTCAAGTCCTGACACGCGGAATCTACAACAACATGTCACTTGTGTTATCCATCACACCCCGACACTGATGTCCTCTATAGTACTCACACCTCAAGTCCTGACACGCGGAATCTACAACAACATGTCACTTGTGTTATCCATCACACCCCGACACTGATGTCCTCTATAGTACTCACACCTCAAGTCCTGACACGCGGAATCTACAACAACATGTCACTTGTGTTATCCATCACACCCCGACACTGATGTCCTCTATAGTACTCACACCTCAAGTCCTGACACGCGGAATCTACAACAACATGTCGCTTGTGTTATCCATCACACCCCGACACTGATGTCCTCTATAGTACTCACACCTCAAGTCCTGACACGCGGAATCTACAACAACATGTCGCTTGTGTTATCCATCACACCCCGACACTGATGTCCTCTATAGTACTCACACCTCAAGTCCTGACACGCGGAATCTACAACAACATGTCACTTGTGTTATCCATCACACCCCGACACTGATGTCCTCTATAGTACTCACACCTCAAGTCCTGACACGCGGAATCTACAACACCATGTCACTTGTGTTATCCATCACACCCCGACACTGATGTCCTCTATAGTACTCACACCTCAAGTCCTGACACGCGGAATCTACAACACCATGTCACTTGTGTTATCCATCACACCCCGACACTGATGTCCTCTATAGTACTCACACCTCAAGTCCGAACACACAGAATCTACAACAACATGTCACTTGTGTTATCCATCACACCCCGACACTGATGTCCTCTATAGTACTCACACCTCAAGTCCTGACACGCGGAATCTACAACACCATGTCACTTGTGTTATCCATCACACCCCGACACTGATGTCCTCTATAGTACTCACACCTCAAGTCCTGACACGCGGAATCTACAACAACATGTCACTTGTGTTATCCATCACACCCCGACACTGATGTCCTCTATAGTACTCACACCTCAAGTCCTGACACGCAGAATCTACAACAACATGTCACTTGTGTTATCCATCACACCCCGACACTGATGTCCTCTATAGTACTCACACCTCAAGTCCGGACACGCGGAATCTACAACAACATGTCACTTGTGTTATCCATCACACCCTGACACTGATGTCCTCTATAGTACTCACACCTCAAGTCCGAACACACAGAATCTACAACAACATGTCACTTGTGTTATCCATCACACCCCGACACTGATGTCCTCTATAGTACTCACACCTCAAGTCCTGACACGCGGAATCTACAACAACATGTCACTTGTGTTATCCATCACACCCCGACACTGATGTCCTCTATAGTACACTCACACCTCAAGTCCTGACACGCGGAATCTACAACAACATGTCACTTGTGTTATCCATCACACCCCGACACTGATGTCCTCTATAGTACTCACACCTCAAGTCCGAACACACAGAATCTACAACAACATGTCACTTGTGTTATCCATCACACCCCGACACTGATGTCCTCTATAGTACTCACACCTCAAGTCCGAACACACAGAATCTACAACAACATGTCACTTGTGTTATCCATCACACCCCGACACTGATGTCCTCTATAGTACTCACACCTCAAGTCCTGACACGCGGAATCTACAACAACATGTCACTTGTGTTATCCATCACACCCCGACACTGATGTCCTCTATAGTACTCACACCTCAAGTCCGAACACACAGAATCTACAACAACATGTCACTTGTGTTATCCATCACACCCCGACACTGATGTCCTCTATAGTACTCACACCTCAAGTCCTGACACGCGGAATCTACAACAACATGTCACTTGTGTTATCCATCACACCCCGACACTGATGTCCTCTATAGTACTCACACCTCAAGTCCTGACACGCGGAATCTACAACAACATGTCACTTGTGTTATCCATCACACCCCGACACTGATGTCCTCTATAGTACTCACACCTCAAGTCCGGACACGCGGAATCTACAACAACATGTCACTTGTGTTATCCATCACACCCCGACACTGATGTCCTCTATAGTACTCACACCTCAAGTCCTGACACGCGGAATCTACAACAACATGTCACTTGTGTTATCCATCACACCCCGACACTGATGTCCTCTATAGTACTCACACCTCAAGTCCGAACACACAGAATCTACAACAACATGTCACTTGTGTTATCCATCACACCCCGACACTGATGTCCTCTATAGTACTCACACCTCAAGTCCGAACACACAGAATCTACAACAACATGTCACTTGTGTTATCCATCACACCCCGACACTGATGTCCTCTATAGTACTCACACCTCAAGTCCGAACACACAGAATCTACAACAACATGTCACTTGTGTTATCCATCACACCCCGACACTGATGTCCTCAATAGTACTCACACCTCAAGTCCGAACACACAGAATCTACAACAACATGTCACTTGTGTTATCCATCACACCCCGACACTGATGTCCTCTATAGTACTCACACCTCAAGTCCGAACACACAGAATCTACAACAACATGTCACTTGTGTTATCCATCACACCCCGACACTGATGTCCTCTATAGTACTCACACCTCAAGTCCGAACACACAGAATCTACAACAACATGTCACTTGTGTAATCCATCACACCCTGCTAATCACACAGATAACTATATAAGTAAATGTGTTACCTGGCCTTGAAGTCGGAGGAGCCAGCAGCGATCAGCACATTGTTGGCATGCCAGTCCAGGCTGGGGAGTCAAACAGATAGGCAATGTTACCAGTCACATAGACAAGGCAGTGTTACCAGTCACATAGACAAGGCGATGTTACCAGTCACATAGACAAGGCAATGTTACAAGTCACATAGACAAGGCAATGTTACCAGTCAATGTTACAAGTCACATAGACAAGGCAATGTTACCAGTCACATAGACAAGGCAATGTTACCAGTCACATAGACAAGGCAGTGTTACCAGTCACATAGACAAGGCAATGTTACCAGTCACATAGACAAGGCAATGTTACAAGTCACATAGACAAGGCAATGTTACCAGTCAATGTTACAAGTCACATAGACAAGGCAATGTTACCAGTCACATAGACAAGGCAATGTTACAAGTCACATAGACAAGGCAATGTTACAAGTCACATAGACAAGGCAATGTTACAAGTCACATAGACAAGGCAATGTTACCAGTCACATAGACAAGGCAATGTTACAAGTCACATAGACAAGGCAGTGTTACCAGTCACATAGACAAGGCAATGTTACCAGTCACATAGACAAGACAATGTTACAAGTCACATAGACAAGGCAATGTTACCAGTCAATGTTACAAGTCACATAGACAAGGAAATGTTACCAGTCACATAGACAAGGCAATGTTACAAGTCACATAGACAAGGCAATGTTACAAGTCACATAGACAAGGCAATGTTACCAGTCACATAGACAAGGCAATGTTACAAGTCACATAGACAAGGCAATGTTACCAGTCACATAGACAAGGCAATGTTACCAGTCACAGAGACAAGGCAATGTTACAAGTCACATAGACAAGGCAATGTTACCAGTCACAGAGACAAGGCAATGTTACAAGTCACATAGACAAGGCAATGTTACAAGGCAATGTTACAAGTCACATAGACAAGGCAATGTTACAAGGCAATGTTACAAGTCACATAGACAAGGCAATGTTACAAGTCACATAGACAAGGCAATGTTACAAGTCAATGTTACAAGTCACATAGACAAGGCAATGTTACAAGTCACATAGACAAGGCAATGTTACAAGTCAATGTTACAAGTCACATAGACGAGGCAATGTTACAAGTCACATAGACAAGGCAATGTTACCAGTCACATAGAAAAGGCAATGTTACAAGTCAATGTTACAAGTCACATAGACAAGGCAATGTTACAAGTCACATAGACAAGGCAATATTACAAGTCAATGTTACCAGTCACATAGACTAGGCAATGTTACCAGTCACATAGACAAGGCAATGTTACAAGTCAATGTTACCAGTCACATAGACAAGGCAATGTTACCAGTCACATAGACAAGGCAATGTTACCAGTCAATGTTACCAGTCACATAGACAAGTCAATGTTACCAGTCACATAGACAAGGCAATGTTACAAGTCAATGTTACCAGTCACATAGACAAGGCAATGTTACCAGTCACATAGACAAGGCAATGTTACCAGTCAATGTTACCAGTCACATAGACAAGTCAATGTTACCAGTCACATAGACAAGGCAATGTTACCAGTCACATAGACAAGGCAATGTTACAAGTCAATGTTACCAGTCACATAGACAAGGCAATGTTACAAGTCAATGTTACAAGTCACATAGACAAGGCAATGTTACCAGTCACATGGACAAGGCAATGTTACAAGTCAATGTTACAAGTCACATAGACAAGGCAAGGTTACAAGTCAATGTTACAAGTCACATAGACAAGGCAATGTTACAAGTCAATGTTACAAGTCAATGTTACAAGTCACATAGACAAGGCAATGTTACAAGTCAATGTTACAAGTCAATGGTACATGTCACTTTGACAAGTCAGTCATTTATGTCAATTAGACAAGTCAATCATACATGTCAATTAGACAAGTCAATCATATGTCACTTAGACAGGTCAATCATTCATGTCACTTAGACAAGTCAATCATTCATGTCACTTAGACAAGTCAATCATTCATGTCAATCATGTCAATAAAAGTGCACATGTGGTTGTTTATTACACACAATACAGTCAGAAATTTACTCACTGACTTTTTCAAATTCCCATGTTCATAAACGTTGATTTCCCCCTTCTTGCCCTTGGGTACTTCTGTATAACAATAATCTGTTAAACAAGTAACTACACTGGTCTGTCCATTTCATTCATTTTGAAAAATTAAAATTAGGAAATCAATTAGTTGATTAGTCCCAATGCATTTGATTGGCTACAAATGTTCACGCACCATGTAACAGTGGACCTGATTGGCTTCTTGATGTGCTTGCTGACCCACCAGTTGTTGTCCTCCTCATAGTAGGACACAGAGATGAGACGAGCACCGCTACCCACGGCAAACTTGTTCTCTGGGGAGGAAGGACAGATAGCAGAGAGTTCAACACCACTTTGAATTGTACTTCAGTCAAGTCAATACATAATGGTTTGTCGACCCATCGATCTACAGATCCAAGCTGGCACAGCGTTGAAGGCTGAAGGATTATCATCAAATAGTAGTACCTGTACCATGTTGAAAAATGTTCTCGTACAGTCGAAAGTCAACGATAACATGCCTATAGCCCAATATGCACATCACGACATACACCAAGCCTGACAACCAAGGGCCTTGACAGTAGGTGGGGGTACTCCTATACAAGAGTTTAGTGGTGGGACGATACACTGATGCATCAATGGGTCACGATCCTTACTTCTCGATACAATTTGTTTTGTTTGTCTGTTGTTTAACGCCGCACTCAGCAATGTTCCAACTATATGATGGCGGTCTGTAAATAATCGAGTCTGAACAAGACAATCCAGTGATTGACATCATGAGCATCTATCCGCGCAATTGGGATACAATGACATGCATCAACCAAGTCAGCAAGCCTGACCACCTGATCCCGTTAGTTGCCTCTTACAACAAGCATAGTCCCCTTTTACCGCAGGCATGTGTTGCTGAAGACCTATTCTACCCCGAATCTTCATGGGTGTCTTGATACAATTATCAGTTGCTGTACGTATCGATAGTTTATACTTTGTGCGCCACTGTGATTGATACTGCTCGATACAGGTATCAATCACAGTGGCACACAAAGTGTAAAATATTGATACATACAGCAAATGTTTTGTGTAAGAACTGTTGCATCAAACAATAATGATTAGTGAAAACGTAACTATTTTCACCCATTATGCAAAACTTGACACTGCCAACTGTAAATCTTCAGTGTGCCAGGTATTTGGCCATCCTGTCCATGAAAAAGATGGCTTACACACCACAGTTAGAGCAAATGCAAGTATTGTGATGCGTATCGGGTCGTGAATAAGGTATCGTGATACGTATTGGATCGCACAGTTAGTGCATCGTCTCAGCCCTACAAGGCTTACATCACAAAAGAATCATATTCCAAAATTTGCAAAATATTGTGAGCCCTGAGCCCAGAGAATATCTTTAAAACAGAAGAAACCTACAACCTAGACTTGCTGAAAATGCTGATTGGGGGATTTTTGGATATTTTGTTTTGGGGAGAGACTATTATGAAGGTAGAAGCAGTAAAGTGAGGACAGATTGTACCACAATACCATGTGAGACACCCTTAATGTCGAAACTACAATGTGGGATCCACAATGAGAGTGTCCACCAGGATGTGACCACTTGTTTGTTTGTTATTGAACGCCACACTCAGCAATATTCCAGCTATATGATGGTGGTCTGTAAATAATCGAGTCTGGACCAGACAATTGCAATTGGGATACAACGACATGCACCAACCAAGACAGCAAGCCTGACCACCCAATCCCGTTAGTTGCCTCATACGGCAAGCATGGGTTGCTGAAGACCTGTTCTAACCAGGATCATACTGGAGCTGTGACCACTTGACCCTTTTACTTACTTAAATTGGGAATTTAACGTGCGTTTTCCGACATATGCATATTTTATGCACAGGCCTGCTGGGCTTTTTATTGTTTGGTCGAAAAGGGTATGTCCAAAAAGGTGAGGCAACCTAGCGGGGCCCCACTTGACCCCGCGGCGCCCTTCTACTCACCTTGTGGTGATCCCCCCCCTGACGGTGCCCCTTCTACTCACCTTGTGGTGATCCCCCCCTGACGGTGCCCCTTCTTCTCACCTTGTGGTGATCCCCCCCTGACGGCGCCCTTCTACTCACCTTGTGGTGATCCCCCCCTTAACGGTGCCCCTTCTAATCACATTGTGGTGACACCCCTCTCCCCCCCCGACGGTGCCCCTTCTACTCACCTTGTGGTGATCCCCCCCTGACGGTGCCCCTTCTACTCACCTTGTGGTGATCCCCCGACGGTGCCCCTTCTACTCACCTCGTGGTGACACCCCCTTCCCCCCCCTGACGGTGCCCCTTCTACTCACCTTGTGGTGACACCCCCCTCCCCCCCTGACGGTGCCCCTTCTACTCACCTTGTGGTGACACCCTCCTCCCCCCCTGACGGTGCCCCTTCTACTCACCTGGTGGTGATCCCCCCCCTGACGGTGCCCCTTCTACTCACCTTGTGGTGATCCCCCCCGACGGTGCCCCTTCTACTCACCTTGTGGTGACACCCCCCTCCCCCCCCCGACAGTGCCCCTTCTACTCACCTTGTGGTGATCCCCCCCGACGGTGCCCCTTCTACTCACCTTGTGGTGACACCCCCCTCCCCCCCTGACGGTGCCCCTTCTACTCACCTTGTGGTGACCACTTGACACAAGTGGCAGCCCGGTTGATCCTCAGAATCACCAGCATCGGCTTCCATTTCCCGTTACTCTCGGGGCTCCACACGTACGCATTACGATCCTGGAGCAGGGACATGTGGGGTTTGGAAACATCTCAATAATAACCACAATCTAAACTGTTCAGCAATATTAAGTTCATGACTAGATCTGTTTTATAAATGCTGTCTGCTGACATTATATAGCAAATGGAAATGTAAAAAAATTAAAATCTAACAATATATTTTTCTTACAAAAAGTAACTTAATCATCAAGCGCTAACAAGTCTTAAGAGACTGATCTCACTTGAATAAATAAATAATCTTATACAGTTACAGGTAGAAATTAGAAATCTCATACCGCTAAAAACAACCCTGTTATCAAAAGCCTGAGAAATCCTCAAGGCCAGGTATGGTGCTGACACAACAAGAATGAGAGTAACAAAACTTGTGAGTCCTGGCAAAACAAAGGGCTGCAACTCTACACAGCAAACAAAGGCCCCTTAGAACATGTAGACCACTTGGCCATCTGTGCGTTACTGAGCATTGTGCCCCATGATGACCTTTAACCTCTTATGCAGGGATGACAAAATCCTGGTGCTCACCGCTCCGCATGTGACGATTCGGTTGCTGTTGGGAGCCCAGTCAATGCCGGTGACTCTCTGACCATGTTCGGTCAGTGTATCGGCCAACTGCCACTTGGTGCCAGCCTGCTTGAAAATCTTCACCTCGGGACTCTTCTGTGACAGGACCAGGCCTAGAGAAACAATGTGCCATGACTGGATGAACGTGTGTCATGACTGGATCAATGTGTGACATGACTGGATCAATGTGTGTCATGACGGGATCAATGTGTGACATGACGGGATCAATGTGTGACATGACTGGATCAATGTGTGTCATGACTGGATCAATGTGGGACATGACTGGATCAATGTGTGACATGACGGGATCAATGTGTGTCAAGGCTGGATCAATGTGTGTCAAGACTGGATAAATGTGTGACATGATTGGATCAATGTGTGTCATGACGGGATCAATGTTTGTCATGATGGGATCAATGTGTGTCATGACTGGATCAATGTGTGATATGACTGGATCAATGTGTGTCATGACTGGATCAATGTGTGTCATGACTGGATCAATGTGTGTCATGACTGGATCAATGTGATGTTACCAGTTCAGTGAAACTCTGCATGCCTTGCATCACTAGGGCACCTGTGCCCTGAACAGTACAACAGAGTTGGGAGCATCCATACTATTCGTTACACATGTAATAGGATCTATATTCAAATAAAATTTCAAAAACATTAATATGTTTATCATGTTTATCAAATTAACAAAAGCAATCTGTCAAAATATTTTCTGATCTGTTTTCCTTTCAATGATAAAGTTATTCACTTCAAATTCCTAATGGTCACATATAATGAATACCTTTGCCTAATGGTCACATATAATGAATACCTTTGCCTAATGGTCACATATAATGAATACCTTTGCGATCCCCGCTGAAGGCATGGCATGTCACAGGATCCATTCCAAAGTTGTGTTTTTCAGACATGGTTGCTTTTTCTTAACAAATGTTTAAGAAATCTGAAAAGAGACAAAATTATCCGATTTATCACTAATTGTGCTATAGTATGGGTACTGAGCTTTCACTGCCTACAATAGAAATTCTTCATTACTGTCAGAGATCAAAGATGTTCAAACATAAAATTGATTGAAGATAGAAATGCTCTCCGTTTCAGTAGGAATAGCAGTTTTTATCAAAGCCTTGATTACAATATAGATATGCCTGAGTCGTATGAAGCCAATCACTCTCCTCCCCAAAGTTCCATGCAGCCAGCCTTGTAGCCTACCTCTGTCACATCGTCACATCTTACACAGTTCATTCATGTGTTCTTCATCTGTTTCATTTTGGACGAGTCTACACATTTAGACAAACATAACATTCATTGAGAAAATATCCTAAAACTATTTCCATTTGTGTAGTTATCCTCCACGTGTTGTCATGAAAGCCCTACGGAGACCTGGCGAGATGGTCTCTCTCATGTGTAAAGCTATATTATCATGCACCTCACTGTCGCAGTTGTAGTAGCGTGTCAATATAAGTATGCCATACAATATGTAAAGCGCACTGAAAGGCTTTCATAAGGCCCATCTGCACTTATTTCAGAATAAGTGCGTTTGTGTACAAACAAGAGGCAAGTATGGTCACATTATAAGACTACATCCGTGGTGTGGTCAATGGAGCAGAACATTCTGTCGCAGAATAAGGCGAGCAGAGCCGAGTAATGGGTCTTCAGAATGGTCCTGTCTCTTTAAAGTTACAAGGCACAGTTACGGACCCTCTGCAAATGACGCCATTATCATTATTGTCCCATTATCGTGTTGCACACATATTGCAAAGGAGAAAACTGCACTTCACACCTCTTTTGTCCATATCATTTTTTTCATGATTGATTTACCATCATGATCATAGGGTGCCATCATGATCATAGGGTGCAGATATGGATAGACAGGAAACTTCCTCATTACCAGGAAGTGAGATTAGGGGCTACGCTCAAAGCCAGGTGATTCAGACTTCAGACTTATTTCGCTTCTCTGTTGTTCACAAAGTTTTAGGATTAAACACAATCTAGTAATACATGATTAACAATAACTACATGAATACAATGTCTCAACTAGACACAGGGCAATTATTACAGAAACGGGACCAAGACTTCGAGAAACACCATCTCATTCGAGAGTTTGACTAGTTTGAGTCACCATCCGAAATATTGCAACTACTTCGACCTGGCTTGAAACCTCTTTGAGCGATGAGAACATTTTTTTAATGAGATCGATCTACAAGTAAATACTTACTAATTGTGATTACTACTCAAAGTATGTAGAAATTAGAGAACCCGCGGACTGGTCAGTCTACACGAATTCCCTTTGCACGAGAAAGAAACAGGAAGTAAACCACGCCTTCGCGTGATGTCCTCACTTTGCAGTGTGTTGACTGGGTTCTTGTCTATCTAAACGAATAAAAGCGCTAAGTCTGCTACGCGAACCAACGGTAGTACCAGTTTATTGCGAGGCCCGCTTTTTGTTGAAATAAACCTTTAATTTGGTCCCGAATTTGTCAAATAGTTTTGTGGAATCATCTGGACTTAAGATAGTGGAAATCCCACAATAGATGAATGATTAAAATAAATGGGAATTTAATAAACATTTAAAGGGTACATTAAGTTATCAAGGTATTGTGCTATAGAAAATAACTATTTCCAGCATAAACTTTATTCGAACAAGGGACCACTTGGCGTCAAAGTATTTTATTTAAAGGTATTGGTTGTAAAACCGCTTTAGTTTTCAACAGTGAGTGTAGACTGTTTTCAGGGTGTATAATATGATGCATATACAGATTACTAAATTACTAAAGATTTACTTAATAATACGTTGGTATGAAATATGATGAATCTATTATAACTACTATTGGAGCACTACTGTTAATTGATTAAAATGACTCCCACCCCAACAAACACATTGTGTTTTAATTCTTTTTTCATCTACCCCAAGCATTTGTCAGTTTATGCCATGGGCATGAACACAATGATGAATACATAACACTTTTATGGATAACAACTACTTTTATTCTTTGTGCGACGTTTCAGAGCTACTCCGCTCCTTCATCATTTCCTTAGCGTGTGTCACAACGGCTACCCTTGTCACCACGACACCTTCAGTGGACTTAATTAATCCTGTTAATCCCATCGGCTTCGTCATTATATTGTTATCTTTGTACAATCAACCCACCTTGTGTTGTGTAAACATCTTGATATATGCACGTCCTAGGTTACCCGTGAAAATCCGGGGTAGAATAGGTCGCATATATGTAACGCCGCAATATTCCAGCTATAAGACGGCGGTCTGTAAATAAGCGAGCCTGGACAGGACAATCCAGTGATTAACCCCATGAGCATAGATCCACGGGATACATTGTTAAATAAATATAATTGCCAGGAACATGAGCCAGTGAGTGAGTATGGTTTTACGTCACTTTTAGCAATAGTACAGAAATATCACGGGGGACACCAGAAATGGGCGCCAGCATCATGAAGGATTTTCTATGCTAATTAGACAGCTTATGTCACTTTAAGTACCACACGTCTTGTCTATGACATATTATTCCCATTTCATATCTGATTCCCCTAATCAAACATAGACTTGTACATGTCTTGTTTACATACAGCATTACCAGAACATTAACTTGTTGCGAGCCGAGTACCCGCGCACACTCGTCATGTGTATGCGCATGCGCGTGTTAAATTTAGTGCCATCTCATGAAACAGACGGAAGAATGATATTTTCAATGCGTGATTATTTCAGTTAATAGTTACAAGACATCAAGTAGAACTATAATGAAGTAGTCTCACCGTAATTTAAACTCCGATGTTCAGAATATTGAGATAGTCCAACAATATCACCATTATTGTGTGCCGACCCCTGAACTGGAATCCGTTTCGTTGCGCTAGGTATCCGGAGAGTGTGGTCAGAAGGTAGTGGTCAGTGCCACTGACCGTCCGTCCTGACCGTTGGAGCCTCAAATATAACCCGTCTCCATGGAAACGCTCGTTTCATTGCCCAGCACCCCTCTCAAGGTGAATGTATGGCGTCTGCTATATAAATATCCTAGAATGTATTATGCCACTGACTCCATATATTGGCTGCATACATAACTGAAATGGCCTGCAATTAAATATAATGTCTTGGTATTTCATTAGTTGGTATGTGTATCACTTCCAAATGCCATTCTAAGATAAGATTGTCAGAACAGTTTTCACGAGACTGTAAATCGGCGCTATAAGCTAGGATTGAGGCATATTTGTAGAAGGCTCATGGATCAAACGCTCATCGAAAACATCTTTTCGTGTACTGATAGCCTTACTTACATAAACAATGTTTCGAAGATAACAGTGTGTGTGTATTATACTTTCAAACTGATCAACTAAAAGTGAAAATATCAATGATCTGTTGTATTGCCAATATATACAATGAAAGCAGTGATATATATAGTGATACACTAAGCTGATGTCTTGATATACCTGACGTACTACAGTGGTATTAAAGAAGTTCTGTTCTCAGTTCAGTTGGGAGTTTATTTCAAGTTAATTAAAAAACACCACGTTGTGTACACAACAGATCAATCTACCAATCAGTGATTACCCCAATCACACAGCGACATTGTCTCATGTTCACACGTTGCACCATCCAATAAACTTGTCTGTCACACCACAGGAGTCCGTATCTAAAAATAGACGCCCTCGTGCATATTCATGACCATCTCCACACGCGAGCCTCCTGTGGTCACACATCCCTGGTACAGTCGCCTGTCAGCATTAGTGAGTGAGTGAGTGAATGAGTTGTGTTTAACGCCGCTTTGGAAGTACTCCAGCTGTATCACGGCGTGTCAACTTTGAAAGCCCGAAGTGATGCAGGTCTCAGACGTTTACCACTTCGGTGAAACCCACAAGCACTGGTATGGTGCTGACGTACAAACCTAGAAACATAATCGGGGCGAATCTTGGTTCAAACTCACGAGGGGGCACGGGTGGCCCAGTCGTCTAAGGCGCGGTGATTCGCTGTGCAGAGTTGCGTCCCTTGGGCACGTCAGAAAACGATGATTGTGGGTTCGAATCCCGGTTCGCCCCAATTATGTTTCTAGGTTTGTCAGCACCATACCCGTGCTCGTGGGTTTCACCGAAGTGGTAAACGTCTGAGACCTGCATCACTTCGGGCTTTCCTCCCACATTAAGTTGACGCACCGTGATATAACTGAAATAATGTTAAAAGCGGCGTTAAACCCAACTCACTCACTCAAACTCACGATCATAGGTTTCTGGCGTGCCCAAGGGACGCAACTCTGCACAACTAATTGCTAATTTGTAATGACTCCCATACACACGTGTGTCTGGACAGTTCACTACAATAATGTTGGGCAGATTTGTATTGTCTTTGAAATTAAGTATCTCTTGGGCTCTGTTTCAAAGAGACCATACGGTCTCTGAGTTACATAATTATTGTAATAAACCTAATACACAACTTTCTACAGGCTCATCTGCCTCATCCCCCCGAGGCAAGGGCGTTAACTGACTATAAAATTGGAAAGATGCATCTCTCTGTATCTGTCAGCTATAGGTTTGAATATCATTCCAACTTCCTTGTAAGAAACTTATACATCTCAAAACTCTTTTGCATTTAACATAGATAAAGATCACATATTTGCATACGAACAATTGTTGTACTCTCTGTCTGTACTGTCGCCAATGTCATGTATGTTTATCACTGTGATCTTTGGATGCAGCGATTGAACGTGGAAGCGGCATTGTGTTCGTTAGAAGGTGACAATATATCAGGAGTCTCTTAGAGTAAGTACTATTTATTTTTGACCAATAGGAGCCCACCACAACAAACTTTTATTTCATGCACATGGCTTGAACTTCCTTGTCAGAATAAGACGTGTAGACGTCGTAACAATGATTCTGTGGCGCGGCGAAGTCGTTTTGATGTTGTTGCTGCCGTTGTGTGCCTTATCGGAGGATGATAACGAGCGAGTAAAAACTCCCTCGCTATGTGAAGGTAATTTGATGGACTGGGAGATGTGACGTATCCTCTATACATTAAATATTTTGTTTACATTGAATATATTGCACTTTAATAACTGCCCACTCTTGTGAACAAATGTAAATGTTGTCAATCATAATTGAAAATCTGTAAAAGAAACATGTCTTTCGTCTCTTCTAAATTATTTTGTCCTTCATTTTCGGTTAGACTATTAAGCAAAATCGTACAAGTTACCCTATATGTTGTCGGTTATATTTCTTAATTTGTCAATGCACTATTGTTCATTACCGATCTATGTAGCCAGTAAGTTATGTATTACTGTATTTTCAATGAGTACTGAAACTTTTGTCTGAGTCGCCATTTAGAAAAGAGATTATCGCTGAATCATTAACCATGTTGATCTTAGCTGATATAATTTAATCTTCTTCCTTCCGACAATTCTCATTTCCTCAATGTCGGAAATACAATGGCAGCTTAGTGTATTATTGCACATGTCATCTTACTCACTTCGTACATTTATACCTACTTCTGTGTTGCAAAACATATTTATCTTTGTGTGGTTCACTGAAGCTTTCCACGTACGGTATTTCATAAACTTAATCTAATTACTATTTCAAGAAGATTTTTTCTTTGTTTATACAATTGTGTGCAAATCAATAAATACATTTTGCAAATATGATCTTTTCAGTATGCAAGTTTTTGACAGTGGAGTTAAAAAATCGCCTTCATGAAACTGGCAAGTCAAAAGAGGTTCTAAAGACAGGTCAAGGTTTAGACAGTAAGAGGAAAATCAAATATCAGACATCGTAAGTGTTACCATGGTTACCAGGAAAGTGAAACTGAGGAAGCAAATTACAGCACACTCTAACTTGTCTGTTTGCTGATCTCCAGTTTTCCTTTGTTCTTTGTGTGCATTATCTAGGTAGTTTTATAGTGAGGTATATAATGTTATTTCATTAGTAAAGCATAGTGTTTATCTCAGTAAAGCATAATGATACAGTTTTGTTTCTATGGTAAAACCTAAACTTTTATTTCATACAATGTTATTCGATAGTAACACATACAGTGTTATTTCAATAGTAATACATACAGTGTTATTTTGATAGTACCATATACAGTGTTATTTCGATAGTAAATCATACAATGTTATTTCGATAGTAATTCATACAGTGTTATTTCAATAGTAACTAGGGGCGATGGAGTAACCTTGTGGTTAAAGCATTCGCTTGTCATGCTGAAAGACCCGGGTTCTATTCTCCACATGGCTGTTACGTGTGAAGCCCATTTGTGGTGTCCCCCCGCCATGACAATGCTGGAATATTGCTAAAAGCGGCATAAAACCATACTCACTCACACACTCAATTGATAGTAACTCATTCAGTGTTATTTTGATAGTAAGTCATGTTGTGTTTTGATAGTAAATCATACAGTGTTACTTTTACGTATAGCATTTTCTATTGCCATGAGTTTGAACAGACTGACATTAGGCCTAGATGAGCATGCTGTAATAGGGAAATCATGTTGATTCAGGAAGTAGACTTGACGAGCCCCTTTGGCGGTTCTACTTCCAGAAGAAACACATTCAAATAATTTCGCTATAATTAACATACTGACCTATACTTGTTTTAGTTTTACTGGTTAAAAATGCACATTCAGAAAAGTGATGCCAGCATAATGGGTTAACTAACATTAACATCAATAAGAAAGTCATGCTCCGGACTGCATAAAATTTGAAATTTGATATTCCATGTGGCCAAAGATACATACACATGATACATGGGTAAATAACATCTTTAGTTCAGCTTCATTAACTGACTAACATGCAACATTCTGTATATAATGTGCATTCATTTACTTCCAGAGAGCTGCGTTTGATTGAAGCTCTCCAAGAGCCTCATGTATGTGAGAAGATTCTAGAGTACAACATCCACGCTGAGAAGGAGGGCAGTAAGCGGTACGCCAAGGGCCGGAGTGAGACGATGGAGACCCTGCATGGCCTGGTGTGAGTTGATGATGATGATGATGATGATGATGATGATGATGATGATTGGTTACCTGTGGCTTACGAAGATATTCTCAGTTTTCAGACATTGTCCTCCTCATTATTTATTATACAGTAATGAAACTAGTGTATTCACTTAGGAATGAATTGCATTTGTTTATTCACAACTGCTAAAGTAAGCTACAAATTCAAAGAGATAATAAAACCAAAAGTAATACAAAACTTATTTGTGATTAAGAAGAATGAATTTCTATCTTGGTTGAACTTGAAGTTCAATTTTTAAGTCTCCTCTCAACCAACAAAGGCTATGTTGAAACTTTGTAATAAATATCCCAATTTCTTAAATATCAGTCTCTTTCTAAACATGACCATTTGAAATTTGATATGCAGTAAGAATGTGGTATGCCCATTGTAACATGACTGCCATATTGAAAATTCAACTTTGGCCCTTACACAATTAGTGATGAATAAATGTGTAATTCAAATGTACATGCAATTAAGTTGATTACAAAGTCTGCGGTGTAGAAACTTCTGATCTACTCTTCTACTTTCTTGTTTACCATTGTGTTGCAAATATTCCAGAAGTATTCAGGAGAGCTTCTTTTTATCTATGGGGTCCCAGGTCAGTGAGAGAATAGTCCTACAGTAGACTTATGTAATCGTGGACCACGTGTCACCTGGTATAGGGAATTCCAGGTTTGAGATCAAGCATCCATTGTTGTTCCTTTTTTGTTCTTGCAGTGCCAAGGGTGTGAAAGTGGAACTGGGGATGCCCTATGAGATGTGGGACAAACCATCTGCCGAGGTCACACACATGCAGAGAAAGGTAGGTGAAGGTCACTGCCATACATAAGAAGGGTATGGGGGAAGGTCACTGACATTCATAGAAAGGTAGGTGAAGGTCACTGCCATACATAAGAAGGGTAGGAAGGTCACTGACATTCATAGAAAGGAAGGTGAAGGTCACTGCAATACATAAGAAGGGTATGGGGGAAGGTCACTGACATTCATAGAAAGGAAGGTGAAGGTCACTGCAATACATAAGAAGGGTATGGGGGAAGGTCACTGACATTCTTAGAAAGGAAGGTGAAGGTCACTGATATTCATAGAAAGGTATAAGTGAGAGTCACTTACATGCAAGGCAGCACAGATGGGGATTCCAGTTTAGTATTAGTCCCCAGGAAACATTGCTTGTGAGGCGATTTAGTGGATCGGCATTGACAGATAGCATGGTCAGAATTAGTTTGATACCCTGATGGCGTGGATCGTTGGTTGTAATCTGAATCATTGGTTTGTCTGGTCCACTATCATATACCGGTAGCCATATAGCTGGAATATTGCAGTGTGAATCATCAAGAAACAACCAACCAAAAGTACTTGCATACAGAAAAAGGTAGGCAAAGGTCACACACATGCAGAGTGAGTGAGTGAGTGAGTATGGTTTTATGCCGCTTTTAGCAATATTCCAGCTACATCGGGGACACCATAAATGGGCTTTAAACATTGTACCCATGTGGGGAACTAAACCCGGGCCTTCAGCTTGATGAGCAAACGCTTTAACCACTAGGCTACCCCACCGCCCCACACACATGCAGAGGACAGTAGGTGAAAGTCATGCTGACCCTTGCTCCATAAAATCCTTGGACCATCAGGCTCTTTCTTTCATTACTCCTGAATATCCCTTCAGATTATAATATTTTTCGATTCATTTTCATTCCAAATCACGTGTCCTGTTATGCATCAATGTAATACAATACATCATGTGGCACAGTGGAACATTTAATGCACCAAGTATTCAGTTAACCTTTACAGCAGGGGCTGTTACACAATCATCTGATGCGTGGGTCGGCTTCCAGTGATCTTGAGCTGACTTGTAGGTACAGAGTTGTATGTTTCAGTGTTTCTCCATCGTCGAGGATTATGAGGATGACATTGAGGCCTGGTACTACCATCACCAGGACCGCGACTTGACCCAGTATCTGTGCGAGGAGAGGGTGCTGCAGAAAGCTGATGCAGGTACAACACTCCCATACATGTGTATTCTCAAATACATTAGTGATGCACCATACCTTTCTCCATGTTGTGTGACACAATGAGTCCATGCCTAATGGGGTTGTTGTGTTGTTGTTTTTTGTGTTTTTTTACATGACACTCAGCAGTATTCCAGCTATATGACGGCAGTCTGTAAATAATCGAGTCTGGGGGTTGTTGTGAGTCTAAGGTAACCTGTGTACAGTATACTACGGTTATAACAAACTCAAAGGGACTGCTAATTTTAGTCCGTTATAACCAAAGTTTGTTATGAGCATATACAGCTTATATACATCAAATGGCCGGGACATAAAAAAACCAATGTGTTACATCCATCAGTTCATTATAAGCGTGTTATTCATAAACATAGTTTACTGCATAGTCAAGTCTAAGGGCAACAGTGTATTCTATTGGGTAGGAATCCACGTAATCATACAGGTTACACATTGTAACCACCCTATCAATAGTACCTGGTGTTGGATGCTGGGGATCCAGAGAAGGGCTGCACTCACAACCCACCTCCTTTCTTTAAACACCAACCTGTCCTACCACCTTCCATCTTGGTATAACACCCGAGTTAGAATAGGTCTTCCACAACCCATGCTTGTCGTAAGAGGCGACTAACAGGATCTGGTGGTCAGGCTTGCTGACCTGGTTGATGCATGTCATCGTATCCCAATTGTGTGGATCGATGCTTATGATGTCACACACTGGATTGTCTGGTCCAGACTCGATTATTTACAGACCGCCGTCATGTAGCTGGAATATTGCTGAGTGCGGTGTTAAACAACAAACAATAATGCAGCATGAACTAGACGTGAGACATATACCCACTTTACCTTACAGTACTTTGTGTGGGTTTAATCTACCAGTGTTCATATGTATTCTACAGGTTGTCTGAATGAAGCAGTAGAACCCAGGAGTGGATCGAAGGCCAGTAAAGGTAGGTGGTGTCATGGTTCCAATTACCTGAAATGTTTTACTGACCGAAACGTCTATCATTTCTTCAGGTATCTTAATGTCTTAATATTGTCTTCTCCAAGGACAAAAATCTATGTTTGTTTGCTGTTTAAAGCCGCGCTCAGGAATATTCTGGCCATATACGGTCTGTAAATAATCGAATCTGGACCTGACAATCCAGTGTGTGACATCATAAATATCGATCCACACAATTGAGATAAGATGACATGCATCAACCAAGTCAGCGTGCCTGACCACCCGATCCCGTTAGTCGCCTCTTACGACAAGCATAGTCGCCTGTTGCAGCAAGCATGGGTTGCTGAAGACCTATTCTACCCCGGATCTTCACGGGTCACAAAAATATATGATACATATATCATTATATGTGACATACAATACGCATAACTCATCATATTAGCATGAAACAAACTCCAAATACAATCTATGTAAACTTGATGAAAGTGAACTTGAGTACAAGCTGGGTTTGACACGAAGCAGATATAATGGAAGCTTGATCTGTGAAATCATAACCGCCAGATTAAATGTTTGTTTATATGGTTGTACACTGCCTTACCAACAATCATGTGATATGTCAAGTATCAAGAAGCATCTGTCGATCATGTCATGTCAATGTTAGATTAACTAAGAGATTTTCATACCAGTATTAAATGGGAGTTGTCCTGATATGACATTTGACTTCAAGAATAAATCAAAATCAAATCTTTTCTGTCATCTCAGAAAGGAATTGTTTTGACCCAGTAATAAATAAATTCTGTGTGCAAAGAAACAATAATGTTAATTTCTAATTTCAGGAGATCTGAAGGGCGACACAGGCTCGGCTGATGACTTGTCCAATGAGATTCCTGTAGTCAATGACGACAACCACGACGAACTTTGACCTTGGTCACCCCCTGATCGTGCAGCATGTCAATCTTCTGAAACCATTTTATGTGAACTGTCCTTGAGTGTTTGTGAGAGTGGTAAAAGAGGGTACAGGTAATGGTGGCAGTGTTACGATGAAAGTAGACTCACACGTCTTTTACCCAATACATTTACAGTAAACTGTGGTTAGCACTCAAAGGGAGCACTAATTCTAGTTCCTTATAGCCGTAGTGTGCTTTAAGCAAATATACAGCAAATGACCGGGACAAAAAAAACAGGTTTGTTATGTCCGTCAGTTTATTGTAAGCGTGTTAGTTATAAACGTAGTTTACTGTATATTTCTTTGGACAAACAGATGATGGTGTAATTTACGATTCCTGCAGAATCCTTAGTAGTATGATGGTCCGATACTGGCTTTCAGGGCCCTGTTCCACAAAGCCATCGCACCGCTGATCATAACTCCCCTACTTTAACACAGACTTACGACAGTCGTAGCGTTACAATCATTTGTGGAAGGGGGCCATGCTCAGAACCATCTACTGAGTATGAGTGATTATTGTTAACACTGCATCAGTAATCTTGCAGCTCTTCCCGGCGAAAACCTTAGTACGAAAGTACTGAAACCTTTTTTTAAGGTCCCAATTCACTTTGAGTTAACAAGTTTGCTTGAAATAGATCACTTATTATTATTCTTGATAAGAATGTTTTTCTGCTCTAAAAATGTTTCCCAAAAGATGTTGCGTCTGCTTGATATGCAACATATAATTATGTAAGATGTTAACTGTCAAGATTCCTTGGCCAGTTCACCTGTGGTTGTTAGTGCCCCATGTAAGTGTATCATCAACACGTCCACATAAGACCAAAGATAAAGCTTGACGTCATCATGATCAGGCCTGTTGACATCAGAAGTGTTTTACTGTTAGGTAGTTGTACTGAAGCCATCTCATCACAGGTCAAGGTCATTCATTCCATAATTCAGCTGTTAACTCATACTTCATCTTCATTCAGCCTCTCACACCCCATCTTCTTCCCCGGCAAGTATTACCAGCTATTGAGTGAGTGAGTAAGGTTTTACGCTGCTTTTAGTAATATTTCATCAATATCACGGCGGGAGACACCGGAAAATGGGCTTCACACATTGTACCCATGTGGGGAATCGAACACGGGTCTTCTCTTCTCACTGGATTCTCAGACTCATAATGTACAGATTACCATCACATGGCTGCAATATTGCTAAGTGAACATTAAATAACAAACCAACCAACCATGGGGCGAGGCTTTGGTTGTTTTTTGCAGTAAGAGATATTGTTAAAACAATAAAATATGTTCAGTAACATGGAGCTTGACCATGAATTTGAAGAATACCATCCACCGATCATAAAAATGTTCAAGCAACTTTCGAGTTGTCAGAACTACAATACTGTCAATGCGACAGTAAGCAGCCAGTAAGATACATGATGCATCTGGGTACAAGTACACATTCCTGGTATTCCATTAAACTTCATTCTGCTCTCCCCTGATCCTGATCCCCATTTGCCAGAGTCACCCTGATGTGACAAAAACTGGGGACATGAAAGAACTCATTTCAATCTCATTAAAATCAGATCTTAGTTCTCGCTACGGCTAAACAAAGATCTGAGGACATCCCATTACGGGTCACGTCAGACTGACCTTGCGCAAACTTTGACCGACCAATGGAATGACCAATCAGAAGGCAGCTTTCTTGTGCTTTACGGCATTAATTTCAAATTGGCGACTACGCTTCGAAACATATTTTGACAAATTGATTACAAATTTGAAACCGGAACAAAAGAACATTCTGGAATGGCTAATTGATGGTCCCGATTGTATTGATTCAGTCGTTAAACCCGTAACTATCGTTCGGAATACCGCGTGTTAAAGTTTTCGAGGTTGCATGATTAGAAATCACATTCAAACTGTCACTTTCATAATCTGGTAAGCGACGCTCTGATTGGTCAGATGAAAGGTCGTTCTGACGTGACCCTTAATGGGATGTCTTCAGATCTTTGTTTAGCAGTAGCGAGAACTAAGGTCTGATTTTAATGAGATTGGAACTCATTTCTGACTATTTTACAATGAACTGTATTTTGTACAAATACCAGCATTGAGAGATCCAGATGCAGTGCATTTAAATGTTTCACCGGTGTGCCATTTTGAAAGGAAATATTTGTGTTGTATGTACAACAGTACCTTATTGTTAATCTATACATGTATTAAATTTTATTGAATTTTTTCTTCGTTTTGTTTTTCATAGCTCTAAAACAGTTAATGACCTGAGAAATGTTAGGTGAAATATCATTTTACTTAACACTCATCAGTGAATGAGTGAGTGAGTTGGGTTTGAAGCGGTATTCCAGTTATATCCCTGCATGTCCACTTGCTGCAGGAGAATACCCGATGTGGTGCAGGTCTTAACTGCTAACCGCTTTGGTGCAGAACGACCTTGACACACATAATCAGGGTGAAGCGGAGATTCACATCCTTAACCAGCATCAGTGGATGCAGCTCATAAATTCTGGTCATAGTCTCACTTGTGCAGATGTACCTATTTGGCAACACTGCATCCAACTAGCTGTGCTCTAATGGCATATTTCAGAGCTTAGTTAAAAGTTTCAGCCATCATGGTAACTGGGCTGAAACTATATTTGAAACAAAACCCAAATAAAGAGGAATGACATCAGAATTTGCTGAGCACTTCATCAACCGACTTCATACCATCACTACAGGACATGGCCATGAATCACTCACAGAACCCACTGTATCATGTACACAGTAACAAACAGCACTTCACACAGTAACAAACAACACTTCACTTCACACAGTAACAAACAGCACTTCACTTCACACAGAAACAAACAGCACTTCACTTCACACAGTAACAAACAGCACTTCACACAGAAACAAACAGCACTTCACACAGAAACAAACAGCACTTCACACAGAAACAAACAGCACTTCACACAGTAACAAACAGCACTTCACACTAACAAACAGCACTTCACACTAACAAACAGCACTTCACACAGTAACAAACAGCATTTTACACAGAAACACACAACATTTCACACAGAAACAAACAGCACTTCACTTCACACAGTAACAGCACTTCACTTCACTGAGTAACAAACAGCACTTTACACAGAAACAAACAGCACTCATTAAAATCAGATCTTAGTTCTCGCTATCGCTAAACATAGATCTTAGGACATCCCATTAGGGGTCACATCAGAACGACCTTTTATCCAACCAATCAGAGCGTCGCTTACCAGATCATGAAAGTGACAGTCGGAATGTGTTTTCTAATCATGAAACCACGATATATTTAACACGGGGTATTCTGAACGACAGTTACAGGTTTGATGATTATATCCATACAATCTGTGCCATCTATAAACCATTCCAGAATGTTCTAATCAGTTTTAAAAGTTTTAATCGAGAATATGTCAAAATATGTTTCAAAGCGTAGTCACCAGTTTGAAACTAGTGTCGTAAAGCTTGAGAAAGCTGCCATCTGATTGGCCAGTGTCGATTTCTTGTCAGTCATTTCATTGGTCGGTCAAAATTCGCGAAAGGTCGTTCTGACATGACCCGTAATTGGATGTCCTCAGATCTTTTTTAGCGTTAGCGAAAACTAAGATCTGATTTTAATGAGATTGAAACAAACAGCACTTTGGTTTACACAGAAACAAACAGCACTTCACTTTACATGGTTTATTACATCAAGATCCAAAATTATTTTCATCTCCTGTGCAAAACTGTATGAACAAGCAACACATGACTGGTACCTCTCTGTACAATGTGGCCAAGTAACGAGACAGAGCAACATGTAGATTCTTTGGTTCTCAATATCGGCTCCAGATAGCGGGACACTATCATTGCATGGTTAGTAACAGAACAATAAGGATTAGATTACTTAAAAAGTACTTATGCATAGTGGTCAAAGATTTATCAATTTTACATACGAGTCTTATGGATACAAACAGGCATGCTGTATACACTGTTCAAGTTCAAGAAAACTCGATTCTTTCATATTACAATAGTTAATTTGTCACCATGACAGATTAACTATCATAATATTAAAGAATAAGGTGTTCTTTAACTTCTTTTGAGTAGTATAATTTGTCAGTAAACAATACTTATCCATGTTTCCTATTTCTGTTAGGACAGAATATTAATACATAAATATCAACCACATCTACATCCAATAAGGGAACCTATGTCATTTTAATACCATGTCCTCCCCACCACCCAAACCCCGGCTTATCAGTGCTAAGTACGTAGAGGGGTATGCAGACTGCCTAGCTGAGGTGAACAGGGTGAAAATTGTCACAATTTCAATTGATACATACGGCACAATACATATATGTCATGTTGTCACTGCAATGGGACTTCTTATGATTTCTTCAAATGTGTTGGACGAGTTACAAGTTGTTTGCACCTGTTGTAGTGTCCCCGATGTCTTGGAGAATTAAGATCGTGTAGGTCACAACTCGATGTACATGTCTCCTGTTGTGTTTGCACCTGTGACATTGTCTCCTGATAGCGTAGGTTACAACTTTGTGTCTCCTGTTGTGTTTGCACCTGTGACATTGTGTCCCAATATCTTGAGGTTCCTGATGGCGTAGGTTACAACTTTGTGTCTCCTGTTGTGTTTGCACCTGTGACATTGTCTCCTAATGGCGTAGGTTACAACTTTGTGTTTCCTGTTGTGTTTGCACCTGTGACATTGTCTCCTAATGGCGTAGGTTACAACTTTGTGTCTCATGTTGTGTTTGCACCTGTGACATTGTCTCCTGATGGTGTAGGTTACAACTTTGTGTCTCCTGTTGTGTTTGCACCTGTGACATTGTCTCCTTATGGCGTAGGTTACAACTTTGTGTCTCCTGTTGTGTTTGCACCTGTGACATTGTCTCCTAATGGCGTAGGTTACAACTTTGTGTCTCCTGTTGTGTTTGCACCTGTGACATTGTCTCCTGATGGTGTAGGTTACAACTTTGTGTCTCCTGTTGTGTTTGCACCTGTGACATTGTCTCCTTATGGCGTAGGTTACAACTTTGTGTCTCCTGTTGTGTTTGCACCTGTGACATTGTCTCCTAATGGCGTAGGTTACAACTTTGTGTCTCATGTTGTGTTTGCACCTGTGACATTGTCTCCTGATGGTGTAGGTTACAACTTTGTGTCTCATGTTGTGTTTGCACCTGTGACATTGCTCCTGGTGTCTCCAGACTTCCGATGGCGTACCTCGGTACGTTATAACATGGTGTCTCATGTTGTGTTTGCACCAGTGGCATTGAATCTCATCCACTTGAGATGGTGTGAGCTACAAATGGGTACCGGTATGTATGGATAATGTTGTCTGCACCTGGTCTCCCCATCCCAAGGAAGCGGATGAATTATAGGGACATGCTGTGTGGACTCCTCCCATGTCAGACTGATGTGGGTCCTGGATACATCTGGGGGCACAGACAAGCATTCGGTACGGCATACTTCATTTCAGTCAGAAAATACTATCTCTGAGATGACTACACCAGAAGGAAAATAATCTTCAGAATATTTACAATTATAATAAGGCTGGCATAAATTAATCATTAGATAACAATGCATTTTGTTTTCAAGATTGCTAATTTTCTTATTTACCCCAAAAATTATCGCAAAAAGGGTAAAATAAACAACACACCCCAACATAAATGAGATATGGCAGCATATTTTAGTATAGAATATTTTTTATCTAATGATAAATCAACATTGGCCGAATGTATTCTATGAGGTTGTTAATACTGACTCATTAAGACATCACTTGTTAATCTTTGTTTAGAGTCATCTACCCCTCCCCTTTCACGTCACATCTTGGATCATACATGCATTCACATTAAAACATACTATGCAATATGTATTTATTGTTCAATCAAACAGAATTTGGACTAATGTGTAAAGTGAAGGTGTACAGCTAACATCAGTCGAACTAACCTAACCTGATAGACAAGTGCATACAGTCTTTAGTCATTTAGCACCCAACACAATCCTTGAACATATAAATATTCATATATTCAATCCCTTTGCAAAATATACAAACATGCTTGGCAATGTTCCGTCACAAAGATGTTTACACAGGTTTGTTTCAAGTAAATATTTTTTTGTTCAAATTCAACCATCTATCAATTCCTGAAAGAAGACAAATATTAGGAGTAAACTGAATACAAACTCTCTATCAAACCCTCAATTATCTAGGCACATTCAAATGGACATCATATAAATAAAGACAGATATCAACCTGTGGCTGCAGCTGTTTTTCTGGAAAAATATCAAAATCACTTATAATGTGGCAATGTGGGTTGATCTGTTGAAATTTCAATGAAATCCATAATTTCCATTATTAGGCCAAACAAAACCCTTATTTCTAAACCCATCCATGGAAACAGCATGTCATGTCCGACTCAAAACAAAACAATCACACTGGCAACCATACAGAACAAAAAGGGAATCCACACCAATTCCCAAGTCAATCCCAGAGCATCACTTGATCGTAATTTGGAAAGGATTGACGAGATCACACTAGCAGCATATTGAGCAAATTAGCCTCCTTACTGACTAATACTGTTTCATTTAATACTTACAAATAAACCACAGGTTGAATCACTAGGATGACAAAACCGGACTGAATTCCTTTGCAGAAATATTCAGAAAAATACACAGCGCAGAGCTGGCAAAGTCAAAGATCCACACCCAGGACAACAGAATAGTGTAATAGTGTATAAGTGTCACCTTACTAGTAGTCGGTACATGAATATGCAGTACTTGGCATGACAATTAACTGGTCATTAATTAGGGGGGGGGGGGGGGGGGGGGGGAAGAAGAGAGGGGAGAGGGAGGAGGAGGAGAGGTTAGATTGCCAAAATTTAACCACTATTTGGGGGGCATGAAAAGATGACAGGGGACCGGTCATCGATTATATTGAAATTCTATGAAAAAATGTTTGGAGTAGGTGGTGGGAGGGGGCATTAAATAGGTCATGTTTAGTTGGGTTATCAGCAAAATATGATACAGTACTAAGACCAATCTCAACACTATGTCCTACATAACATATGCCCAGTCCCTTCCTAATGAAACTGCTGCAAGTGTTATCAGCAGTTTGAATGAAAACGGCCCTCCTGCTTACTTCCTCAATTACCTCCCTTCATTAATATTTGAACACTTACATTTTCACATTTATAATTTTCGCTAGCAAATCCCTACAGGAAGATCATCAATCCTATCAAAACAACAGTGATACTGATTCTAATGATAACCAATTCAACAAATATAAAGCAACATTAATTAACAGTTCATGTTGTTTATGCTTTCAATGGTTTTATCAAGATTTCATATAAAGCTATGAAAAAAATAACTTCAGATATCAGCTCCTATAGATTAAAAAATGTCTTTGTACATCGTCGTGAATTAAGCAAAGTAAAAACAAGTTAATCACAAAAAGCTTCATCTGAACGTGGAACAATGAATTTGTACATATGCAAAATGTCTGACAGCAGTACGATTCATTTCCTTGGGTGTTACACGACATTAAAATGACTGCACTGTAAAACATTTGGATGAATATTCTACAAGTAAAATGTAATGGGATGTTTTGAGGTGTCTTCTTCTCAAGGTCGCTGAAACCTTGGCTGACCAGGCGGACGGGGAAATCGCTGACCTCCATCAGGACCAAATCTGGGGTTGAATGGAGGACGGGTACCAGGACCGCGAGGACCAAACCGGGGACGATTCTGATTCCATCCTCCTGGAGGACCACCAAAATCTTGTGGATTTCTAGGCCTAAATGATCGTGGACCACCTTGGCCAAAGTTAAGCGGAGGGCCTCGATTTCCTCCTCGGGATCCTCCTTGTTGGTGACGAGGCTCAAAGGGAGGACGCACACCTGGGTTACCATGGGAACCTGGCCCACCATGCTGATTTGAAGGATAGCCTCGACTTTGAGCTTCACCACCATAGTGATTGTCAGATCGATATTGATTACTAGAGGATATGTTATCTCCTCTCATATTGGGTCTACCTCTCTCAAAATTGGAACTTTGGTTTTGAACCTGGTCTTGTTCGTTTTGGCTGTTCCTCCATGAACTGTTAGGAGGTGGTCTATTAAAGTCCATTTGTGCAAATTTATCTGGAGAGTCATTAGCACTAGAGAGATTATTAAAATTTTGCTCAATTTTCTCTTCTGAATACTGTTGCTGATCACTTAGATCACAACCTGGCTCAAGTTTCACCTCGGCTGAAAGGATATCAGACGTTTCTATAAGAGAGGGTGTGTCTGGGTTACTGGGAGGATCCGTGCTCGGTGTATCCCACTTGCTCTTCCTCCGACGGACTCTTTCCCCATTGGCTCCAGTCTTGGAGCCATCTTTACTTCGACTCCCAGCTGCATCATATGGCTTCAGTCCTGTAGCTGCCTTGTCAGAGGAGAAATCGTCAGGTCGGAAAGCCTGACCCCTCTCAAATCTGTCCCTCTCTGGTTCCTGAGGTGGTGGAGGTGGAGGGCCAGTGAACTGGTTGTAGTTTTCTCGACCTGAATCCCTACGAGATTCAGCACTATTTCCTCTATTGTATGGAGAATGATCTGATCGATTATCTCTGTCTCTGTCTCTGTCTCTGTCTCCGGAGCCTGGGCCACCATATGAAGGAGGTCCGCCAAACCCACCCATTCTCTGTTGACTACCAAAATTATCTGAAGAACCTTCTTGCTGCCTACCAAAGCTGGATCCACCATAGCTGCCAGAGTGTCCTGACTGGCCGTAGTTCCTGTCCAATCCTGACTGGCCCTGCTGACTAAAGTTCCTGGAATTCTGTTGGCCAAAGTTCTTTGACTCTTGGTGACCAAACTTTCGGGACTCGTTTTGTCCAAACTGTCTTGATTCTTGATTGCTGTAGTTCCTTGACTCCTGTTGACCTCCATAGCCACCTTGCTGACTTCCATAACCACTCTGATGACTACCAAGGCTACTTTGCTGACCACCAAAACCTCCTGGTGCATTTTGCTGATTACCAAAACCTCTTCCGTTTCCAGAACCCCTTGCACTATCTTGTGCATTGTTGCTTTCTTGACTGTATTGATCATCACTACTCTGTTGCCATGGTTTCCTGTCAGCTTGTTCTCTGTTCTGCCAGTTCTGTTGTACATCACTGCCAAACGGCGGCCACCTCTGAGACCCCCCTCCTCCTCTCCCTTCAGGTGTACCAGCACTGTTCTGACGTTGCTGATCCCCAGAAGGTGGGAACATCTGGTTGAAGTCCTGTTGAGGCAATGCTGGTGTTCTTCTGGAGTCCCCATACTGCTGCTGAGACCAGCCGTACTGTCCCGGATTCCACTTAAGTTCCTCTTTCACCGGAAGTTTGTCTGCCCATGCTCCTGCTGCAACCCCTGCAGCTGCAGCTGCCGCTGCCGCCGCCGCTGCCACTGCCGCTGCTTGGGCCGTGGGATCCTCCTCTCCTCCTCCGTACTCCTTGATGAAGTCAAGGGCACTGCCCGACTCCTGCTTGGTTCTCTTGCTGGGGGGTTCGTTTGACTCAAAGCCTCGCTGGTACCCTCCCCGGGACTGGTACCCTCTGTCCTGTCTCCCACTGTCGTACCCCTGGTGCTGCTGGTCTTGGTATCTGCCCTGACCTTGCCGGGGTGAATGGTTTCGAGGGGGGTGGCTGTCTCCTGATCTGAAGTTGTGCTGCGAAAGATACACAAAAGTTCTAAATTTGTAAGACAACTCATCTTCAAATAAAAGTGTAATTTTGCATTTATTCAGATATCAGTGAACATTTCAGAAAATATTGTGTATGCATCATCACTGATATCTGTGCTAAACACTGCAGATCGAAATTGTCTCTTAGCATACTTTTCAGTTGAATTTAGTGTTATCATGTGGACTATTTTTAGCTGTGCTTACTTGACCAAGTGTTTTCCCTAGTGTCTAGCCTGTGGGGGCATAAATGGTAGTAAGTATCCATGCTTATCAATATATTTCTTTGTTTGTTGTTTAACGCCGCACTCAGCAATATTCCAGCTATGTGACCGCGGTCTGTAAATAATCGAGTCTGGACCAGACAATCCAGGGATTGACATCATGAGCATCAATCCCTGCAGTTGGGATACGATGACAAGAATCAACCAAGTCAGCAAGCCTGGCCACCCTATTCCGTTAGACGCCTCTTGCGACAAGCATAGTTGCCTTTTACGACAAGCATGGGTTGCTGAAGACCTTGTCTACCCCGGATCTTCATGGGTCCCATGTTTATCAAAGAGACCACTGAATAGAGAATCAATCATTATGTGTGACCTGGCTGATTGCAAGTCATTGTACCACAATGTGGATTGTTTCTCATGCTATAACCTACTGGTGTCTCGAGCCCTGGTTTTATCCCTGGTACTGTCAGTCCCTGGTATGTACAATGATAAACCATGTCAAACAATGATGACAACCCTTAGTGAGCTGAGCTTCCTGATCGTCACCCATTCAGATGGCCCTACACAGCAGTGATTGTGAACCCAAAATATGAATTACAGTCAACTCTTACGGCAATCAGGAAACAGACCCCTCCTAGCTATAACTAACGGGTGGGTATGGTTTTACGCTGCTTTTAGCAATATTCCAGCAATATCAAGGCAGGGGACACCAGAATTGGGCTTCACACATGGTACCCATGTCAGGAATCGAACCCGGGTCTTCGGCGTGACGAGCAAATGCTTTAACCACTAGGCTACCCGACCGCCCTCATCTCTTGAGACCTACAGTGGGTAGGGTTGGGTAATAGGGGGCTGGGTACCCAGGTAGTAAATTTGACTCGTCCCAGCCCTAAAGCCCACCATGCCTACCTGATTCCTGCTGTCATGTCTGAACACAGCCTCTCTGGGTGGCCGCTTCTCCTGGCCCTCCTTGTTGTATCTGGAAATTAATTAAAAACAACATTATTATCATCTTTTTGTTTGTTGTTTAACGCCACATTCAGCAATATTCTAGCTATATGACGGCGGTCTGTAAATAATCGAGTCTGGACTAGACAATCCAATGATTGACATCATGAGCATTGATCTCAATTGGGATATGATAACATGCATCAACCAAGTCAGCAAGCATGACCACCTGGTTCCGTTAGTCGCCTCTTATGACAGGCATAGTCGCCTTTTACGGCAAGCATGGGTTGCTGAAGACCTATTCAACCCAAGATCTTCTCAGGTCTTTTATCATCCTATTGTGGGAATCATCAATTTCAGCACAGAAACACTGCCAAACACACACCAATTTCACAGTAAATGCCTCCTAATTGAGCAGGTTTGGAGGAAACTGCTTCTCAGGGAGACCAGGGCTCTACGACTTTTCATAACTCCCATAGTTAAATATGGACGCAGTATCACTGAGACCCAACAAAAGGTGGAGGAATACACAGTTGTCTACCCTTTACCTTGTTATCTGCAATGTTGTCAAACCAATAAGTGTGTTACTCACTGCTGAACAAGTGTCACTATCTGGTCCTTGTTCAACTCCACAAAGTCAATCCTGTCAAACAGATTGTCTCGATCTTCCGGCAGGGTGAAGTTGGCTTTCATCTCCAGAACGGCTTCCTCGGGAACTATTTTACCTGCAAACCAGCAGAGGGAGCAAGTGAGTGAGCAGAGATTTACCTGGGTCTATCTTATTGGTTGGTTGGTTGGTTTGTTGTTTAACGCCGCACTCAGCAATATTCCAGCCATATGATGGCGGTCTGTAAATAATCGAGTCTGGACCAGACAATCCAGTGATTAATATCATGAGCATCGATCCACGCAATTGGGATCGATGACATGCATCAACCAAGTCAGCGAGCCTGACCACCCTATCCCGTTAGTCGCCTTTTACGACAAGCAGTCGCCTTTTAGGGCAAGCATGGGTTGCTGAAGACCTATTCTACCCCGGATCTTCATGGGTCGTCTTATTGGGAGTCCTGGTATCACTCAGACCCTAAATTCTCTTGGGTCTCGGGCATGAAACAGAAATCCCAGGCTAACCACAGTGAATTATTTTACTCCACTCTTAGCAATATTCCAGAAGAGTGGAGAATCAAGCCCTAGGTTTCAGCAAGACAAGAATTGCTTTAACCACAAGGTTACCCTACTGTCCAATATTAAGTGTTGAATATCATCAAAAAAAGTCTCCAGTTGAGCATCATTTACTTGAAAGCTTTCACTTAGAAGAGTGAGTGATGTAGCGATCTATCAAGCATCATTACAACTATGTCGACTCGAAGAACTGACTTCACACAACATGACCATGTAGAGTGCAGCATGGCTAGAAATACTCTAGCCACTTTGATTAATTGATCAAAGATTAAGTCACAACTGTTGCACCACAGTGACACAGCCTTAGTGCTAACATTCTGATAATAGGAATAAAATGATCATGTGCTCGGGATATAAATATATTACCATCTTCCACGGTCCTCTTGTGCGACCTTCGCAACAGTTCTGCATCATCTGGCTGCAGGACAGCAGCAATTCTGTAGAACCCATTGAAGTTTCTCATCTTCTTCCTCCTGGCAGATGGGTACACGTTTGTCTGGTCTAAGATGTAGTTTCTCTTTCTCTTCCCAGCTGAAACAGCAGAGGCAAAGCTTTAATTATCACTTAATGGTTAGTGTCAGAATAGATTGTTCGTTCATTCGTTGTTTAACGCTACACTCAGCAATATTCCGCTATATGACGGCGGTCTGTAAATAATCAAGTCTGGACCGGACTATCCAGGGATTGGCATCATGAACAATTGAGATACAATGACATGCATCAACCAAGTCAGCGAGCCTGATCAACCGATCCTGTTAGTTGCCTCTTACGACAAGCATAGTCGCCTTTTAGGGCAAGTATGGGTTGCTGAAGACCAATTCTAATCTGGATCTTCACAGGTCGCCAGATGACAGTACATCACAGTAGATGGTGGTTATTGATGCAATTCTCTCAATGCTCAGCATCCCTTTTCTTGTCACCGACTGAAAAACATGGTATATAAGTGTATCGATTCTGCTAGTATTACAACCATGAGGGAGCACCAGTTACGTTAACCCAATGTCTACTCCTGTTCTTGACACTTTACTCCAAATCAAAGTGAACCTCACCAATGGTGAAGAGTTTGTTGAGACATTGCGATGCCTTGTTGATGAGAACTTCCCAACGTCCGTGGTAGTTCCGCTTCCTTGGCAGGCCCATCACCCTCATCTTCTCTATCAAGGTGTCTGTACCAATAATGTTGTATCGTTTCTCAGGATGGTTCTTGTACATGTTCAGTCCCCATGTTGTCTTTCCTGCACCTGGCAGTCCCACAATCATTATCATCTGAAAACGAACAATTTATCAGTTGATAAAAGGAGCATTTACATATACACGTCACTGACGTTATACAACAGATTTATTAAAAGTCAACAAACAATAATGAGTGAGTATGGTTTTATGTCGCTTTTAGCAATATACCAGCAATATCACGGTGGGAGACACCAGAAATGGGCTTCACACATTGTAACCATGTCGGGAATTGAACCCGAGTCTTTGGCGTGATGAGCAAACGCTTTAACCACAAGGCTACCCGACCGCCCCCAACAATTAATAAGCACCGCAAAGTATTATGATAATGATTAAAGTGAGTATAAAGATTAAAGTGAGCAAGAGACATTCGTTCCCATATTTTGCAATAATTTCATGCTAACTTAAATTTCACGTTTTACAGTATACATGGTACATATACATATCTGGACACATATATGGAGGATTTTTTGTATCTATAAATGAATTTATTGATCCTCACCTCACAATCAGAGATTTTCTCTGGCTCTTTCATGCCCCTAACTTTGTCTGTAGTCTGACCGATGTATTGATACATGGCAGGAGGCGGAAACCAAGGGTCGATCTGACCAAGATTCACTTGAAATCTGAAACAAATGGCACAAGAAATTAGACTTGAGATTACATATATCGTACGGTAAACGTCCTCTCATTTTACAGGATCTAGCACCTTGTTTGTTGTTTAATTTCGCACTCAGCAATATTCCAGCTATATGATGGCACCATGTAAGTAATCAAGTCTCTGCCAGTGATGATATATATTGCATAATATTGAGATTACATGGAATCTGTCTTCACGTGAAATGGCTCCTGAAAACTCTAACCCTTAACAGCATTGATATACACCATTCAACATAACATTACACAGCCATGGTCGACTGAGAGAGGGGGACACACAGACAACAGACAGACTCATACGTCACATACAAAGTCAGTTCCTGCAACTTTGATACTGGTTGTTGCGTGTCTGTGGTATGTTAACATTTAAAACTACTTCAAAAGATAAAAATAGGGGAATATTTTGATCTCATTAAGTTGTACTTGCCTACAGTTTTTGGACAGAATGTGCGGGAACAGCGCCATGTCTTTGTTACCCACAGGGTAGCTGTGAAGTGGGATAGCTACCCCTAAATATCGGCCATTCTTCATGTAGGAGATTTTAGCTGGACGGTCATCTAAGTCCAACATGGCACCGATGACATCCCCAACCTCAAATTTTTCACCATAATTGGAGAATTTATTATTTGTTGAAAATTTGCCAGTACCACCGTAACCATAAGACCAAGGTTCTTCTCCTAAAACAAAATGTATTAAAAATCATAAACATGACTAAGAAGGCAAAAAGTTGTACATCAAGATATGGCAGCCAACAGAGTGTTGATAGTAAGTCATTATTATTGGAGACATTGTACGTAAGTGATTGTATATGGCTATCATTATTTCATGTTGCAGTCAGCACAAAGGCGTATAAACTAAAAGACTCCGGGCCACGAAACCAGTGGTTGATAGCATGTGCAATGATCCACACACTGACTGGTCGATAGGAGGGACAAAGAAGGGAAATAACTCCCTGGGGGCGCTACGATCAAACCTGGAAATTCGAGCCTAGTTTTGGCAAGTCAGTTTATAGTCAGTTAACGCTCCTTGCCTCAGTAAGATGTGTCAGGGTACAAGGACATAAAATCAGTCAGGTCTCATCTTGTAAGCACTGATTTTTCACTAGTTGACAAGCATGGAGAACTCTGGGTGTATTGTGCCATGGAATCCCCCCGGAAGAACAGTAATGTTGGTAATATAACACTGCATTAGTATGATCTTACCTAACTGGAATGACGATGAATCTATTGACCAGCCAACTCGGATGATGTGAGGGTCAGTTTCATTGTGGTCATCACCAAAGTCCACTGGCAGGTGCTCTGTGATGTGGACCTCAAAGAAACCTTTCCCCTTGCAGATACCGTGCGAGGCTCGTACCCCTGACCATGTGAAGCAGAAGCCACTGGGCTGGTTCAGTGTGTGAGCACCATACCTGGAAACACAATAGAAGAATGAGTGAGAGTGAGTATGGTTTTACGCCGCCTTTAGCAATATTCCAGCAATATCACATCCGGGGACACCAGAAATAGGCTTCATACATTGTACCCATGTCGGGAATTGAACCAGAGTCTTCGGCGTGATGAGCAAACACTTTAACCATTAGGCTACCCGACCACACCGCAATAGAAGATGAAGAAATAATGATAGGGACCCTTCTCTGTGGTCTGACAAGGTTTATCTACAACATGAATGGAGCTTACTAGGTGTGCCACTGGCCTCAGCAATAGCCAAACATTAGTGGAAAAGTTTTCTTTTCAAATAAAATGCAGATAATATTTTCCTTCCAAAACCCCACCTAAATTCGGCCAATAATCAATCACAAATATTCAAGTTGACATGGTCACAACCTCCTCAAAATTCTAACTGCAATGCTTGTCAAATATAATCCAGTAAGAGCATAAAGAAAATGTATGAAATTCCAAATGAATATACAGGGCAGATTGGACTGATCAAAATAGTAAATATAGAATGCTAAACGAGCTCCCGTGTAATACCAATTTTATGAAACGAGTGAATAGTTGTGGTATCTGACGACCGAAAGCGAGTTAGATACCACAACTATTCACGAGTTTCATAAAATTGGTTTTTACACGGGAGCGAGTTTAGTATTTTATTTATTACTTGCCATTTATAGTGTTTTTAGAATTATACTGTTGAGTATGAATAGGCTGACACCTACATGATCCACGGCATAGTTCAATTGAGTTTAACAGAATAATACTTCAAACACGTCAAAAGTTGAAATGTATGAATCTAATACTATACACCGGTCCACCTTTAGAATTCAGGCGTCCGTTACACAAAATTATCGTAGGGCTAATCGCAACTCACATACTTTAACTTAGACTAACGACTGTCGTTGCGCTACAATATGATCACCTTGTGGAACGGGCCTTGCACCTCAAAGTTTACAATCACGTCACAATACCGAATGACGTAAATTGTGGAATTCTTTTGCAAGATCCATCGGCAAAACAATGCCATGTGACGTCAGCCTAGCAACAAGGTTGCTGGGGTCATCGAGTGTGCATAAGCTCCTCTCAGTGATCTATCAACTCCATACGCAATGTCGTTGAATAAGCCAAGGGATGTTGAGAGCTTTCAATATTTGTTCGTGAAACGTGTTTCGAGAGTACATAAGCACGCGTTTTGGTATTACACAATGTGTAATACAGCTGTATGTTTATCAAACGGGTGATCTCTTCACGGGCAAGTAATAAATTAAATTCTGACACCTCACAATCTGGAAAGGAAATTTTAGGCTAATAGCTTCAGACCATTACTGATGAAAAACTCAACATACTACTTACATTATTCAGTTACATTAATCAGTTAGCATGGTTAATGTGTTTTCCAGGTTATGGTTAATGTGTTTTTCCAGGTTATGGGTAATGCGTTGTTCCAGGTTATGGTTAATGAGTTGTTCTTGGTTATGGTTAGTGAGTTTACCAAGTTATGGTTAATGAATTGTTACAGGTTATGGTTAATGAGTTGTTCATGGTTATGGGTAATGCGTTGTTCCAGGTTATGGTTAATGAGTTGTTCCAGGTTATGGGTAATGAATTTTCCAGGTTATGGTTAATGTGTTTTCCAAGTTATGGGTAATGAATTTTCCAGGTTATGGTTAATGAGTTGTTCCAGGTTATGCCATACTGAGCAAATCTTACCCTTCACTGTCTATGACAAGGTTGAGGTCCGAGTTGAATTCATCCAAGACTGTGATTGATTCTGCGGGGATAGGTGGCTCCTCCTCTACAATGTCCTCAACAGGCATCGCAGGGACTGCCAGACCAGGGAAACTGTAACCATGGTAACATTTTACTCCGGTTATCTCCATGACAGGCTACTCAAAATTCATGAGGACTAGTCAAATCCTATAGAAGGCTTAGTTACTGCTTACCACATTGCCTAGTTGGAAATTCTATTTCTTAACACTAATATGTTCCAACTTTCAAACAACGTAGTAAAATCTACATATTTTTTACATTTCCACCACACAGCATCCACAGAAGTGAGGACGTCTTGTATCTGCACATTACCAAGCCATGATAGAGAATAAAGAACGTATGCCACATTGAACATGACCACGGACCAAGATGGCGAACTGGAACAACAAAGCATCCTGTAAAATTACTGTAACACAAAGCCACTAACACGTGCAAAATATTAATGCTATCGCAAAAATATATAGTAGAACATGTAGACACCAACGACATGAAGGAGATAATTACAAATAACATTTTAAAAAATACATAACCTCTGACCACACAGGATGAACACAATGAGCTGGAGCAGTGTATAAAACACAGCTTGCCATCCTGGTGACAAGGATGAAAGTGCAGACACGTGACGTTATCACTTCTGTGGTCACATTACCATGGAGTAATGCAGGATAAGTTAACAAATTTGACATTTTGTAATAAGTATATAATACCATCTAATGGTTTTACACGACACACAAACATGTGTCAAGTACACACAAATGTAGAGAATGGACGCAGAGAAAAAAAAGTTGCATCCCAAGGGGCGCACAATATCCATGGTACTCAATTCTTGTAGAGAAATGTATAGGTTGGGTAATTATCAAATCTTACAGTACACTACACCACATAATTTCATTACTTTACAGGACCCTTGAAATAAATTTTTGGGGGACCTCTGCATTTCCAGTTTGGTAAGTTAAAGTAAAACCCTGCTATCTCTAAATCTGAGGATAGATATGCAAATAAAACCATGTGAACATTCGTAGATGACTTTGTATGAATGTAGGCATGATACAACCAATGAATTTGCCAACCTGGTGATGACAACATTGATACATGTAACACAAATGTTAAGTGTCTAAATATCATGTTCAGTATGAAAAAACATGGCTAGTAATACAAGACTTGTTATCACATATAATACTATAATACTATACAATAATCAACTTCATTGAGAAAGAGTCTTCCTTGTGGTTATAAGAATTTGCAAACCTCCAGGATTACTATCAGGCCTAATAAAATAATGTTGAAGGTCCTATTATTACTAATCTTAAAATAGGCCACCCGGTAGGTAGGCTATTATTTCTTCAAAAACCTGCAAATATGTTGGAGAGCTACTTTAAACTTAGTACTGATTGGAATATATTTTCAGGTGCACTCTGTCTTTTGTCACCAACGAGGTACAACAGAAATATTACTTTACGGTTTAACCTTAAAATAGGGTTGGTTGGATCATCGGAACCACAACACTTCTTTTTGGCCTATTTGATTTTAATCTCAAAATATGTTCACAAAAAATTGTACATGGTTTATTTCTTCGGGCAAATTAACTTATACTTACCAATGGTTAGCCCTGGCATCGACAAACTGTCTCTGGTCTGGTAAGGCAGCAAGAGCATTGAGACCTGGTGGTGCTTGTCTGGCCGCAAGGGGGATGCCCTGAGCCATGGTAGTAGACACTGGCGCCATGCCCCCTGCATGGGCTACAGCAACACCGGGGGGTATCATCTGCGGGATACCTGGATGTGGGGTCTGGATCCCCTGGAGGGGCATCCCTGGCATCGCCACCATGAAGTGCTGGGGCATCATCATGGGGACAAACCCAGGATACTGATTCATACTTAAGTATTTGTTTCTTCTACAACATCACTACACTGAAAAGAAGTAAAACATTTTTAATACTGAGCCATCAAATTATTTAAAATGGTCATTTAATTTGAAAAATGACTGAATAATGACCCAAACAATGTTCACATCAGGAATTTTCTGACATGGGCCATAAATGTGAAAATTTCAAATAATCCAGAGGTACACCCACACTTGCCCATACAGAACTATGTTAAAATGCCCCATTGTATTTGGAAATGTGGGCCTTTTTCCAAATTAAGGGGCTAAAAGCACAAGGCCCCACCCTAGAATTATCCCTGCCCACAGCTCTGGCTATATATAATTAGCCTCCTTTGCAGCGTTAGTCCTGTAGTCCTTACCAAAGTGACCAATAAATAAGGTATCATAAGGACGAGTAGAAATTAGCCATTTTTAAGGGTTTTGCTATATGTTACCATTATAAGGACTAGTGGACTAACATGTTAGTTTTGCTGCTTTCAGTCATGCAATTTTTTCAAATTAGTAAACCTCTCCATTGTATGTTGTTTTGTTTTTTTATCCAATGGCTGTACATTCAATGTGCATTGAAATAAATGCATCATCAAACTAAGGCGAGGATCGACGACCCCCACCTTAAAATGCATCACCAAATTAATGCAAATGTTGACCCCGCACCCCAAAAGTGACACTATGTGTTATTGAAGTAGAGTGTACCAGAAACTAATAGAGTAAACAGTTTTCCTTGTTTCTGCCTTGAAGCATGGAAGTGCTGCATGTTTTGTTTTGAAATCTCAAGCAGAGAATTATTTTGGAATGTTTGCAAAAAGTTAAATATTTTCATACACACATTTCCATTTTGCATGAAGATAAATATTATCTAGACAATTTGTAGTGATAACAAAAGCAAACTATGCGTATAACGTGCAGCGAGTGGGTTGTAGTCAAAAAGGCCTCTAAAGTCAAGATGGCCACAAAGAAAAGTTATAACAAGAAAAAAGTCAGAATGGCCATGAAAATAATTTTGCATTTTTGGGTGGTATTATATATCTACAAAGGCATTATTAGTAGGGCTGCAATGATACAGGAAGGTCACGATACGATACGCATCTCGATATTCTGGTCACGATACGATACGTATCTCGATACGCAATGATACAAAAACAAGACTTAAAGCATGTCAAGATTGAACCTTTCATGATTTTGGAACAGTTAACATTATTTTATAATAACAAGACTACTGAAGTTGTTAAGCTTCAAAGTGGAACTTTCTCGAACTTTCCTTCAAAACAATTCAAAGTTCAAACACCAGAAAATAATTAATGTACTTCACCAGTTATACAACTTCAAAGAATTTGTATGCAATGGTCGAAGAAATTGTATCTGAAATTATTGTTTTATCAGGAATAATATATTCCAATATCGTGTTACTTTAGTTGCAGCGTTTACTCTATATGTATTTAAAATTATAAAAACCACAAGCGTAGCATTTTGGTACTGGTGATTACTGTTGCAGGATATTTTTATGTATGGAACAATTTGACCAGTCACCGTAGGGACTTCCCTGCGACACGTATTTCGATTGCGAAAATGTTATGTTGAAATATATTAGCCAAATTGCCACATATATGACTTTTAACAAGTCAAAGTATGTCATTTTTAATATATGTATCCATTCTTTAGCAACTTAAGTTCGTTTAAATGCGTCAAAAGCGGTTATCTGACCGTGGTTGCTGTATCTCTTCACACACGATTTCACCTAACTTAATGAAAACAATATTGAATGAAAGTTTGAATAAAATTAATAAAATATGTTAGAAAATTTAATAACAAGATGGTATAATGATGGTATTGAATTGTGTACTTCAGTTCGGTTTTGCTGACTGGTATTTCTGGTGTTATGTGCTTGCGGTGATCAGCTGATAATGTTTTTTGAGATGGGGAAAAAACATCTGTTAGTGTAAAACCTGAGCTTATTAAAAATGTAAGTACATTTTGGGGAGCCATGCGTTACGGCGCGCTATAACCAAGTTAGCGGTTGATTGAAAGGCACAATTTCGAGGAATAGCTGTACTTGAGATTTGCGTTCCGTATCGTGGCGCATCGATAAATGGGCCCGCGTTTATCGTATATCGTACCGTGGGTCAAGTATCACGATGCATCAGAATATTGGTGTATCATTTCACCCTTAATTATTAGATCCATGAGAATTGAGAGATGAGTTATCAATCACCTATAGCTTGTGGCAATCACCTATTATAATACACTTAATAAAGATTTGCATGCAGAACAGAGATCTAAGTTATCAGCATGCATCTTGTTTTATACAGATATAACAAGCCTACCTTTAGCCAGTTTGAGATTATTTTAGAGATGAATTTGAATCAGTTGAGAAAAGCTTTCACTTTTTTGAATGTGACACAATTATTGAGTTGTAATCTTTATTTATCAGTGTGGCCTTTATTAAAGAAAATTGATGGCTGTTTTGACTATAGGTTGTGGTCGTTTTGACTTTTTTTCTGTGGTCATTTTGACTTTACCCTTTGATGCTGTTTTGACCTGCTCCCCAGGTAGTTAACTAAGCATACCAAACTAAGTGCCCTCAATGCCTTTGATAAGATCTAGATAAATCCCTGATATTTCCAGTTTGTTTTGGACAGAGACATAATGAAAGAGCCCGAAAACCTGTGATTCGTACTTTGAGTCACCTATTCACGTGCCTATAGAGTACACAGAGTACACATAAATGGATACATTTTATGAAGGACTGCGGATAGACAGACAGTTTATTCAGTAAGAAGGCCATAGGCCCATAATATAGACAATGGTTGATTGCATGAACTACGCATGCCAAGGAAGTAGTCGATTTAAGTTTCTCTTAGCCGTTGGACTTTATATAGATATAAACATGTGTTATATACAACATCAAAGGTTTCTGATGAAATTATTTCAGTTAAAGATGTTACAGTTTGAAACTTGATATACTGTTTAAGATACATATTTCTTAGGGCTGAATAACGCTCACATACAAGTAAAACATGAAATTCATCTTCAATAAAAGATATACCATTTTCTATACAATATTTACATAATCGTTCAGTGTATGGGACATTTGTGTATCTCCCCAAGTCAATTGCAAGTTTAAACTTGCTACATCTGAAACGAGTCATACATATTCTCAGATCTACTGGTATGGGGAGTGTAAGATATTTTTCTACATTTAACAGGGATTTAAAATGTTTATAATAAAAGGTTTCAGATATACTATTGATAGAACTACACCATGATTGTTGAAGGTTATCAAATAATCTTTGCTTAAAAAGATGAATAAATACCTTCACATTGCCAACATCTTGTGTTAACCATACATATCCAAAACCTAATTTAAACAAAATATTCTTAATGTGAGTAGCCCATGTGGTGCGACCAGAATGGTCCAGTGATTTGAGCATTAAATAACATTGGCGAGGCAGTCTGCGCTCGTCCAAACGCAGTAGCCTGCACCAATACTTGATGGCCCTTGTGGTATACACAAGCTGGAGAGGGGCTCTTCCGCACTCTCCTAAAACCATTGCATTGTTTGTTGTTTTACCTGTATTTAGAAACCATTTACACATTTTGTTCTGTACAACTTCAATAATTTTACAATATGAGATTCCCCATATTTCTGCACTGTGACAGACAATAGGCACAATCATAGCATCAAATATCTTAAATAAATCTTGACAGGGTATATTACCAACTTTCTTTTGATATCTATATAATGTCATAATGGCCTTGTTACTCTGTGCAGCAAGAGTATTTAGTGCCTTAGTCCAAACAAGTTTGTAAGAAGAGTACATTTAAAAATAAAAAGACTTAGCTATTTATGTATATATGCATATGGTTATTGGAAATTGACAAAAATTCAATGTATGTTTTTTCTACCTCCCTAGAATAGGTTTTCTCGAGCAATTATGTTTATGTGCAAAACAAAACTCATGGTAGTTATGGGATATTCCGATCGAACAATCCCTGGTGAATAATATTCCTCTTGTACCAGTTTCTCTCAAACTTGTGTTTTTTCCTTTTCAGTCATTCATTAGATGTGAGCGAAGTTTTGTTTCGTCAACCAAGATATATCTCACAGCGCCATGTCAGAATTGGATATCAGTTTCAGATGCCGCATGGTCACAATGATTTTTCGTAATTTCCATGTAATTGCAGAATGTAAGTATCAAAACATCACGTATTTCGCCATGCCCTAATTTAAGAAATCGTTATTGTGTTAGGAAAAACCAGGATGAATTTTAGGCATGGCGTGTATGAAACAAAACATCACCCAAATTAGAAAAATATGTAAATAATCTCTAAAACATCTCACTAGTTTGAACAGGTTCCCCGTCAACAAAATGGCGTATGTATTTATTCTTACCGATACAGACTAGAGAGTTGGCAAGAACGATAACTCTGGTTAAGAAACTTACCTTCATCTTCCGAAGAAATTCAAACAATGTAACAGTTCAAGCCTAAATGTTTATATGAGTCGGGGTGATAAATCAGAACATAAAACCTTTGCTAACGTAAGCTTTAGGTAAAATGTTTAAATGTGAAAATAGATAAATAAAGTTCACAAGACTAGATTTAATCCATTTTATTTTCAAATGTGTGTTGTTAGAAACATACATCCTGTTTTCAGTGAAGAATAAGACCATCACACCATGTTGTTATCTCCTTAGTATTTAGCCCCTATTCAGACTCATCCTGTTTGGAATCTGATATATTGGTAATAAAATACTGAAACTCAACGCTTGAAACGTTGGTGTTTTTTCCTAACTGTTCGCCTATTCATTCACGGTTTTAGCACTCGCAGACTTTTGTGTTTTATGCCTGCTTTAAGCAATAATCCAAACAATAATGATAGTTATAATGCGCCCAATCCACCCCCTTAAAAGCTTGCTCAAATCGCTAAATTAGTCAGTACAGTTGATAGAAAATATCAGTTAACGTGACGAGAAACATTTACGTGCGCGATGCTAACACGGAGAGTTAATCCACTGAAGACTCATTCAGGTATCTCTGTGATTAAATGAAAGGTACTCTTTTATGGTTTTGTTGTCATTTTTTTGTTCTAATTATATTTATTAATATAAGTTTCTAGTTGATACCAGTGTGACAACACTCACTATACAACGTCATAAGAACAGCATCCCATAAGATCTACATCTTAAAACAACAAAAGTTATGGTCTAGTGGTCAGGGCGGTAGGTGTTAATTACCTTCATGTTAATGCTCTGGTCCGCTTTTTACTGCCATAAGATCTACATGGTACTTGATGTCCTATTATGCACTTTATTCACTTTCCTTCATACATGATTACATAACGTTCATACATATAATTTAACGACGTCAAACAAACCACCTCTGCATTCAAGTTGTCTTTTACTCTCCATATGCGACAAGGTGAAAACAAAGTCAGCCGCCTCTGCATTCAAGTTGTCTTATTACTCTCCATAACAACAAGGTAAAAACAAAGTCAGCCAAGTTTAGCATGGTAGCTCACGGCATCCAGATACTACAAAGAATGTTTCTCTTGTCTTTGCAGTTGAACTTTCAGTCTTACAAGACTGCTTGTTCTCGCTATAGACTCGCTTCCTCGGGGGTGGGGCTGCTCCGAAATCAATCTGGCTCAGTTTGGCACGGTCACACCTCTCAATGGAACTGGTGATGGCAGTCGGGAATGGAATCCTTCGTAGTTGTAGGATACGTTTATTCCATACTGAAAGGCCTCAGGCCCATAGCACAATCTGGATTGTTTGGTACACATTGATTCGTCCGATGATAAGGCAGGGATTTGTTGAGACGGGAATGGAATCCATCTTAGTTATAGGATAAGTTTTATTCCATACTGAAAGGCCTCAGGCCCATAGCACAATCTGGATTGTTTAGTACACATTGATTCGTGCGATGATAAGGCAGGGATTTGTTGAGACGGGAATGGAATCCTTCTTAGTTGTTGTTTCGTCTTGGTGTGTCAGGTGTGGTTCAATAGATCGATAGGGAACAGTGGTACATTTGACGACATCCGATGCACAGATTCTCCTCTTACTACGTTCTCCTGGTAACGGTAACCAAGACCTGAGCTAGTTTCACAATGCAACAGTCATTTTCATCTCTCCCAAAAGAACACTTTCATCATTGCAAACAAACAAAATGGCATCATGTTTCAATATGTATTTCCCTGCAAACACGAAAACTAAACAAAAGACAAAGGATTAGGGGCGTCCCTGGAATTTTGTTTACAAACTCTTAGAACTTTAACAGGAGAACCATAACATGAGAACCATAGCATGTCTACGTCTCATGTGGATAGTGGGGCGGTCGGGCAGCCTAGTTGTTAAAGCGTTCGCTCGTTACGCCTATTCTGGTGTCTCCCGCCGTGATATTGCTGGAATATTGCTAAAAGCGGTGTAAAACCATACTCACTCACTCACTCATGTGGATTGTACGGTTGTGCATGCACCTTACAAGGTTGTCAGTTTTGTCCATGGGTTTCTTCTGTGTGTAGGGAAAGTTGAGTCTGAAACCAATGTCTTATATAAGTCTTTTATTGCTTGTGGTATTGTGGGGATCACACTGTTCTATTAACCTTCAAAAGACCATCCATGGGCACGATGGGTCAACACATCGAAACAGTACACATCACAATGTGCGCAAGAGAATGAGGATTCCACTGTTACATTTGCCATCAAGCGAAGACCATGGCATCATGAACGTCTGATGCTGGGTGATACACACATACCCAATGCTGTCCTGGGAGATGACAGAGGTCCGTGATGACAATGAATGCTTTGGGATACCGTCCCTGTGGTTGTTCACTCATCACTGCGGCCGTGAAGTGATCTCTGGCAAAGATGCCTTGGTAGAGAGGTCGGAGCACAGGGTCTCGCTGCACAAAGTCGTCCAAGTCTATGTTGGTCAAACCAGCAAGGGCATCCTTGTCATTCATTACACCACCAGAGCATTGCCGAATGGATCAATTTCGAGGATGCTTTCGTATTCGTCGTTGCAGACAAGGGTTACAGGATGCTGTAGTGGGTCTGAAAACTGAAGTTCAGTCCAAACTAGCCAGTCTGTCTTGGGTAGTTATAGTCTTCGGCGGCACCCAGATCAGATCCACGACCTATAGAGTGTAGCTATTTCTGAACAGGTTCATTTAAAGTTGTTTGAGCGCTGCACTGTTGTCTTCTAAGTCACTTTGACTTCAATTCAGTAGACTTCCTGCCCATTGAGTTTCAACGTGTAGCTGGTCACTTTGGAATATTTGAAATTGCAGGGATGACCCATCGTCGTACTAGACCTGTTTTGACATTCTGGGCTACAGCATTATATTGATTCATTTTTCCAGCTTATTCTGTGTACCATCCTGGGCATAAAATGAGTTGATTTGGCTGCATCCCCATAACTCAGCAACGTTTCCAAATATGCTTGGTACATGTAGGTTCCATAGAGGGAGTAATTTCTAACTGGTTGTGACCCACTTGCACACATACCTTTTGAAAGAGGGAATGTTGTTCACCGTGGACATGTTTATTCCATCATCACCATCATGTATCACATCTGTACCATTTGTATGCTTGACTTTCAGACACACACGGAGGTAACACTGACTCAAATCAATGTAGACAGGGTTAGCGATGTTAAACATTGAAGAGGACAGCCACCGAGGGTGGCGTAAAACGACTGTAACGAACCACTGATCTTGTACTGGGGTGACAACAGGCGGGACAGAACAGGGGTCCAGTTGAGCCTTGAAGCATTCGCAGGCATCTCGGCGCATCGTGGCAACTCATCTTGACAATACACCGTGGCATCCCATCTTGACAATACATCGTGGCAACTCATCTTTACAAGACATCGTGGCAACTCATCTTGACAATACATTGTGGCAACTCATCTTGACAATACATCGTGGCAACTCATCTTGACAATACATTGTGGCAACTCATCTTGACAATACATCGTGGCAACTCATCTTGACAATCCATCGTGGCAACTCATCTTGACAATACATCATGGCAACTCATCTTGACAATACATTGTGGCAACTCATCTTGACAATCCATCGTGGCAACTCATCTTGACAATACATCGTGGCAACTCATCTTGACAATACATTGTGGCAACTCATCTTGACAATCCATCGTGGCAACTCATCTTGACAATACATTGTGGCAACTCATCTTGACAATACATCGTGGCAACTCATCTTGACAATACATCGTGGCAACTCATCTTGACAATACATTGTGGCAACTCATCTTGACAATACATCGTGGCAACTCATCTTGACAATACATCGTGGCAACTCATCTTGACAATACATCGTGGCAACTCATCTTGACAATACATTGTGGCAACTCATCTTGACAGCACCGTGTCTGGTGTTGAACTGAGCCCAATCCTCTTCTGGACTGACATTTATGCTGCTTGATTCATATAAGGTACATCTTGACCCCCCCGAATGATGGTACAGAGGGTGTGTTTGCACAACAATTAAGGCACTCTGCTTTTCTCTTCATTTTTCTTCAGACAACAGTCGTCTGTATTTTGTGTTCACTTCTCCATCAGGACAAAACAAACACAAGTATTCACAGGGGACTTTGGCTTGCTTCAGATGTTCTTTCCAGGGTTTGTCTGTGGCATCCCATTGGCAGAGTTTCACATCACAGCAATAACAGATAACACTATCACATCGACCATGATAGAAATATCCAGCCATGGCCATGTCATCTTTTAAGCCAAGTTTGAAAAGGCCTCAGACGTTACAATTGATCATATTCTGGGTTTGAAGGATTATTCAAGGTGTAAGAAGGGGCAGACGGTGTATCTTGAATGTCACCAAGCTGATATGTATCCATAAAGTGTTTGTTTTCTCCTGCTTGCTCTCTCACCTTTTCAGAAATCCACTCGGCATCAGGGGCATGTTGGTATTGTGTCATTGCATTCATATCCATATTCAAGTCAAGATGACACACACGTGTGTGAACACGGCAGCACTGTAAGACGGCTTGCTGATAAATGACCACATCTTTCAAAACAAGGCAGTAGTAGAAGGACTTTGTTTGAGTTCCTTGGTGATACAAGAGGGAGCATGTTTGATGCTTCTTTAGCGAGCTGCTGCTGGCCCAGGTTTATGTTGTCGCAATGCGGTGAGTAATGCCTGTTTCCTGTTGGTGTTTCAAACTGATACTTCTATGTCCAGAACTGATATCTTCCACTAGTCCAGGCAACATGCATGCTCCTGCTTTGAGTGCAGATTTTCCTACTTTCTTGAGTATCGACAGTGCTGATATTTCCCAGCCCTCTCCCTCTTTGATGGATATCGTCCTCGGTATACTGCCAGGGCTTTCCCTCGCTGTTGTCCACCAAGACCGGTGACATAGAGGTGGGTGATAAACTGGTGTCCCATCATGTTGAGAATCCGAAGGTACCCAGACGATGTGGACCGCCGAAATAAATTGTCATGATGGTCTTCCTGCTCTGGAATGGCCTGGGATGCCCTGCATTATCCTTAAATAGATCTTGATGGCATCCGTGGTTCCCTGACGCAATCCCATGTAGCATAGGCCGTTTTGGTCACGACACTGTCTTCCATCATCTGATGGGACACAGGAACATACATGAGCTAAGAAGTCACGGTGTGCCCTACGATTTGATCTTTCACCACATCTGAGTAGATATAGACAGTGTCAAAACCAGCCAGATGGTCTGCTTGCTGCTCACCAACGACATGGAGGCTGGTCAGAAAACGTCCACCTAGACAGGCTCAACTGAGATCTGGCTCACTTCGTGTTCTGCGTGGACCATTGGTAGCTGAACGAATTCCACTATGCATACCTATGGAGCTGGTAACACCAGGCGCGTGGTGTATGCTGAATATTGCATTATGATCTGATGGCTTGGCTGTTCTGCAGAGGTCACCAGTCAAAGTCCTACACATGACTTTCGGGGGTGGGAGCATGAAAGTTCACATGCGTTTTTTCCATGCGTTTCGAATTGGAGTTGCTCTTTGGGATAGTTCACAGAGACTTGTAACGCCCTCTACTATCTGCTTGGTAAACATCAGCTGTATACTTCTGCAAAAGGCGTGTGCAGGTTTGTTGAAGCAATATGTCTTTGGATCAAGTTCTCGACAGGAATAAACCCCTTCTGGAATAATGATCTTTTTGGTGGTCTCTCTGGAGATGCCTGGGTTCTGTTCTGTCACTGTAGCATGAAGGGTAGTTGAGCTTTCAATCCTGGTAATTTCAAGGCAGACCAGTTGAAGGGGTAAGCCACATTGTAACGTGTAAAATGGAAAATGAAGTTCACTCACGCCCACTTCCCACTGCTGACGATTCACTTGGATGGAAAAAGGTAGTTTGATTACATTAATGATTCATACTGTTTTGAGGGGGAGCATTACTGGGCAATGCCACATAAAAGTCCCATTAGGAAAACAACGCATTTATCACAGACATCCTGAGATACCCAAAGGGGACTAGACTGGACACGGGGGAGGTAGGGGAAGGAGTGGTTCATGTTGTTGTTGTGGCTGTTGTGGCTGATGGCATAGAAGGTACCAATATCCAGAGCAGCTGGCCAACAAGGTTGTCTACAACTGTTTCTCACTGTGTTCCAAAGCCAACTAGATCATACTCATGACAACCATTCCATATATAAGAATCACTTGGGAGAAAAACACCACTTCCCTTGGAGGTAAGTCGATCGTTGCCAAAGCAACACAAGCATAATGAACTTTGCTTGCTGCTGCTGCTGCTGCTGCTGCTGCCATGTGAGGAAGACATAGCTTTGGGGATCGGCTCACTCTTCATGATGTCCAGAGACACAACTGGTAGTCTTTTTTTTCATCAACATAGTTTGCCTTGTTGTTGAAAACGTTGTCGTGCTGTGCTGTCATGGGAATGTTGCCTGCATACAGATTAACCACACATTCACAGATGGCTTGAATCAGATGGGATGGCTAAATTTAAGCGCTCGTCCGTCATGCTGAAGGCCCCCAGGTTTGATTCTCTAGGTACGTGTATATGTGATGACCATGTTCGGTGTTTCCTGTTGCGAAATTGGTGGAATCGGTGTAAATCCATGCCCGCGCAGTCCCAAACAACCAAGGGGCAAACGACCAACAGCACAGCTGGAAATGTGTACGTTACATTCTTGATGATATATACAAGGTATCATAGCTCGCTGTATATATAATAGACCACTATGCTGGATAATCGATCGAGGATGGTGTTAACGTGACTGAAGAATATAATTATGAATTAAGGTGATCAGAGTTCAAGTAAGTCAGTTTCCCCAATTTATACAACTCCACTACATAGACCAAATATCCAAAACCAATATTATACATGCCAAAAGATATTCACATCAGTTTATGAAAAATACCGGTGGCCCAGTTTATGATATCTCGTATATGAATTCGCGTGAGAGACTGTCTCCATATCAGTCGAAGGTCAACGAACTTGTACATCTTCTATGCTTATTGCTATCTCATGACATTCATGTGGCCTTGGCAAGGTGCAGCCTGATTGACCAAAGCACTTAACATGTTAAAATGTGGATTAATATATAGGCGCATGCGTTTGCTGTCTATTTGTATTGAAAGTCAAAGCATGAGACGTGTTTTCCATATACCGTATTTCCTCCATTAGGCGCCGGCTACCAAAACATGGCCTCTAATTTACGCCGGGTCATACGCTCTGTCAAAATATAAAGTCAGACCTCTGTTAAACACGGGGTCTCTAATTACCAGAATACTGTGATGTATCGATAAATAATAATTACAGTTTCCTATAAATGTACCATTGCATTCATTACCAGAATTTGGGATTCGGTAAGGTCGACTGTCCTGGCATAAAACAGAGTTTTAATAGACGCCGGGTCAACGGCTTGCGCGAAGTTTATAGAGAGTAATAGAGAGAGAAAAACGGTAATTAGGTTATCGATCATTTATTGCGTAACCGCCTCCTTTTTGTTTTTAACAGTTGAAGCATAATTACATATATTTGGTCGTTGACGTTTTCAAAAAAAGTAACAATTAATGGCTAACAAAAGCATTTTAAAAGTTTTTTTCCCCATTTCCTAAAAGCTATGCAGTTTCCCTTTCCCCAAAAACTTCGCTTTAGACATGTTAGAACGGTATATAAATATTCTTTGAATGCCCTGATTCCAACATGACCCACTCGCTAAGGCTGTCAAGTTTCCAGTTCAAGTCCGGCGGCTGCACACGGCACCAATCATAATCAAAACACGTGGACTGACTGAGATAGAGTCTAGCAACATGGCCGACACTGTGGGAAAGGTAATAATGATTAACACTGTCGATAGGACGTGAAACAAAACGTGACACATGTTAAAGTTGTGTGAAACATCTCGCTAAATATGTTTTCAATCACAATACCAACGCTGTTTGCTCATGTGCTCGCGTGTTACGTAATATTCAGCCGATAGCGTGATGTGATGTACGAAGCGAGTCGCTGTCACCGGTATTTGTCGGTCCCAGCTAGTTTTTGTGTACAAAGGAAAAACACAGAGTAATAATCATGTACGTTATTTAGCAAAATTAAACCATTAATTCAAACATAATATTGGAATCTAAAATAAGTCCCCCAATATTTGTTTTCGTTAAACAAGTTACACATATTAATACTCAATGACTAGTTGTTCCCTTACGCTGCGTGTCCGCCTTTGCGAATTTAGACATCGATGTGCGTTTATCATCTTTATAGGGCCTATATTTTACAGGCACCCGTCGGGTCATAGGTTTGCGGACACCATACGTTTTCGGACAGCCGTGTTTATAGTGATTAGTCGCGCTATTACGGGAAGTGTAGCATCACACAGACATTGTAATTACTCAGATGAAGGCTTGTTTTTAAGAGAAAGTTGTTTTTAAAAATGAATGACATGTTTTAACCCCCTGCCCTCTCTCCCGCAAACTCTCGATCCGCCTATGGACCAAGTTTTGAATCTAACTGTTGGTACAGAAGTCACTCTGGATCTCCCATTTTAATGTCTGTGACCACCCAAGTTCATTACATAGGGGCACAGGTGGCCTAGTCGTCTATGGCACCACAGACAGCCTCCATGGTCTAGTGGTAGAGCGCCTGCCCGGCGAGCGAAGATCCGGGGTTCGATCCCCGGTCATGTCAATACCAAAAGACGATAAAAGATGGTACTTGTTACCCTGTTTGGCACTCAGCATTAAGGGACTAAAACAAGGACTGGCTGGCTCTGGCAGTGTTAAACATCATTTCACCTCCTCACCTATGGCACCACACACAATGTGCTCTGCAGAGTTGCATCCCTTGGGCATGCCAGATTGTCGGTTAGAATCCCGGTTCTCCTAGATTATGTTTCTGAGTTTGTCAGCACCATACCCGGGTCCAGGGGCTTTTACCAAAGTGGTGTCTGTATAAGTTTTAACACCTGCTAGCTTTTCTCGACCCGTGAGGGTAGAATAGGTCTTCAGCAACCCATACTTGCCGTAAAAGGTGACTATTGCTTGTCGTAAAAGGCGACTAACGGAATCGGGTGGTCAGGCTCACTGACTTGGTTGATGCATGTCATCGATCCCAATTGCGTGGATCGATGCTCATGATATTAATCACTGGATTGTCTGGTCCAGACTCGATTATTTACAGACCGCCGTCATATAGCTGGAATATTGCTGAGTGCGGCGTTAAACAACCAACCAATCAACCTTTTTTCCCAAATCATGCTGACACGCCAAGTGGCGTTAAATCCAACCCACTCACTTACTTATTACAGAGAGTCTGCATGATTCTCAAATACATAGACCAAAGTAAATCCCTGGACATTTACTTATATATTTTGTTCAAGGGTGAAGATATTTCAATTCAGCTCATTTTGATTAGATATTTTTGAACTTAACATTGATGACTGATATTAAAATTCTACTGGTCCTGAGGACATAGGCTTAGGCAAGGTTCTTGTTCAGTGCTACAAACCTGCCAGTGCTCATCTGATAGGAGTTTGTGTGCAGAGCGCTTGACGATGAGACCCTTGTCTAAGGCCTAAATACTCGCTCAGACGAGTCTGGCAAGTCTTAATTACTCACAGCTGGTATTGTGAATTGTTTCCCATGTACCTTTGTAAGACACTTAAATACTCTGCACATATGAAATCACTGTATACATATGTTGTATGGCCTAATATAACAAATTACACTGTTATCAGTGTTCAGATATGTACAATTTCAAGCAACCATTCAAGTATGATCATGTCATTTCTGGTTTAGAAATTATGCAGTGAATGTAGGCATTTATAGGTTAACTGACAAGAAGGTCCCATTATATATATAGTACGAACTTAAGTTTTGGTCCCAGCCATATGCTGTATAGTTGTTGTATGAATGCTGATAACAAACTAAGGGTTTAACTTCTTTGAGTGGCATTTAGAAGTTTGAATGGTAACTAAGACGAAATTGTTATGGATGAGCAACTTCTTTATTACAATTGGGCGACGTTTCGGTGTAGATTCTAACACCGTTATCAAGCAAATCATTTGCCTATGTAACTAGTCCACAGGTGATTTTGGACTAGTATGTTAAGCAACATAACCAGATCTGGGGAGGAAACAATGAAGTGCCTCTAAATTTTCACTGGTCTAGTGGCCGTGTCTGTCTTTGTTAGCAAGGACATTGCTTTGTACAATAAGCATAAGATTTTGTTTGTTGTTTAAGGCCGCTCTCAGCAATATTCTAGCTATATTCTAGCTATATGACGACATCTGTAAATGATCGAGTCAGCCAGATAAGCATAAGAAGGCATCACAAATACTATTAATTGTATGTGTCGTTGATGCTGTGCTCAATCTCGAATCACTATTTTTATGCCAAGGACCTGGAATATTATCATTGAGATTCCCCCGTGCACATGGAAGATATACCTGCCAGAGTTTGCCCTAATGCAGAAAACCTGCGTATTTGGTGCAATCTAAGGAGAAAATACGCAATATTAATTCTCCATTGCGTCAGATCATTCAGACTGTCAAAATGAATAATTGCACTAAACTGTCGGAACATTAAAATTTGAAACAGACATATCCCTTGACAATAAATAAAATACGACCGATATCAGCTTTGTCTAATGTTGGAAAACCTAATGTCTACAAAGAGAACAGCCAATCAGAAATAAGTTTCAATATTTTCCTAGCGGGGTGGTTGTATTTCCTGTCAGTCACTGTCAAGAACAGGTTACGCCACATCATGTAAAGAGTTATAATATTATATAGCAGTTCCCTTATCAGTCGGTATCAATCTGTTATCTGCAAATATAATAACAAATATTAGACATTACAAATTACATATGATTAGATTAGCAACTGTGTGGAGAATAGATGAACATGATTTAAACTGCTTCATTAGAGATAACAAGATAAATTAAAAATCAAATTCATTATGTAATCTAACATCAATTAGTTTTTTTAAAATTAAAATGACCCGCCATGAAAGACATATGACTCCCTGTATTACAGCTAAGGAGTCATAATGCCGCCCAGGTTCAAGAGGCGAGGACAAACCCTGTGACCTCCGGCAAATCACTGAATCTAAATGGGAATATCCGTACAGGGCCTGTGATGAGCTTCCAATCAATTTGTTCCTCGTTTCAGACGATAACCTGCAAAGCAGCAGTGGCATGGGAAGCCAAGAAACCCTTGACGATGGAAACCATCGAGGTGGCACCGCCCAAGGCAGGAGAAGTACGAGTAAAGGTGAGTAGCTAAAGACTTAAAGCAAGGTTTGTGTTGCAAGCAAGAAACCTGAGTATTTGTGCTGACAACTCTCACTTACTGTTCATTCCCTTGATGGATGCACGTCTTTGACCTGATTAAGCCTGCCATAGTGAGTGTAAGTGAGTTAGGTTAACGCCGCTTTTAACATTATTCCAGTTATATCACGGCGTGTCAGAATAATATGGGAGGAAAGCCCGAAGTGATGCAGGCCTCGGACGTTTACCACTTCGATGAAACCACGAGCACGGGTATGGTGCTGACAAACCAAGAAACATAATCGGGGTGAACCGGGATTCGAACCCACAATCATAGGTTTCTGGCGTGCCCAAGGGACGCAACTCTGCACAGCGAATCGCGACTGGGCCACCCGTGCCCCCAAGCCTGCCATATTGGTACATTTTTGTTTGGATGTTTTCATTTGATGGACACAAACACCTATAAAGATAATTATGATTTACAATTATTTTTTATATTTATTTAATATAATAGCAGCATAGGTAGATTTTAATAACACGTTGAAAAGGACTTGATAGGTTTTAAATGCCACCTGTTGCACTTGACGTACCTTGGCAATGATTTAACACAAGCTCTGTGTGACCCCTTTAGATCAGACAGGAGTCATGCTGACCCTACAAATGTCGGTCGTGTGTAACCTATGCTGGTCATAAGGTGACTTAAGGATAGGGACGTTAGGCTCAGTGATTTGGTTGATGGCATGTCATCATATCCCAATGGAGTGGATCGTTACTTATCAATCACAGGATTGTCTGGATTATTTATTGACCGCAGTCATTTAGGTTGAAAATTGACAACATACAGTGACCCCTGGAGTGAGGCTGGGTCCAACCCTGGGTTAATCTACTGTGTTTTTTTTTGTTTTGTTTGTTGTTTAACACCGCACTCAGCAATATTCCAGCTACATGTTGGCAGTCTGTAAATAATCGAGTCTGAACCAGACAGTCCGGTGATTGACATGAGCATCGCCCACACAATTGGAATATGATGACATGCATCAACAAAGTCAGCAAGTCTGACCACCTGATCCCGTTAGCAACCTCTTACGACAAGCATGCTCGCCTTTACGGCAAGCATGGGTTGCTGAAGACCTAGTCTGCACCGGATCTTCACGGGTCAATCTACCACGTTGTACTTGTTTGATCAGGTTCTTGCTACTGGAGTGTGTCATACAGATGCCTACACACTGGACGGGTTCGACTCGGAGGGACTGTTCCCGGTTGTCCTCGGCCACGAGGGTGGAGGAATAGTGGAGAGTGTGGGTGAAGGAGTCACGACTGTGAAGCCAGGTGAGCTCTCATAGGGACTGTTCCTCATTGCTACAGACCGCCTCCATTGTCTAGTGGAAAGAGGGTCTGACCGGAAAGTGTAGCGTCTGACCAGAGAGGGGAAGGTTGGTGGTTCTTTTTCCCTGCTGCATTATGCCAAAAGACTTTAAGAGATGGTACTTGTTGTTTCCCTGCCTGAATACTTTCTGACCAGCCCCTCAGCATCAAGGCTTCAAAAGTCTCAGTGCTTGTGAGCCAAGCATTCATACATGCTTCCCTGATTTCTGTACCTCAACCAGAACTCCAGATAAATTTTTGAGCAATCTAGTCTTTGCTCTAGAGTTTCTATTTTAATTGGGTTATTACATTTTTCATTGGGTAACCAATATTTTTCACTCATCTAGTCATCACTCTATTGGGTTTTTCCCCAAATTAGTGAACATTTTAAGATTTAAAACAAATGAAATAATGTTTTAGATGTGTATAACTGTTCTAAATATATAGGCTTGACCCGGAAAGTAAATTAGCTAGTAATTGTGTTTCGGAAATAAGCTTCTTTGTAGGCATGCTGAAAAAGCTTCATTGGGTATTTACACGAGCTGTTTTTATACATTTGAGCTTTTCATTTAGTGCATGCGTTTCTGTGCATTGTTAATTGAAAGTAATTGGGTTTTGAATATTTTTTGGTGGGAGGTATCTTACGCTAGTACGTTGTTTATCTGTAGCTCTGTCAACATTGAATAAAATAACCCATGATATCCTCGGGATGTGTTCTAGGGCTGCAACAAATACACTATGAGGCAAATACGATTCGTATCACGAATATAGGGTAACGAATACGAATATTAATTCATGAATACAATAACAAGTCAGCAGCTTAAGTATTATTTGTTATATTCAGTGAATCATTAACACAATAAATTATTTGACATGGTTTGTTAATTATTAATATATTATACATTTATGTACTGCACTTATCCAGGTACTAGTATCTGCTCATATGCAACAATGACCAGTGACCACAATACTCTCAAATTAAATATTATAAGAGTGTTGTCTTTGTAAGAAATCTATGCATATAATATGTTCTTATGGATATTTTTAGGTAAGGCTGTAAAGAAATGAAACCAAATCGTTTTTGAAAGCTTACATATGATTGACTTGCGAACCCACGCAGTCATCATTTAAATTGGACAGTTTGTTCAGTGTTCACCTGACATGAACATGAAAGAGGTGTAGTCCCCATTGATAATAAACCCCACTGATCTGAAAACCCAGAGCACCAGATGATCACTGCTTGGAATGTTAATTGTTTTCATTACAGCGTAGCCATGATTTAATCATTTGAAAAATGTATACAATCATGACGATCCCAGGACCCGTGAAGATTCGGGGGTAGAATAGGTCTTCAGCAACTCATGCTTGCCGTAAAAAGTGACTATGCTTGTCGTAAAAGGCGACTAACGGGATTGGCTGGTCAGGCTCGCTGACTTGGTTGATGCATGTCATCAATCCCAATTGCGTGGATCGATGCTCATGATATTAATCACTGGATTGCTGGTCCAGACTCGATTATTTACAGACCGCCGTCATATAGCTGGAATATTGCTGAGTGCGGCGTTAAACAACAAATCAACCAACCAACAATGACGATCCCAGAAGCGTCACTACAGTGTTTTGTGTGCGGTGTTTCAGGCGACCATGTTATCCCATGCTACATCCCTCAGTGCTATGACTGCAAGTTCTGCAAAAGCACCAAGACCAATCTGTGCTCCAAGATAAGGTAAATTCAAAAATGGCTGAAACATTAAATCTTTTGCACAATATCATAAAGACACATGTTGCCATGTTCTTGCTGTGTATCACGATACACTAGTTTTACACTTGAAAACTAGCTTATTTCAAATGATTATTTCTATTCTTTCAATCAAAGGTAAAGACAACATGATGCTTCCTGATTTTAATATAATGTATTTGAAAAATTCAAATCCAAACTATGTAGTTGGAGTGGGGTATCCTTGTTAAACTGTGGCTGAGTCGTCTGAGGTGAGGAGTTAGGTCACTTGCCATGACAGGATGTGCTGATCATGGGTTTGAATCCCAGATAAACAAAATGTTGAGTCTTGGTGTGTGGGCATCATGCCTTTGCTCATTGTCATGTGTGGAACTTTCTACGTGGCACATAAAGTTGACACGCCGTGATGAATCTGAAATACTGACCTGAATGTTACTGTACTGCGACAAACCACCTACAGTTGTCAAGAAGGTACTATTGTCAGACAGGTGAGGACACCATGAGGGGCCCCTTTAGGCCAGTGGTGTAACCTGACATACAGTTAACTACGGTTATAACAAACTCAAAGGGACCATTCATTTTAGTTTCATTATAAGTGTTTTACGACTGTCAGACATCTTGGATCAAGTCACGTGGTTGCATAATGTTACAAGATAAATAACACAAGTGTGCATTGTTTATGTACTACATTGGGGGATGCCGTGTTCATCTGCAATTAAACTTTGATTTGAAACTTAACGTCGATGTCTAAAGCTGATTGGTGACACATGAGCAGCTCGGCAGTTCAGACATTAACAATTCGTTATAAACAACAACGTCATTGACAGAAAGCACACAGGACCACTAAGTGAGTATGCTGTATGTGTTTGTTATATCCATCAATTTAATATGAGAAAATATACAGCAAATGGCCGGGGCCTAAAAAGTCAGTTTGTTATATCCGTCAGTTCATTATAAGCCTGTTCACTATAGACATAGTTCAATGTAACTATATTTTGGAAGAAGTCTAGAAAACAAGCCATCCTTACAGATTTTCACGAGTGTCGGAGTAACAGACAAGTGTCTATGTCTAGTCCTGTAGAGAAGTTTGATCTAACATTCAATATTTGGAATATGTTTCAGATCTACTCAAGGTGCTGGTGTAATGCCCGATGGTACGTCCAGGTTCACTTGTAAGGGGAAGCAACTCTACCACTTCATGGGCACCAGCACATTCAGTGAATACACTGTAGTTGCTGAAATATCAGTTGCCAAGGTAATTGTTTAGTACAGCAGTAATAAGCTATATGTCATTTATTTTGTAGCCTGAGCCAAACAGTTTTGGAGTAAACTCACACTAAATTGTCTCTTGGCATCATTTGCAAGTTAACTTGTTAACATATGGACATTTATTAACCCAGCATACCGGCTAAAATCAGTTTTATTAGACTCATGCTTCTGAAGGGAGGCAGAGTCACTGACTGCTCTGACCTGCGCGTGTTTGCCATCACAACTGAATGCCCCTTGTATAATGCCCTGTCCTGTGTGCCCCTTGTATAATGCCCTTTCCTGTGTGCCCCTTGTATAATGCCCGGTCCTGTGTGCCCCTTGTATAATGCCCTGTGTCCTGTGTGCCCCTTGTATAATGCCCTGTCCTGTGTGCCCCTTGTATAATGCCATGTCCTGTGTGCCCCTTGTATAATGCCCTTTCCTGTGTGCCCCTTGTATAATGCCCGGTCCTGTGTGCCCCTTGTATAATGCCCTGTGTCCTGTGTGCCCCTTGTATAATGCCCTGTCCTGTGTGCCCCTTGTATAATGCCCTGTCCTGTGTGCCCCTTGTATAATGCCCTGTGTCCTTTGTGCTCCTTGTATAATGCCCTGTCCTGTGCCCCTTGTATAATGCCATCCTGTGTGCCCCTTGTATAATGCCCTGTCCTGTGTGCCCCTTGTCTAATGCCCTATGTCCTGTGTGCCCCTTGTCTAATGCCCTATGTCCTGTGTGCCCCTTGTATAATGCCCTGTCCTGTGTGCCCCTTGTATAATGCCCTGTGTCCTGTGTGCCCCTTGTATAATGCCCTGTCCTGTGTGCCCCTTGTATAATGCCCTGTGTCCTGTGTGCCCCTTGTCTAATGCCCTATGTCCTGTGTGCCCCTTGTATAATGCCCTGTGTCCTGTGTGCCCCTTGTATAATGCCCTGTCCTGTGTGCCCCTTGTATAATGCCCTGTGTCCTGTGTGCCCCTTGTATAATGCCCTGTCCTGTGTGCCCCTTGTATAATGCCCTGTGTCCTGTGTGCCCCTTGTATAATGCCCTGTCCTGTGTGCCCCTTGTATAATGCCCTGTGTCCTGTGTGCCCCTTGTCTAATGCCCTATGTCCTGTGTGCCCCTTGTATAATGCCCTGTGTCCTGTGTGCCCCTTGTATAATGCCCTGTGTCCTGTGTGCCCCTTGTATAATGCCCTGTGTCCTGTGTGCCCCTTGTATAATGCCCTGTGTCCTGTGTGCCCCTTGTCTAATGCCCTATGTCCTGTGTGCCCCTTGTATAATGCCCTGTCCTGTGTGCCCCTTGTATAATGCCCTGTCCTGTGTGCCCCTTGTATAATGCCCTGTCCTGTGTGCCCCTTGTATAATGCCCTGTGTCCTGTGTGCCCCTTGTATAATGCCCTGTGTCCTGTGTGCCCCTTGTATAATGCCCTGTGTCCTGTGTGCCCCTTGTATAATGCCCTGTGTCCTGTGTGCCCCTTGTATAATGCCCTGTCCTGTGTGCCCCTTGTGTCCTGTGTGCCCCTTGTATAATGCCCTGTCCTGTGTGCCCCTTGTATAATGCCCTGTCCTGTGTGCCCCTTGTCTAATGCCCTATGTCCTGTGTGCCCCTTGTATAATGCCCTGTCCTGTGTGCCCCTTGTATAATGCCCTGTCCTGTGTGCCCCTTGTATAATGCCCTGTCCTGTGTGCCCCTTGTATAATGCCCTGTGTCCTGTGTGCCCCTTGTATAATGCCCTGTGTCCTGTGTGCCCCTTGTATAATGCCCTGTGTCCTGTGTGCCCCTTGTATAATGCCCTGTGTCCTGTGTGCCCCTTGTATAATGCCCTGTGTCCTGTGTGCCCCTTGTATAATGCCCTGTCCTGTGTGCCCCTTGTATAATGCCCTGTCCTGTGTGCCCCTTGTTTAATGCCCTGTGTCCTGTGTGCCCCTTGTATAATGCCCTGTGTCCTGTGTGCCCCTTGTCTAATGCCCTATGTCCTGTGTGCCCCTTGTATAATGCCCTGTCCTGTGTGCCCCTTGTATAATGCCCTGTCCTGTGTGCCCCTTGTATAATGCCCTGTCCTGTGTGCCCCTTGTATAATGCCCTGTCCTTTGTGCCCCTTGTATAATGCCCTGTGTCCTGTGTGCCCCTTGTATAATGCCGTCCTGTGTGCCCCTTGTATAATGCCCTGTCCTGTGTGCCCCTTGTATAATGCCCTGTCCTGTGTGCCCCTTGTATAATGTCCTGTGTGCCCCTTGTATAATGCCCTGTCCCGTGCCCCTTGTATAATGCCCTGTCCTGTGCCCCTTGTGTCCTGCAAGCCCCTTGTATAATGGCCCTTATTCTGTGTGCAGGTGGATGAGCAGGCCCCCCTGGACAAAGTGTGCCTTCTGGGATGTGGGATATCTACCGGATACGGTGCTGCCCTCAACTCTGCTAATGTAGGTGGAAGATGACAGTGGTTGTTCCGGAGAATAGTTATAACATATATACGATAATATATCGGAGCTTTTAGATGAATCAATTCAAAACTGTGACATCTGATAATTCCAATTTTCAAGAGACAGAAATACCAAAAGTTATAGTTACAGTTCCATGCAATTCTTTGTGAGTGATTGAGTATGTTGTTACACAGCTTTGAGCAATATTCCAGCAATATCACGGCAGCCTGTAAATAATTGAGTCTGGACCAGACAATCTAGTGGTTGACATCATGATCATCAATCCACACAATTGGGATACAATGACGTGCATCAACCATGTCAGCGAACCTGACCACCCGATCCTGTTAGTTGCCTCTTACGCCAAGCATAGTCGTCTTTTCTGGCAAGCATGGGTTGCTGAAGACTTATTCTACGGGTCTTACGGGTCTCATTTCCTTGTGTATTAGCAGACTCTTTACATTTCTGCTGACCCCAAAGAGGCAGCAGATAAGTCTTTCTATTTAAGTCCGACCAAATATTAATACTGTTTGATTTACCTGGCGATCAGATTTGTACTCAACATTTCAGGTTGAGGCTGGATCGACTTGTGCTGTATGGGGTCTTGGTGCTGTGGGTCTCGCTGTCATCATGGGATGCAAGAAAGCAGGAGCCAGTCGTATCATCGGCATTGACATCAACCCAGACAAGTTTGAGATTGGTAAACATAGTTTATCTTACTCCTGTGGGATGATGGAGGAGGATGGTTCCCAGTTCCCTTGGTGATGGTTGAGTTTGCATGGTGGCTGCATAATATGAACAGAAGCTGTATCCCTTTGAAGCCCTTGGGAAGACTAGATACCCCGTTTGGAATATTTCCGCTTTCTTGTTGCAAGAGATGTTTTAAGTGGATGATTACGTGTCATTGGTCCCTGATGTAAGCACCCTCTCTCAGTGCTAATGTTGTCAGGATAGTTTTGTAGTTCTTGGGAAGTACTGTTGCACTGCTATAAGCATAGAGGAATGTGTTCCTCTCTCTGATTGATCACAGTTAGGAATGACTGAAGCATTCCCATTGTGTTGCAGCCAAGCAGTTTGGAGCTACAGAATCAGTGAATCCCAAAGATCATGACCGCCCCATCCAGCAGGTTCTGGTGGAAATGACTGACGGAGGTCTTGATTATACGTTTGAATGTATCGGCAGTGTGGCAACTATGGTAAGTTATGAAACAATTGGTTGTGAATGTCAAATACTGTAGCAACAATGCAACAAAAGTTTGTGTTTTGCTACATTGGAATTGGCACTGTGTGATTCCAAATCAGTATAGATTCCCACTATCTAACTCTTTCTGTAAAAGCTCACTAAAGTGGACATGGCTTTCTGTTAGACCTTTTCGATTGGTGTCATCGTACTCTGACTTTGCTTTTTGCTTTAAGTCACTTGTTGTTGAGTCCAAACTTTTTCGTTTACAAACAGTATTGATATCCAGAAATATTTGTGAGTAGAGTTACCATAAGACACATCATTCACTCACTCGCCAACCTGTGATTGTTCTCTGTCAGAGAGCAGCTCTGGAGTCTTGTCACAAGGGATGGGGAGTGTCCACCGTCATCGGCGTCGCCGCTGCTGGGCAGGAGATCTCCACACGCCCATTTCAACTGGTCACTGGACGTGTGTGGAAGGGGTCCGCTTTCGGGGGTAAGTTGTGGCACCTGAATGTTGCAGATAGATTCCCAGATTCTCTGACACAGACACGCACACGCACACGCACACACACATGCACTCGCACACTGACTCCTGTATTTTATTAGGGATCTTCTGGTTAAAGGAATTGATCAATAGTCAGAGGACCTGGATTATATTTCCCATATGGGTGAAAACTATTCTTCGTGTCCCCCTGTTGTGACATTGCTTGAATTTTACTAAAACTTTAAATCTTTGTTCTTTTATAATCTATGTTAGTGTCATGTATAGGTATAAATCCTCATACTCAGTCTTGCTTGACAACGGAATCAGGATCTATGCCGAAACGTTACTAAAATAGTATCATCAGATCATAGGTTTTCGGACATCGTATGTTTTTGGATGGCAATGTTTATTGCGATTACTCGCACTACAAGATTGTAGCATCACTAAGACATTTTTATTTTCAGATGATAGCTTGTTTTTAAGAGAAAGTTGTCTTTTATAAGTGAATGAGATGTTTTATAGTTTTTCTTGTGATTAGAGAGAAGAAAAAGCGTCCGAAAACCCATAACACGGGGATATATTAAAGAAGCTATCCATGAATTGTCTACTTTGTCTTCCATCAACCTCTGAGGAAATTCCTGTCAAACAATTCTTTCACGTTGTATGTGTTGTCAGAGCTACAGATAAGCTGCGTATTTGGGTAAAATACGCAGCAACATTCAAAACCCAATTACTTTCAATTAACTTGCGTACAGAAACGCATGCATTAAATGAAAAACTCAAATGTATAAAAACAGCTCGCATAAATACCCAATGAAGCTTTTTCAGTACAAAGGAGCTAATTTCAGAAACACAATTAAGAGCTAATTTACTTTCTGAGTCAAGACTATATATTAAGAACAGTTATATACATCTAAAACATAATTAAAATTTTTTTTCCCTAAAATGTTCACTCATTTGGGGAAAAACCCAATAGAATGATGAAAAGATGAGTGAAAAAATATTGGTTACCAAATGAAAAATGTAATAACCCATTTAAAATAAAAATCCTAGACTAGAAACTGAATTGCTCTAAAAGTTATCTGGAGCTTTGTGTTGTTGCCAGGCTGGAAGAGTCGAGACAGCGTGCCCAGACTGGTGGAGGAGTACATGAAGAAAGAGCTGAAGGTGGACGAGTTTGTCAGCTTCTCGTTTCCGCTGGAGGAAATCAACACTGCCTTTGACTACATGCACAGTGGCAAGAGGTAGGTGTGCAGCTGTTATAACACCAGTGTTCTCACAACATACTGAACAAGCAGAGACCAGGTCCCCTTCAACAGAATATTTACATGTCATTATCAAAACTCATGGGTCACACTCTGAGAGATCATGCATAGCTTAAAACACATGATGCACAGGTTATTAGCAGACCGTGAAGCAGGACATGTTTTGTTGGAATTTGACTGCTGCAGAACATGATTTTTCTAATGACTACTACACAAAGATTAGAGATTATTCTTCGGTAGACTCATTCCGAAGTGTCTTGGGGGTATATACTTTCTCTAGGATGGGGCACTGCCTTGAAAAGGTTTTAGTCAAGGTTAGTCATAGGTCAAGGTCGGCTTTCAGGTTTTTGCAAACACGGTTATATCATTGTCAGTTTTTGAGTCATGGCAGCCACCACAGGCATGGAACTTTAGGTTTGCATGTCGCTTTGCAAATCCAACCACATCTAATGTTGGTTCTATGTCTATCAAAGGTGGAGGTCCTATCTGAGGTTGTTGCGGACCGTGGTTGTATCCTCTATTTCTGTTTACTTGTACAATCGGACCTGTGAAGATCTGGGTTAGAATATGTCTTCAACAACCCATGCTTGCTGTAAAAGGCGATTATGCTTGTTGTAAGAGGCGACTATCGGGTTTGGGTGGTCAGGCTCGCTGACTTGGTTGATGCATGTCATCGTGTCCTAATTGTGTGGATTAGTGCTCATGATGTCAATCACTAGATTGTCTGGTCCAGACTCGATTATTTACAGACGGCCGTCATACAACTGGAATATTGCTGAGTGCGGCGTAAAACAACAAACAAACAAACAAACCTTACAGTCCTCAGTCTAGGGTAATTGAAGGATCTTACATGGGAAAGCACTGTTACATGAAATGCACTGTTCGTAAAGTGAGACGAATATACCAACAAAAAACAGGAAGTTTACATTCAATAATTGAACACCTCTGCGAGTGATGTAAAATGTTTTTAAGACAGTAAGTGACGCCATAATTTTATTTAATAAAGCTAGCATAATATGTTGGACGTGTTCAATTACCCACTCTAGTAAGTTTATGTGCCAGTCAATAAATTACTGCATGCCAAGAGTCTGCTGCCTTGGCGGTGCACTTAATATCATGGTCAGTGTACTTAACACCTCTACTAATGACCTTCCACCCTTAGAGTTGTTCTCAAATAGGAGATTCTAAAATTTGGTCAAGTTTTAAGAAATAATTTACTCCCCTGTAACCTGAAATCATTTCTAGTTAATTTTTGTCCCACGGATTCTATGGCTGTAATTTGGTCAAGCCCAAACACTTGAGGTGCCTTAGTAGGAATATTTGAAGAGTAACCGAAAACCTCTAAGTCGAAATAAGAAACTTGTTTTGAAAATTTACCTCACACCAAATAATCTCTCTTTCATTAATTTGCAGTATTCGCTCTGTGGTGAAGCTGAGCTAGATGCAGCGAGTTTCCCAACATCCTCGGGGACTACACGAGACTACACAGCAAGACTACACAACGTGACGACACTACAACTTCATGGAATTCCCTCCATGGTCAACCAATCATCTTGTACAGAGAGAAGCAATTGTGCAGTTTAATGGTTAATACGGCAATAGGATTCAATGGATCAAAGAAATGTATTTTGTAATGATTTTTAAATGATTCCACAACTTACGACTACAGGCAGAAATTGTGTTTCTCAGTATGGATCGGTGGAACTTCTTTCTTACAACTGTACTCAAGATGGAGTCGATTAAATTTCTTGATTTCTTAAGAGTCATTCTTTTTTGTGAATTGTGTTCAGGATATTTATCTGTTTGTGGCATTGGAGTGCCAGTCATCACTTCGCAGTGCAGAGTTACATCACTTAGGGTTGCTATGAGCTTACATTAATATACCCCCAGATAGGAGGTGTAAGTTAATGTCAGTAAACTGAAGAGGGGGGTGGACGTATGACTCCTGTCATGATATCTCCTGGCAGTGTTGGGTTAGGTCTGTCTACGAATCCCTGTGAAAATGTGTTCCTGACTGAAAGACATGCTGCACATGTAGGTTACTACAACTGTTTCCGTTCAGTCTGTCTTTTATAGACAATGACAACACACAGCCATGTCGTATCAGGTTCTTTACTACGTGTGGGAAGTATGTACTGGTAAAACATCCTCACTTCAGTGTAAATAAAGCTGTGAACCAACAGTAACTTCTGGCATCCGACTCTGCACGGTTCTGGTCTGGCCAATTAAAATCCTATGTTTGTGGGTTGGCATGACAGATTCACCCTGAAATTGATCATTGGAGTGCCAGTCATCAATTCGCAGTGCAGAGTTACATCCCTTAGGGGTGGCAGTATCCTATGTTTGTGGGTTGGCATGACAGATTCACCCTGAAATTGATCATTGGTTTGCCATCATCTTACACTTGCTTGTGAGTTTCAGGTCGTAAACATCAACGATACATCAATCCATGCTTTCCTCCCACACAAGGTGATACACCATGACATAACCATCCTCTATGTCTCCAGGGCAGTGGAGTAGCCTAGTGGTTAAAGCAATCGCTCATCACGCTTGGTTTGATTCCCCACATGGGTACAATGTGTGAAGCCCATTTCTGGTGTCCGCCGCTCTGATAAGGCTGGAATATTGCTAAAAGCAGCTTAAAACATACTCACTCACTCACATTTCGATAAACCTAGACTAACCCAAAGATCCATTCCCGTGGTTCTAGTGAACTCAAATTACCCACCCCTTTATTTTCATTAGCCAAATTGATTTGCTTTGCTACTCAGTCTAACAGACCAATCAGAATGCAAGTTGAAAACCAGCCTCAGTGTTGGTCATCATCAAAATGACGTCCAGTACTATTGTTTACGATAGAGTTTGCGACTGACTGACATGCAAAAACCCTCAATTTTTTTTATGGAAAGGATGTCTTCATGTCCCCTTCCTTATCCCGATATTTGATTGGTCGGTATATTGTTAATGAAAATCAATGACGAGAACCTGACAGGGATGGATCCAGGGCTTCATGCAGGTTACCGAACTGCGAGCCCTGGAGGCATAGAGGATGTGATATAACTGGAAGTCTGTAAACAGCAAGGTTAGACCGAACTCACTCACCTAGCTGTGCGTACCTAGACACTGTAGAATCATAGGACGAAATAATCATGATTACTAAGGAACTAATTGTGTGTATGACACCTTGCAATTGAGTATTAGTGCACCCATATTTGACGCACTCCAAATCCAGCCATCATGTTACTGACTTCATGCTTGGACAATGTTTAACTCTTTTTTTTTAAACAATTAAACACAATGTCTGTGCATTCATTCAAACTAAATTTCACTTTCATCCAACACCTCATGTACAACATTTTAATGGAATTCAGATTTGCCATTACACCTTGCAGAGTTGTCATGTTGCTTAATATACTGTGTTTGTGCCCAAGCTGGGCATCCACTGACAATGTGTTGGACAGTCTCATTAAATTCATTACATAATCTACATTTCATATTTACATTTTGATGCAAAATCACACATTGACGGTTTCGAGTGGGAAGTGACTGGTCCTGAGCAGCAAACAGAAAGCCTTCTGTTTCACTTTTCAGGCCAGCCGACCTCATCCAAGCTAAGGACTCTGTAGGGTTGCTGATTTTCTCAACACTGCATATAAACTTGATGCAGTGGTCGTTCAGATAGCCTCTCCTCTCCTGAGTCTGGGCTGATTTGATATGGCACTTCACTTGGTTGACACTCATTTCTGTACCATCAAGCAGTACAGAATCATCAACAAAATCAACACTGACATTGAGATTATGTGCCACATCCTTGGCTCGTTTACTAAAACTGTTGAATGCCTTGTTTCCATTGTCTTGACATGCTTCACAAGAGGATCATCAGACAAATAAATATGTGCAAAAATGCACAAAACAATTCTATCACGAAGAGCCCAAACGTTAATGGAAACCACGGCCCCCTTAATGATTGGTAAATATAAGAGATTGAGAGAAGAGCAAGGGTGGTGGGATCTATTGTCGGACATGATTCTTCGTATGAAGGTGTCAGTACCCTGAATTTCTTGTTTCGTCCAATCAACAACACCAAAAGAACATGTAAGGACGGGTACAGCATAAGTATGTGTGGCTTTAACTTTATTGCGGGCGTTCAGCTCTGAACTCCAGATTTTCTTGAGTCTACATTTGTACTCTGCCCGAAGTTTTTCCTTGATATGGGCATTCTGGAGTTTGTCCCTAATCTGCATCCCTAAGTATGTATAGGCCTGACCTTCCAAGAGATGGTCAATAACTCCCCCTCGAGTTAACTGACCGATCCTCCCTCTTCTATCTTGCCAAGTTTCAGATGAAGAATTTGCATTTGTCGAGTCCAAAGGACATGCTGATATCATTAGAAAAGGACTTGACAAGGAGAATCTGTTTTTTAAGTGTGGATCCTCCATTGGCAATAAGTTCAAGGTCATCCATGTAAAGGAGGTGAGTAAGGTGTGTTGGGGATCTGTGCTGAGGAGCTCCAGGATATATTATTAGGGCTCAAGCCGAAAGGCTGTGTTATTTATTATTCTGCCAATTTTTGTACCAGAGCTAGCAAAATAACCATTTTGTATGTGTATGTAGACCGTTGAGTACTAGTGCTCGCCAAAATCCCAAAGCCGTAGGCCCAATGGCCAAGGGCAGATAACTGAAAAACAAGTACTTTTTAAAGATATATTTCGCCCTATTGCTCCGCAACTGCTTGTCCGGGTTACTTTCAAACCTTGCATGTATCTGCTGCTTGAGTTGCTTGTCATTTTTTTGTCCTTTGACTTTGGTCATTGGTCACGTGGTTTGGCAGCCATATTGGATTAAAGATTTTCACAGTGTCTTTTGGGTACCTGTCTTCAAACGCATACCCCTCTGAATCAACAGCATGAAATGCTTCCAAACTTTCTGAGAATTGTCTCCACACACAACACAACAAACATTAATAGCCGTTTTTGGATATCTTGTTTAGTTGCGATCGTAAGGGATTTTGATTTTGATAATTTGTTTCACCAGAAGTTTACTTGAAAGTTCATATCTTGTAAGGTTGTTGACAGAAACTATTTCAAATTTACATAGAGTTAGTGTATGCATCTCATTTTAACATAACGGAATATCAACATGTGAGGCTAGTGTCTAATATTATGACATATATCGACGTGAGTCTAGTGCATTGTAACATGACGGAATATCAACATGTGACGCTAGTGTCTTATATTATGACATATATCGACGTGAGGCTAGTACATTGTAACATGACGGATTATCAACATGTGACGCTAGTGTCTTATATTATGACACATATCGACGTGAGGCTGGTACATTGTAACATAGCGGAAAATCAACATGTGACGCTAGTGTCTTATATTATGACACATATCGACGTGAGGCTAGTACATTGTAACATAGCGGAAAATCAACATGTGACGCTAGTGTCTTATATTATGACACATATCAACGTGAGGCTAGTACATTGTAACATGACGGATTATCAACATGTGACGCTAGTGTCTTATATAATGACACATATCGACGTGAGGCTAGTACATTGTAACATGACGGAATATCAACATGTGACGCTAGTGTCTTATATAATGACACATATCGACGTGAGGCTAGTACATTGTAACATGACGGATTATCAACATGTGACGCTAGTGTCTTATATAATGACACATATCGACGTGAGGCTAGTACATTGTAACATGACGGATTATCAACATGTGACGCTAGTGTCTTATATTATGACATATATCGACGTGAGGCTAGTACATTGTAACATGGCGGAATATCAACATGTGACGCTAGTGTCTTATATTATGACATATATCGACGTGAGGCTAGTACATTGTAACATAACGGAATATCAACATGTGACGCTAGTGTCTTATATTATGACACATATCAACGTGAGGCTAGTACATTGTAACATAACGGAATATCAACATGTGAGGCTAGTGTCTTATATTATGACATATATCAACGTGAGGCTAGTACATTGTAACATGACGGAATATCAACACCCTAAGCAGTCATCTTCCATGATGACACTCAATATTTGAGACATGATTCATTACAACTTCACATTCATCAGTGTGAGTCAGCTAATTCCTTGCAGTGGAATAACAAAGCAATTATATGTACAGACGAACTACTTTTATATATATCATTTAGTTATTATGTTCATTCATGATCATCTATAAGATGATAACGCGATAAATCGCAAAGAACAATGAACGTCATGTCTGGAGATTACAACATGCGCTGGCAACTTGATGACGTTGTATATTGGACGACGTTATGTTTGAGAGGGGAGCGTGTTCAGTGAGGTGTTCCCCATAGATGTAGCTGGACAACGCAGTGTTTTATTGTCAGATAAACACTTCCCACTCGTCGTTTATTTCCTAATTAACATAGGAGTTGTGTTACTTTGTCAAAATAATAATTATTGCAATTTATATGCAAACAAATCCCGACGATATTAGATGAGCTATATCCTCACGTTTGAACAGCCGTCACGAAGAACCGATAAATAGCATACCTTGAGCTAATATACCATGAATTGAAATGACTAATGACATCCAATTCCATGTCAATGTAGACCACCTCCCCGGTCAAGTGGCAGAGCGTCCGTCCGGGGTTCGATCCCCGGCCGCGTCATGCCAAACGACGTTAAAAGATGGTACTTGTTGTTACCCTGTCTGGCGCTCGGCATTAAGGGGCTAAAACAAGGACTTGTCGGTTCGGAGGTCCGTATACTGTGTCTGAGTGGGGTATTCTTGTGAAACTACGGCATGGTATCTCAGCGTGCTAGCACTATAAATCGGGATCAGTCCGGACTAGTACAAGCAGACCAGATATCACACGAGTACAATGATGGTATTACAATGATGGTGTGGTTCATTTTTCGTTTCAAATGTTTATTGGACTATGTTGAAGTAGTGTTGTTGTCAGTGATGGGCGTACTCGCGACTGACTCCGAGTATAAACTGTGCGTATTTCACTTCCTCGTGTACATGCAGTTTGTGGACAGACACTACACAAGTCGTGTGTTTCAGTGCTGGCGCTGGGTCCGTGTAAGTAGTACATTCTTCGGCTCTCGTTGATGAATAGATGTTCGAATATTTATCTGTGATAGCATTTATGGCTACAAGGTGTAGTTTGAGGGAGTGAGAAAAAACACAAAGACAATTATGATGTAACAGCCCTGTCTATGGACAATGGAATTGTCGCAGTCAGTTGTATAGACACGCATATCTGCATATAATAGCACGTTTACTGTATTGGGAAATTAACTGTAACTTATGGGATCACTATTTTTATACATGAATTTAAATGTATAGAACAAAATCTAATATCGTTTTTAATTAAATGTCAAAGGAAACAGTTTACCAGGAATTTAAATATGTCCTTGAAACATTAAAGGAAATAATGATAGCTGTGCTCATATAGCCAACACGAATATCTGGACTGGTTTTTGTGTGTATATCTAATACTTAGACACCTGATGACATCACTTGTTTATATATATATATGTATGTTTATATAATTTTTTTACATATAACAACAGAGAATAATCAGTCTCAGTTATCTGGCGAATCAGATTCCGTGAGGCATAAAAGGCAAAATATGGAAATTCATGTGAATGGATAACTGAAAATCATTGATGACACCAGGTGTTCAAGGTTTGCATGACTTTGTTAGGTATCTGCAAAAACAAACAATACAAATTAAACATTGTGAGTAGTTGAAGGTGTCCAAGCCTTATTCCTACAATCAGTTACATAAGCACATGGTCTACTCCAACTCTCCTCAAATTTCCATATCTAAATAATATTGCCATAAAGTCTACAACGGAATTGACGTAATAGTTACGATTAAAGGTAATGAATATATACAAGTATTTATTTTCTATCAGCCGACTTCCAGTGTTTACATGAAATATACTCAAGTCCATCAGAAGCTTTACACATGAAGAAATATTTCGGAGTTCCAAACTCAAAGATATTAATTATAATGCATAAACAGACCAAACACAGCAACATTTCAACTCTACATTCTCAGCATACTTATGTCTCACGCTTATCACGCAGTGCCCACACTTGTAAAACCACGCGCCAAGCGGTATGTTATCTACAGTGGGACTCAAAACGGTCCTGTCTTGGAAACGTGTAATATCACATGGTTGCAAAGTCTGGATATCTTAAAACATCCCGAAAATGGGTCACAGATAGTTATATCATAAATGTTCCAGATTAAAATAGTCATTGTTTTGACTAGTTAAAAAACCCGTTTCAAAACAAATAGTTTTTCAAAAGGATGTTGTCAAATGCCTCCCCAAAATATATGTATTAATTTCATCGCAACCTGTTGCATATTTGCACTGTTTGGACTCAACCAAGTCATTTCTCGGAAATCGACATGGCATCTCCCATTGTAGGGGTGACAGGCTCTATAAACAGTGGAATGGAATGCTGAATGAATATATTTCGCCAACAAACTTTATTAAGTAACTGGAATTTAGATTTTTGAAGTTGTATTTATGTAGCAGTTGGTTTGAAATAATTCCCCAACAGAAATACATATAACGAATGACTATCTCTCCACCCCGAACTTTGACCCGGCTGAATTTTAGCTGCAGACGACAACACGAGATATTCTGCTCATTTTTGTGACGGTTGATTATGTGGCCCTGACGCAGTGGCTAATTTTGGTTTTGCTGAATTGTGAGTTCTGAAATAGATTTCATCATGTTTGATAAGGTGCCGTTCTGATAGCGAACGTGTACAATGTACTAATGGGATATCGGCGACCATTGTTTTATGCATCGATGCGTTGGCTGTCGCAGGTTATTTGATGTGAACAGGGTTAATTTAAAAGAAGTATCAGCAGGGAAAAGGTTAACTCTTTTTAACCAATCAGAATCAAGCTTTCTTCAACGTCATGGTAGAAGATTGATTTAATAACAATAACAAACAAAATTTCCGTTACATTCCACTTTAGCCTGATACAACTAATACTTTCGTACATCTAAATTTCTTTGGCCGTGAGTACAGTTTCATCTTTTGTCTGTGGACAAACTTCTGTTTTTCCCCTGTTGTTTATTTCGCAATTCATAATACCTCCTGAAGGAAAACTTATAGAAGTGACAGAAAAAAGTACAACTTGTGTGAATATATTTGTCATCACTGATCACCAAACATGTATATGGATGTTTATGAAGACACACATTATGAAAGATTGATCAGAAATCAATCTCATAAAAATGAAATCTTAGTTCTCGCTATCGCTAAACAAAGATCTGAGGACATCTCATTACGGGTCACGTCAGAACGACCTTTCATCCCACCAATCAAAGCGTCGCTTACCAGATCATGAAGTGACAGTCGGAATGTGTTTTCTAATCATGCAACCTCGAAAACGTCAACACGGGGTATTCCGAACGACATGACTGATTCCTTCAAAATTATCGTCTATCTCTCGCTTCCGTGGGATAGACATTTGAATAGAGGAGGCATTGCACAGTACGTGGGAAGCACTGCCATACAATGTCAACCATATATTAGACATTCCGGAATGTTCGTTTGTTCAGTTTTCAAAATTTTAAGCGAGAACTGTGTCAACATATTTTTCAAGCGTAGTCTGAAATGGAAGTCGCCAGGTTGAGACGAGAAAGCTGCTTTCTAATTGGCTGATGTCGACTTCTTGTTAGTCATTCAGGGGTCGGTCAAAGTTCGCGAAAGGTCTTTCTGACGTGACCCGTAATGGGATGTCCTCAGATCGTCGTTTAGCGTCAGCGAGAACTTAGATCTGATTTTAATGAGCTTGATCAGAAATGATAAGGGTAACAGTGCAGATATGTCATTGTTGCTCTTTCATGTCAAACGAAACTGTAAGGTGTTAATAGAATGACAATCCAGTGATTGACAACATGAGCATCGATCCACGCAATTGGGATCAATGACATGCATCAACCAAGTCAGCGAGCCTGACCACCGGATCCCGTTGGTCGGCCGTTACGGCAAGCATGGATTGTTGTGAAGACCTATTCTTACATGGGTCAGTGTAAACCGTGTAGTCACAGACCCGTATGATATGTTTGATGGAGGACACCAATGGGCATAGTGGTGTATGGGTAGGGACAACATGAGATGGAGATTAATAAAGCAGTGCATTTATTCAAATTGTAAGTAATGGAATAATATTAAGGTTTTTTTCAATCAAGAAATGAAAGTGAAATAACATAGTTTGACAATATAGAGATTGATAGTAGATAATAGAACAAAATGTCGTCAGAACTCATTGTAACTGAAATACTTCCAACCACCGGAAGGTAGATCGGTAGTTACTTGATATTTCAATAGCAGTTGTCTGTGAAACATTTGATCTTGTTTTAACGGGCAAAAAGCATTTTTCGAGCATTTTAACAGTACAGTTGAATCTTATACTTGTGCACGGTGAAGTGTCCATGAGGAATACTTGTTGAATCTTATGGTTGTTGTGAAAAGTGAATTGTCTGTGTGGAATAATTGTTGATTCTTATGGTTGTTGTGAAATGTGAATTGTCTGTGTGGAATAATTGTTGATTCTTATGGTTGTTGTGAAATGTGAAGTGTCTGTGTGGAATAATTGTTGAATCTTATGGTTGTTGTGAAAAGTGAAGTGTCTATGTGGAATAATTGTTGAATCTTATGGTTGTTGTGAAAAGTGAAGTGTCTATGTGGAATAATTGTTGAATCTTATGGTTGTTGTGAAAAGTGAAGTGTCTATGTGGAATAATTGTTGAATCTTATGGTTGTTGTGAAAAGTGAAGTGTCTGTGTGGAATAATTGTTGAATCTTATGGTTGTTGTGAAAAGTGAAGTGTCTGTGTTGAATAATTGTTGAATCTTATGCTTGTTGTGAAAAGTGAAGTGTCTGTGTGGAATAATTGTTGACAACATTGTGCTTGTGGCTCTTTTGAAGTGCTAAAATAGATAGATAGATAGATAGATAGATAGATAGATAGATAGATAGATAGATTAATGATGCAAGAACTTTTGTCTGTTTGTTATAATTTCGTGCATCCCTGTTTACAGTAAAATGGATTGATCCATGTGCCTTCTTTGTCTAACTATCGCAGTCACTCATCTCTGACTATACCTGGGTTGTCTAATAGCTACTGTTTACCTGCTTTAAAAATGTAGACGAAGTGGGTTGATAAGAAAGCTTTACTGAGGCATTGAATGTTGTAACTTTGATAAAACAACTTTTAAGCGAGCGTCGTATGACACTGTTTGTGACATGTAGACTCTAAAGGCCGTAGATGCAGGAATGTTACTCACATAAAGGGACAGTTGACTATTTGAAAGTTGCAGTCATCGGTCCTTGTCATACAGTCTTGTGGAGAATTGTGTTGTGACTCCGAATGCATAGATCGAAATATGAAATGGACGTTGTGGTCTTACTGGTCCCCTCTATTTCTAGTTGAGGTGGGTAAATCAGTGGAAGGGAATTGGCTTTTTAATGGATATTGAACGACATCAGATCATTGCTACACCTGAAGCTTAAGTTAGATTAAAATCACCTTGTTCTGACTTTGCCAATCCGTTCGGAAATTCCCATTCCCATTCATAAAGAAACAGATCCGCAAGAAGGGGAGCACAATGGGTGCCTATAGGGATGCACCTAAATGTCTTACCCCCAATTACACATAAATGCTATCAATGAGAAATTTCCAATTTCACATATTATTTTCTCAGTAAACTTCAGATGGCATTTGCCTTCATTTTTACGAATTGTTCTGAACCTCTGAAGATAGATGTGTAACTATATTTATGGTCACCACGTTTAGTAAAAAAGCCCTATGGACCAAAGAATGAAGTTGTTCCTCAAGTCTGTCATGTGGTGTTCACTTAGTGCGTACAAAGCTGAAAAATAAAACGTTTTGACTGAATTGAATTCTTCTGAAGTTGCAATCATTGAATCGAAATGGTATTAATCCCACTTGTCACTTGTGAACACAAAAAAGCGTTTTCTTGATGGTATTAAGGGTTATGGTTAATCAATGAGACGGGGATTTGGTGGACCCATCAATATACATGTATCTCTCTCTGTACGGCCTTTTATAGGGCGTTTGATCCAGTACAAAAGGAACGGATATGTCTTCAGGTTTTAGAGTCAAGTCAAAAGTTGAAAATATTGATGCATATTTTGGGCAGATTTCCTCCTCAAATAACAAACTGGCCTTATATGTGGCATTATTTGATATGTCGGTGATGTTATTTGAGACATTATCAGTGGACAATCAACTACAAGCTTTTCATGTAGGACAGCCAAACTTTGGATGACATATTTAAAACTATCTAACCCTTCATGGGCGTGCTTTCAGTGTCCAGCATTCACCAGGTACCTTTTGTTTATTTATGCCAGATAATGGTAGACTCAACTATTATTCAATGTCATACTAAAACGACGAGGACATGACACTCTTGGTGTGTGGCAGTAGAGACGGATGTAAATATATTTGTAGCAGCAAGTGATTGCAGTTTTAGCGGCATTCTGCGTTAATCTAGTAAAGTTATCCGCCTTTGTGTAAACGTGAACATGATCATTTTGAAAAAGTCTGGAGATGGGACTGTTTCTGGAAGGTTACCTGTACCTATTTAAGAGCAAACAGGGTGCGATTCGATGCCTTTTTCGACTTGACTGTAGTCTTATCTACTTGGGAAGTGTGGATTTGACACCTTTCTGAAAACACCAAACCCCTTCAAGGTTCCAACATTATTCTGCCCTTAAGACAGTGACAAATTCTGGACATAAATTATTAAATGGCGCATTACGTACTTCTGCTGCCATTTATTTGACCGGCGGTAGTACCGTTTGTGATTGAAAACCAAAAACTGTGTATGTGAATGTATATTTTTTACTTCACATCGATTTCGTGTGGGCATTTGCTGATTTCAAAATTCAGTTCTGTACGTATTGATAAGTGTGCATTCTATCCCCGTATTTTTAAACAGGATTATTGTGAAATCAGTATCTTTAAATAATGAATTTAAGGTTGAGAAATTTGGTAAGTCTCCAAGTGAGGAGGAAATCAGGGTTTCAGGAAAATCAGAAAATTGGGTAATATGTTATTGCAAAGCTAATAAAAAGGCAAAGCTCAAGAAGCCTTTTCAGCACTAACAGCTGATATCAGTTCAACTAATGATGAGGTAAAAAGGGCTATTTTGAAAGCTTATGACTTGGTATCTGGAGCATACAAGAACAGATATAGGCAAGTAAAGAGGTGATGATACTTCTACTTGTATGTGGAGTTTGCAGGGGAAAAGGAGACTTTGTTTATCGAAGGATGTTGATCTGAATTTTGACAAGTTGAGGCAGCTGAGTTTGTTGGAATGTAATGCTGAGACTTGTCTGGATGAACAGAAGGTTGATCAGTTACATCAGACTGCAACCTTGACAGATGATTACTTTGTTACTTATAGTGGTATTTAGGCGGTATGGTTACTCTCCCAGGATTGGCCAGGGGAATCCCAGAACAGGGCAGTCGGGTACTAGTAATCTTGTTCCACCGGTTCAAATTCTGACAAGTCGGGTAGTTCATTCCCTACGAGATCAGATACCCCAGCTGGTTGGAACCAGAACTCAGGTCTGTCGTCAGGTGTTTGATGTAGATATTGCCACAAGCCAACTCGTTTGGTCACAAAAATGACCCCATGTCTTTGTGAGTGTCAAGTCCTTAACACTGAGGAGTTGAATGTGTAAAGGAGGAGCACCTGCTGAAAGGTTTTGTGTCACTTAAAGGTGAAACATCCACATGTACGTTTCAATTAGAAATCCTCTTGTAACAATATCAACACACACATTCACTTCAGACATCACTTCCTGTATTGCTGTAGGAAAATTGTTAATACAACTTTGACATATTGATTAAATAAAGGGATTGATTGATTATCCCATTTACTGATGGTTTATCGATCACTGTTTATTCATATCATACATCCGTGTGCCTTGTGGACATATTCATATCCACGTTTAGTTGCAGCCTTTGGAATGACTACCCACTGGTGGACGATTGTGCTGGTGTGCTTTGGACTGATGAATAGCATGGTAGACATGAGAAGCACACGACAACATACACAAGGTCAGACACTACTTTGTTATTCTGTTCAGATTATATATGTGTTGTTGTATCAAGGTCAATGTAACCTTATGCTTCACTTTAGATTGAGTATATACAAATCATAATTATGATCTGAACTGTTATATCCCTGATGTGCAAGAATGTATTTAGTTTATCTTCAGTGTACCACACCAGTATCATTGACGCGCTACCCAACGAATGTATTATTTAGCCTCTCGTACCTACATTTGTCCCAATGATGCCACGTGGTCCTGTGCACAGGCCACAAATCAGGTGAAGTAAGTAACGTCGGTCTCGGAGAGTGGTTGGATGGGTGATGGGCACCTTGTTCGAAATGTGCCACTGTTCACCAAGAAGTAAGAGGGTACTCGTTAGGATGAGATGGTTATGTGGCTGTTAATCTTCTAGCGCCTCGCAGGCAGCTTGAGTGGCATACTCCCCAGGGAGCTGAGAATGAAAATTGAGTGCACACTGATCCATTGACCGGGGTAATAATATTGTAGCTCTATGAGCATCCACGTGGTTATGGAATTTGGCGCATTATAAATGCACTTATATTATTATCATTATTATTATTATTAATACAGGTCGAGTTGTCGAATGTCACTGTCGCAACAAGCCCTGTAACGCCACGGGATACTGTAGCGGAAACTGCGACACAGGCTGGTATGGAGACTACTGTCAAAAACGTAAGTCAAATGAGAAAGCTTAAAACTGTAAGTATGTATGAAAATGTCTGTGAGTACCCAGGTATTGTGCTTGCTTGTTGACCAAATAGTAATATAATGCCAGCATATATTAAATGTATCCAGTTTCATAGATAACATATATGTTCGTTGCACAGCATTGTTCATTTATCTTAAGATATTAACTGCTCAGTATTATGCGTACAAGTATGTTTGTTGCATAATGGCGTGAGACTCATTATATTTTCCATTATTTGTACAGTATGTTATGATAGGGCCATATGTAATGTTTTATAGGTGTTGACCATTCTGCAATAAATATAGTCGGTTTCCAGTTTCCAGTTTTATGTTTATGTTTATGGTGTTGTAAACATCAGATCTCTGATGTCGTGTCGCTGCATTTCGTTCTTTCATCTCACCAGAAAATGTCGCATTAAATGGCACAGCGACACAGAAGGGCACTTACCATGAGTCGAGTCAGAAGACATATTACAGGCATGTATATTTCAATGCTGGTTTGGCTCTTGACGGCAACACCAATACAACATTGTACTCTCTGACATGCACACATGCTGGATCCGAAAGAAATTCATGGTGGAATGTGGCACTTTCAAACGACCATCAGATAAAATACATCACAATCTACAATCGGAGAGAACGTAAGTTGTCTCCCTTATCAGGGCAGATAAATGATAATTGTGATACAGTTTACAATCGGGTAACAGTAAATTGTGCATTGTTGTCTCAGACATAGCATCCTTAGGTTACCACAAACAAGAAAACTGAAATATATATGTTTGCATTCTAAATGTCATAAACAGCTGTACAACAGGAAAAAAACCTTACCGCTGTTCGGAGGTAATTAACTGCTAACAGGACACGCCGACTTAATATACTAACTTCTAATGACTAATCACTTCTGTCTGAATTCCAAGTTTTGAAACTATAAAAGAGTGACAAAGACATCTGAAGATGGAATATTGCTGAGTGAGGCGTTAAGCAACACAACCAAACCTCAGTATAAACTTTGTATTGAGGGTGTAACCATGATATGTCGCCCCTGACTGCTGCACAAGCTGAGTTCTTGCTGACTCCCCGCTCTGTTTTGAAACACATACATGTCGTTATATTTATTCACAAATCTCAAATCCCGGAACAGCACAGGGTAACCGACACATGACAAGTAATATCCAAGTTGATATACTCACAATTGGGGTCACATATGTGGAACCGATAAGGGCGATCATCTTGGAATATACCTGGCATTACCTGGCAATAGACCACAGAAGGTACCCTTTTCTATTAATCAGAAGCGTGAAAATACTATTATGTAAAAAAACATCATCAACCTTCTCTAATATTTGACTGACAACACATCATTATCTATATAATGATGTATAACAATATAGTTATCTAAATAATGATGTGTTATCAGTCAAATGTTAGAGATTTAAAAGACATGCATTTGATTGTATTCTGAAGATACATTTTGATGAGTAGGAACTGATGCTATGCTATATCTGATTCATACAGGCCCCGACAGACGGAGAGGAATGGAAGTTCAGGTGGGCGGGAAGCGATGTTTCAAATGGGAAAATACATCTTATCCTGATACCGTCTGGAATGTTACCTGTGACAAAGCTGTGACAGGAAGAAATGTTACAATAAGAACTCCTTCATACTCTCTCAGCCTATGTGAAGTACAGGTGTTCGGTGAGTTCGTTGGAGCATCCTTCTCTCTTTCATCTATCGAAAGTCAGTAAATTACAAAACGTGCCCATGCTGATTTGATCCACTAACTAGTGAGTGAGTATGGTTTTACGCCGCTTTTAGTAATATTCCAGCACAAGAAATGGGCTTCACACATTGTACCCATATGGGGAATCGAACCCGGGCCTTCGGTGTGACGAGCGAACGCTTTAACCACTAGGCCGCGACCGCGTGGGGCTGACTGGGTGTTGGTAGTATACGTCGTATGTACAAGTTTGTATCACTATTCAGCAGGTCAAAGTTAGCCCACAGTTAGCCTAACGCTTAGTATGAGTTATATAATGTGAAGATCGTAGCTATGAGATTAAGACACAATGTAAAGTATATTCCCGAGGTTACAACATATATCACATAGGGGGATAGACTTCTGGTAGAGAGTCGGAGAAGATGCAAGGTGATCCTACACTGGAGGTGAGGTGAGGTGAAATGGGGTTTAACTTCGCGTCCAAGATTATGGCACTTATATAGCGGACTGATGCCGATTTATAGTGCTAGCCCACTGAGATACCATGCTGCAATTGGACATGAATACCCCACCCAGACAAAGTATACTGACTCCGAGCCGACCAGTCCTTGTTTTAGCCCCTTAATGCCGAGCACCAGACAGGGTAACAACAAGTACCATCTTTTAAGTTATTTTGGTATGACGCGGCCGGGGATCAAACCCCGGACCTTCCACTCTCCAGGCAGACGCTCTACCACTAGACCACGGAGGCTGTTCTCCTACACTGGAAAATGCGGTCAACTCACTTGGGACCTACAGTGAAATAACAAATGAAATAGATTTGATTCTTTACTTAATGAACACTATTTTATAACACATTAAATAATGCAACATGATTAGCTCATATGTCTGTTCCGATACGTTTGAAATACTGTTAACGGCCTCAGACCGAAATCACCAGGAATGTATCTTCATGGTTTAGTTTGTAGTGACTTCTGGTTTGGAAAAGAGTGCGACAAGCAGTGCAACTGTTTCAACGAGACGGAGATATGTGATAAAGTAGAAGGTCAGTGCACAAGCGGATGTCCACCAGGGTTTATTGGAACAGATTGTCTTCAAGGTGAGGGAACAAGGAGATTGGTGTCATCTGAAAAGAATATTCATATTAATAATATCGTATACGATCTCAACCATATGTGAGCATGCATGAACCACTCGCATGTTTGGATAACAGGTCTCAATAACGATCAAATAGCCTAAAGACAAACATACAACAGAAATGGTTTCTTACAGAATGTGTAAATGGCACCTATGGCTCGAACTGCACTTTCTCGTGTGGACACTGCGTGAACAACACCTTCTGTGACAGAACTGACGGCATCTGTCCCCACGGCTGTGACGACGGGTGGACCAACGCTACATGTGACAAGGGTAGGATGGAAAGCATGTGTGACAGACACAGGGTTCTCAATCAATAGGATTTCCGTTAAATATTTAAGGTAAATGCTTCTAGACATTTTTTGCAGTATTTTCGGGACAACAACACAGACCGCCCTGTGAAACAAATCTACTTCGCTACATTAATACGGAAATGCAGTTTCCGCAACTTTTCTCAAAACACTCCATTCACAGCTTGCAATGGCACATATGGTAAGGACTGTATGGAGAAATGTGGACACTGTAACGGAACTAGCTGCAACCACGTCGACGGCACCTGCCCCAACGGCTGTCTGCCGGGTTGGAATGGAACGACGTGTCATGATCAGACTGAGCGTGAAGGTTAGAAGCATTACACTGTAATTGTATTATAAAACATTGTAGAGTCGACGTTCTTGAACAATTACCTTCTTCACAGCATGAAGTGTTTGTATTAGAAGCATTATACTGTAATTGTAGTATAAAACATTGTAGAGTCGACGTTCTTGAACAGTTACCATCTTCACAGCATAAAGTGTTTATATTGGAAGCATTGTCCTTTGTTTGATGACAAATAGCAGACTATTGGAGAAAAAACGCTCTTGTTACCCTTGCAACAACATATAAGTGACACAAAGGGAATACATCTACAACTCAAAGTTACAAATCAGCGAAATAGATAAAAGCAATTTTTTACGTTCTGTGAAGGTGAACTCTTCATCCCTAATGCTGGTATTGGGGGAACGTAATAAATGCACACGTGTGTTGTGCCCTTACACCTACAATTGTCTTAAGTGATCTTATGTGATCACGTCACACTATCTTCCGCAAAGCTAGTTGAGTCTAAGGAACGCATCGCTGTCTTGGCTGTCATTGCGTGATACGATGTTTCACTCACAATCTGCACATCAGGTATATAACATGTAGTTTAGGGGTCTTTGAAGATCGTGCTGTACTGTATTTGCGAGCCTCGACTTCGGACAGATCGAAAGTTACGCGAATTACGGTGTCAACTCAACTCGCCTATGTCCGAAACATTCAGTGATGCACAGTAGCTCTGATCGAAACATGTCTTTGCTATTACTTCTATACCCAAGACAATAAAAACTTCTTGTCACCAAGCTCCAAACTTATACAATACATCTTTCTCTATTTGTTATTTGCAAGACCAAAGCAATCTTTGCGTATGGCAAAAGTAGGTCAACTACAGGATATTTCTCAACTATATTTTTTAATTTCAGAAACCATGATAAGATTCCAGGGAGTAGATTAACATGTTGTCCCAGAAAAAGAATTATCATGCTTATAATATAAACATATGAAATAAAATCCAAATGGCGCCCATAATGTTTATTAATCAAGGCAATTAGGTCTTGCCAAATCATTCTAGACTTGAATTGGTTTCCTTTCTCCATGTATTCATTTATTCAGGTTCAGGAATGTGCAATACTCTTTCTGGATAAAAAATAACCATATAAACAGAGATTCTGATTTTTCCCCACTTTCATCAACACATCCACACAACATTTCATTCATTCTGTACTGCTTGACAGTGGCCTTCATTCATGTAGAATACTAGTACATAACAAACGGAAGTAAACAATATTACATATTCATAATTCCAGGTATTAAAGTGACACAACTTTTATCTTTAAACAATATATGATATGATGCCCTATTTGTATAAAATCTGTTGGGATATTTGTTTTCAAATTCAATTTACACTTATAAATTAAAGATTTGGCAAATAACAAAATGATCAGTAATGATATTTGTCCTTATTCCAGGTAATGCAAGCTGAGCATCCAGTTGGATATGAACACATGTGAGCAGTTGTATGTTACCCAAGACGGATGAACTGTCGAAAAGGCGTAACAACATGACATTCCAAGAAAACATGTAAAATAGTTTCTTCTCTAGCAAGACATCAACTGCATTGATCATGATCAATAAATAAAAACAAATTTATTGGTATTAATCATTGTAGAAGTCTTTACTGGAACTAGCTAACTCTCAAGTAACTTGGAATGCTTAAATTACATACATTTGGTCCCAGTCAAGATTAGCATTATTTGTAAAGGTGCAATTTTCCATCTAAGTTGTAATTGTGATTCATTCACTCTGTCTCTCCCAGTTCAGCAAATATGGGCGGCTCCCTCAGCGCGTCAGAGGTTGTGCCACCTTGCCATGTGAGCTTCATATAGCAACACTTACACATCCACTTACACCAAGAAACATGAACGTTTTCTTTCTAACATCAATGAACATGACATAATAATAACGGTAACGTTGATATACATGCGTACCTACAGTTTAATAAAGAATACATAATCGTACACCCACGCTCGACAGTCCTTAAAAGGAATATACGGAGATATATATTCAATGTGTATTATTCACATCAGGGGTAGATCTAATATAAACAAGTAATTTGAAACATTTTGTGTTTATTAATGGTCACAGTTTAACCTCTTTGGTTGAATGGTACCGGGACTGAGTGAGTATAACTGAATGCGTTATATAATTTCAGGCGTAGAAGGGAAGGATATGAGGATGGAGGAATAAATGAAATGCTATAAGTAAGTAATGGGCCACAGTGGGCTTTGCCACAGGCATCAGCACAACCACGTGTACAGTACGACTGCCGTTAGATAGGAAGACCGTATGTCCGTTTTATCCGGGACGGGCGATAGACTAACCGAAACGTTATACGCATGCGTGTGGTGCAGGAAGAGACCGTGAAAGTGAGACCAAAGTCTCTGACGTCAATTGAGGGCGACGCATCGATCAACAGGAAGTGCTGTGATACGTGTAACGGTAGTACCTCTGCAGCAACGGCGAGCAACCAGTGTCGGTGTCGACATACTGGAAAATGATAAGCAAATAATGTTTGACACTTTGTGAGTAACATGAACAGATCGTGGACGATCGAACGTTAAAACGACAGGTTCTTGCCATTTCGGCCATGAATAAGACACCGGACCTCGCATCGTGATGTCCGGAATGAATAGCACTGGCAGTGCTCGGTGGCTGGATAGTTTAACGGGAAGATGTGGCTATCAGCTTACATTAATATACGCCCAGATAGGAGGTGTAATTTAATGTCAGTAAACCGACGAGGGGGTGGACCTTTGACACCTGTCATGATATCTCCTGGCAGTGTTTGGTTATGTCTGTCTACGAATCCCTATGAAAATGTGTTCCTGACGAAAAGACATGCTGCACATGTAGGTTACTACAACTGTTTACGTTCAGTCTGTCTTTTATAGACAATGACAACACACAGCAATGTCGTATCAGTTTCTTTACTACGTGTGGGAAGTATGTACTGGTATAACATCCTCACTTCAGTGTACAGAGTTACATCCCTTAAGGGTGGCAGTATCCTATGTTTGTGGGTTGGCATGACCGATTCACCCTGAAATTGAAAAAACTGATGTTTTGGCTTTGAAAAAAGACAAAGATTGAGATTGGAAGCAAGGAAAGACAGAGAAATTCGGCTAAAAGAAATTGAAGCTGAGAATGAAAAAGAGAAATTGAGAATTGAGGCTGAGAATGAAACATTGAGACTGGAAGCTGAAAAGAAAAGGCTAAAACAGCTTGAATTACAGAATGAACACTCTCTCAGTACCCCAACAGGTGATGGATGTTTTTATCTTTCCAAGCAGATTAGATTTGTTCTGCCTTTCTCTGAATATGTTGAGAAGTGTTTCTTACTTTTTGAAAAGATTGCTAACAGTTTGAAATGACCTCAACACTAGTGGACCATGTTGTTGCAAAGTGTATTTTGGGGGAAAGCTCAGGCAGTTTACTCTGCATTACCTGTTGATAGGAGTTCTGATTATCAGACTGTTAATGGTGAAGTTTTGAAGGCTTATGAATTGGTTCCTGAAGCTTACAGGCAAACGTTTAGGTCTGTTAAGGAAAAGGGATGAGTCTACTTTTGCTGAGTTACAAAGGTAGCGTTTTTACAACCCCAACCTTGACCAACCCAGGTGTACTTCAAAGGGTTAATGGTGATTTTCAAAGATTTTGCTGAAGGATTTTAAGCAGTGTGTCAATGGACATTCGAATATATCTTGATGAGCAGCAAGTGGATCAGTTACACGAAGCTGACACAATGGCTGATGATTATTCGCTAACTCACAGGGGTAGTTTTAAGCAGTCAGGGTTACAAAGGAAAGGAAAGGATAGCTCACCCCCTCCCAGATCAAGTTCTGACAAGTCTGGTTCTGAGTTTGTTGACAAAAAATCAAGTTCTACTCCAGTTGGTTCTAAAAATACTTCTGGATTTTCGTCAGAACCTACTTGTAGATATTGCCGCATGACAGGGCATATCGTTTCTGAGTGAAAATAACTTGTCATTCTTCTCCTTATGCTTTTGTGAATGTCAAGTCACAGCCTTCTTGTGGTTCGGCTAATGAGGAGTTAGCTGTTGTAGACCAGTCATCGAAGTATGTTGTTGTAAGAGAGGAGTACTTACCTTTTGTTAGTGAAGGCTTTGTGTCAACTAAAGGTGACAGTTCCAATGTTAAACCCATTACCGTTTTGAGGGATACTGGTGCTCTTCAAACTCTGATTTTGGATGGCATTTTGCCACTTTCTGAGGAATCATCAGAAAACTCTGAGGTTTTGTTAGATGGTTTATGTGCTTGTACCAGTGCACCTCACCATTTTGTGAATTTGAAGACAGATTTGGTGTCTGGGTTGGTCAAGGTTGGGGTTGTAGAAACTCTACCTGTAAAAGGTGTAGATGTACTCATTGGGAATGATGTGGCAGAGGGAAGATGTTTGGCTGATCCTATTATTTGCCTTAAGCCTAGCACTTCGGAAAGTACTGAAAATCGTGAAAATGAAATTCCATGTATTTTTCCTTCGTGTGTTGTAAATCGTGCTATGGCTAAGAAAATGATTCCAGTTACGATTTGGTTGCCACTGTTACGGATCATTCATGATGAGGAAGTGGAGGCTGCCGGATGTACCTGCTGTTAATGAATGAGAGGTTTTCCATCAAATTGTTCATTCCAAATTCGTATCGAAAGCATGCTGTGAGTTTGGCACATGAAACTCCTTCGGCAGGTCATTTGGGTGTAAACAAAACAAAATTCTATCCAATTTCTTTTGGCCTTATTTGCGGCATGATGTGGCTGAATTTTATAAAACATGCCATGTGTGTCAAAAATAGGGCTCGAGTTATTATCAAGGCATTGGTAAAGTTCCTCTCCATTGTTGGTTTGCCGAAAACTATACAGTCAGAGGGCTCTAATTTCATGTCACATGTTTTCCAACAAGTTATACACCACTTAGGCACAAACATATCACCAATAGCATATTTAGATCCTTCAGGTGGAAAGTACACAACACCAAAAAACAAACCATTTTCTTTATCCTTTGCTGACATATGATCACATTTATTCTGTTCATATAATTGTGAATATTTTTGAAATATTTTATTGTCCGTTTTTTTTGACACTGTATTACAAACACATCAATCATCATCCCAACCAAACTGTATGTCACCGTTACATACAGGATTGGTATTTCCATCAATACCTGGGGTGGCGGAGATGCCACACGGAGGAAGATCTTCAACAGAAATAAATTCATAGTCTGGGGTCTTATTGTCAACATGCATATCAATTGTTGTAATCGTAAAATGAACAGATTTATCATCAATATGACAAACACTGTGATTAAATTCCTGTTGACGGGGGGCGGTCGGGTAGCCTAGTGGTTAAAGTGTTAGCTCGTCACACCGAAGTCCCGGGTTCGATTCCCGACATGGGTACAATGTGTGAAGCCCATTTCTGGTGTCTCCCGCCGTGATATTGCTGGACTATTGCTAAAAGCGGCGTAAAACCTCACTCACTCACTCACCTGTTGACGGATGCAAGTCATAGCCCCACCAATCACTGGGGTGAGGTGAGGTGAGGTGAAATTGGGTTTAACGTCGCGTCCAAGATTATTGCACTTATATAGCGACGTGCATGCACGTGTGTGTGTGTGTGTGTGTGTGTGTGTGTGTGTGTGTGTGTGGCTGCTTGTACTAGAACGGACTGATGCCGATTTATAGTGCTAGCTCACTGAGATACCAAGCCGCAGTTTAACATTAATACCCCACTCAGACACAGTATACTGACTCCGAGCCGACCAGTCCTTGCTTTAACCCCTTAATGCCGAGCGCCAGACAGGGTAACAACAAGTACCATCTTTTCACGTCTTTTGGTATGACGCGGCCGGGTATTGAACCCCGGACCTTCCGCTCTCCGGGCGGACGCTCTACCACTAGACCACGGAGGCGGTCTCCATCACTGAGGAGTGAGTGGTTGCATAACACTAGACTGAGTATTGTGTATCGTTCGTATTTGTATTGTTTGTTCATAGCGATCAGCAGGCGTGGTTGTCAACTGAACACGTGGATTCTCAGCATGGTTCACACAAGGTCTTGATGCATTTAGATGAGAAGGGTCAGAAATAGGTTTGCTACCTACACATTGATGAGAGACATCAGTAGGTAGGTCTAAACTGGATATGTCACACTTGGATACTGTTTTATGAGAAGGGTCAGAAATAGGTTTGCTACCTACAAATTGATGAGACATCAGTAGGTAGGTCTAAACTGGATATGTCACACATGGATCCTGTGTTATGCCCTCGAACGTCTCCTGAGGATCACACCGCACGTGTTGTGGGCCTATTGACAATTCTGGGGATTGCGTGCGTGTCTATTAGCACGGGGGTGGTGGGGTAGCCTAGTGGTTTAAACGTTCGCTCTTTACTCGGAAGCCTGGGGATCGATTCCTACATGTGTACAATGTGTCAATCCCATTTCTGGTGTTACCAGCCATGGTATGAAAGCAGAGTAATCTCACACTCACTTACTCACTCTCTTTCCTAACGTGGTTATGGTGCTGACAAATTCGAATCCTGACACGGCTTATATTCCGCTTAAAT